TCCTCCTCTTCTTCTTCCTCCTCCTCTTCTTCTTCCTCCTCCTCTTCTTCTTCCTCCTCTTCTTCTTCCTCCTCCTCTTCTTCCTCATCTTCTTCTTCCTCATCTTCTTCCTCCTCTTCTTCTTCCTCCTCTTCCTCCTCTTCTTCTTCCTCCTCTTCCTCCTCCTCTTCTTTCTCTTCTTCTTCTTCTTCCTCCTCTTCTGCCTCCTCTTCTTCTTCTTCCTCCTCCTCCTCTTTCTTCTTCCTCCTCCTCCTCTTCTTTCTTCTTCTTCCTCCTCCTCTTCTTCTTCCTCCTCCTCTTCTTCTTCTTCCTCCTCTTCTTCTTCTTCCTCCTCCTCCTCTTTCTTCTTCTTCCTCCTCCTCCTCTTCTTCCTCCTCTTCTTCTTCCTCCTCTTCCTCCTCCTCCTCTTCTTCCTCCTCTTCTTCCTCTTCCTCTTCTTCCTCTTCCTCTTCTTCTTCCTCTTCATCATCATCTTCTTCATCTTCCTCTTCTTCATCTTCTTCCTCTTCTTTTGTTCTTTCAGTTTGGGAGGTTTCTGCTGAGGTAACTGCGTGCATAGAGGTTCTTTCATCTCTGGGACTAGTCTAGCAATCCCTTCTGAGGCATTCTCCACTTCCATCACAGCATTCTGTTTCCCGGCAGACACTTCTGGTCCTTCACTGGAGATGAAGTGTCTGGCGTGTTGCTTGACTTTTCTTGCCTGGTACATATACTTTCAAATTCCTGGGTTAACTCCATAATCTAAATTGTATCTGAGTCTGGTTCAAATGCTTGTAGAGTCTCTTCAAGTTGTGGTTTTGTCCTTTTTATTTTGACTTGTAATGCTCTTGAGAGTTGACATGATACAAGGAGTAAAACGAATTTCTGTGAATAGGCATTCAGTAATTCTGTGGTCGACAGGCAAGGGAGGAGATGTTCTGTGGTTAGCTCTTAGACCTGTAGAAAGCCTGGCCTCCAGATGGTGAATTTACCCATAATCCTCAGCTCTACTTCCATAGGAATGGACTGACACACAGGAGTAGGCAGGTATCGGGCCCTCACTATGGATGACTAATACAACAAAGGCTAAAGGGGCCTTTTCCTCAAATGATTAGGCTTGGGGAAAATCCTAGCAGGTTGGGCCTGGTTAAGTCATTTTTCTTAAAAGGAGACTTTATGATGAACAAAATGCTGTTTTTATTGACCAATCCTCTGTGATTTGTCTCTTCAAAGCCCAACTAAATTTTAAATAGTTTTTTAGTTTACCTATTTCTGATCTGAACATTTTTTGTTTGTGTTTCTCTGGGACTGCAGCTGTGTTTCCAGTTTCTAAGTGGATAGTTACTATCTAGTGAATTTGCCTTTGAATATTTAGTCTCCTGTGCTTCATGTAGTTGAGATCTAAAGGATTCCAATAGTGTTTTGTTATTGCTGCTGCTGCTGCCAGCCTGCCTATTCCTGAGTCAGTTTGTTGTAGTACTGGCATATTCTAGGTAAATATTCTACCGTGGAGCTATATGTCTAACTTGCATGCTGTTTAATGTACATTTTGTTTTGAGACAGGTTTCTTGTTAAGTTTTCCAGTCTGGCCTTAAACTTACTCTGTAGTCTAGGTAGACCTTGAACTTGGGATCTTCCAGTCTCAGTGTCCCAAATACTGAGATTATTGACCTCACACTAACAGGCCTGCCACTGTTTTTGGCTTTTTATTTGGTTTTTCTCTATTGGATTATAGGGGCTAGATTCAGGTTACTAAATCCTGCGCCTTCTGGACACAAGACTAGAATCCCTGTGCTTCCTTGTAGGCACCTAGGGAGGTGGGGTGGCATTGTCTAGCATCATGTGACAGTTTAGATACCAGCAGAGCCCCAATCACAAAGCTTTGGAGTTTGTATTCTTTCCTCTCTGCCAAACACGCTAACACAGAAAAGTGTTGATTTTGAAGGCTGACAAGGTCACCCGATGACTTTGCTCAAGTATGATCAGCTTATGAACCTTTGAGAGATTCTGGAAAATGTGACATTAGCAGTTAACTTGCTTGAGCATTTGTTTTGTCATCATTGAGGCCATATTCCTTCATCTCAGCGTTGCTAAGGACTTGTCCTGCAGCATCTTAACATAGACCTAAGGCTCCCTTAAAACATTTCCCTGTCTTCCCTTTGAGTTGGGTGGGAGTAGAACCGTCTGAAGGAGGGAAGTTGTAGCACCTCTAAGGGTTAATGAGTAAACAGCCATTTATCTTTAACACCATGGCAAAGACCCAATGTTTCTTCCAGTGAAACAGCAGATCACACACTTACTTCTGAAGAAAAAGAAAACCAGTGCGTAGAACTGATATGTCCTACATGCCTCAATTAAAAATAAAAGAGAAATGACATTTATCTTAATGTTGCCAAAGTTGCTTCTACATTCCCCTGGCCTCTAAAATATCTTATTTTGTAGATATGGCCTGGATTATGAGTTGGCTCATGTGGGGCAAAAGTCTCACTGTGACCCATGATTCCCAAAACCTCAAGAGAAGGCTTGGTCAGGTTCTGAACATTCTGGGCTTGGAGCCAATGCTTGGGTGACCAAGATAGCTTCACAGCTGCAGTAGAAAGTTCTGCATTGCATAAAGTTTACAAAGACTAGAATTAAAAAAAAACTATTTCATCACATTTAACTTCCAAAAAAGCTGCATTAACCTGAATGGATGTAATGCAGCAGAATACATATTAAAGAGACATTGTTTCTATAATGAGAGGCAATCAGCATTAAGATACTATGGTAGTAAGGTGAAGTATACTGGGAACTCAAATGTTATGCTAATTACCTTAAGACTCATTCTTTCTTCATATATCCTTAAGAGATCAGATATTTTTGAAATACCCATGAAAGAATCTGGTCATCTTTGGTAGCACACCAGCATATAAATCATGGGCACTTGTCTATGCGTTAGTACAATAAAAATAAGCCCATTATCTTTGCCTTCTATGCTGTTTGACTTGGGACTGAAGGTAGAGGCAAGCCCTTCGCCACTGAGCTCCAGCCCAGCCCAGCCCTGATGCCCAAGCTTAGACTTGAAGATCATTGCCATTGCTTGTTTTGTCATAGTCCTCTCTCTCTCTCTCTCTCTCTCTCTCTCTCTCTGTCTGTCTGTCTCTCTCTCTCTACACACACACACACACACACACACACACAGCACTTGCTAGTTCTTATACACACTTGTAATTCATATGCAGATGATAGTATGGGCATCCTATTTTAAGGTGCAACTACTTTAAAATATGAAGGCTAACCTAAAATGACCTCTTAGGAGCCCAGTTCCAGCCCACTTATTTCCACTTGACTAGGGCCAATGATTGACATGGATTCCAAAGTGTGAATTGTCTAGACTCTTGTGAAGGACTAGAACAGCCTCAAAGTGGTGAATGTCAAAGGGACAATGGAGCAGGCAGGGAAATAGGGTAGAATTCCTCAGTCAAGAGTCCTTTTTCTAAGCATGTGAGATGTTAAGCTTGAGGGACGACCTGAAGTGGAGTTAAATGGCCATAGCTGGTATTGTGAGTACACATTTGGGTAACAACTAAGCTGGACAGGGACTTATTATTTGAGGTTTAAAATAAAAAAAAAGTGGATCAGCTCACTTTTTGTTTAGTGGGGAAATGATTGAAAAAGTCCTCCATGGTCCTATATTTATTTGTAATGTATTTAATATTCTGTTTAACTCCATTATTGACATTCTAGGGTAGCTGAAAATGCTTAGGCCAAGTGAGTTAGGCCCTCGCTCTGTGTGGGTCTAGGCAGATGGACACAAGCTGTGTTCCTCATTCTATGGAGTGAGACTTCCATCTTCCATCAAAGCATAGCTCATGTTTCTTCCTCTTCTCTCAGATTTAAGAATAAGTACAAATCATTGGAATCTACATAAGTGTCCATCAACACATGAATGGATAATAGAAATTTAATATGTAAGAATTATTTATATGGCAAAATACTATCCAGGTCTGCAGAAAAATGAAATCACAAAATTCACAGGAAAAATGGGCGAACATAGAATGTATAATATTAAGCAGAGTCATGCAGTCTTAGAAAAATAACTTCATGCTCTCCTTGTATGCAGACTCTAGCCATTGATGTATGTATAAGTGTAAACAAATGACAAATGTACACATGGGTGCAGAATAGCATGAAGAAAAGAAAACAAGGAAGGCTACCATAAGGGAGAAAGAAGGGCTGAATGCAGGGTACGGACACCACTTACGAAAAAGTACAAGGTTAATTGTTTTCCTAGTTATAATTCCGTCATGGAGGTTTTGGTTTTAATTGTAAGTATATAAAATACATTCAATAGTGAAAGTATAAAATCCAGTATGAAGCTGCAAAACTTCTGTTCCAAATGTCTAACTGTATCGAGTTGTGTAGTCTTTGGTTTTGGTTAATTGCAGTGCATGATATTTTTATTTGCAACTTTTAAATATATAATAAAATCTAAAATTAACAATAAAAAATTTAGGAGAGAAAAATAGCTAGGCATGGTGGTGGTGCGTAAAATCTCTGGAGGCAGAGAAAGGGAGATCTCTGAGTTCAAGGCCAGCTGGGTTTACACAGTTAGACTTTGTTTCAAAAATAGAAAAATGAATAAGTAAATGGGAATCACTACCTAACTAGGAAAGGAGAAGAGGAAAACGGGATTCTTACCTCATACCTAGAATACAAATGGAACTCAGCATTGTCACAGTGGCGAGCAGACCAGGTGCACTGGGACATGAGGAATGGACTAACGAGAATACAGTGCTTCTGGCCACCTCCAGACTGTTCAGTGTCTCATGTGTCCTCAGGGTCTGAGGACCAGGAAAGTGTGCCTCTAAGGGAGCTCCATTTTCCTCCAGGGCACCTCACAGATTAGAAGACCAGTGGGCCTTAGCCGCCCCTTGATCCTCTTCACACCCAGTTTATTACATAATTTTGTCTGCCATCATCTATGTGAGTCTTGATTCACAAATGACATTCACATGATTGTCCATGCTTTCCTTTTTCAGCTTTGATGTTGGGGTTTCTCAGCCTATAACCCGAAAATGCTGCTCATTTTGTTCCTGGCAATGATTTGTTTCCATGTTTGTGTGAACCAAGACTCTGGTAAGAACAAATAGAAATATTTCCTTTCCATAGTTTTTTAAATTACTCAATAGCTAGTAGTGAATGTTGGATGTTTAAGTTAGGATATTTGCTTCCCATTGCTTGATTTCAGTGGTGGTAAGAATGTGGGGACAAAGTTTTGTCTTCTTGGTTTCCTTGTATTTAGAAATCCCGAGCTACTGATAAAAATATATGAAAGCTTTCTCATTCTGGCTCCTTGGGAATTCTGTTGTGAGATTAAGCACGGGAAAATTCAGAATGTCTTTAATTGTCTTGACTAAAAATGTTGGCTTTGGCTAATGTATAGATTTAGCTGCAGCTGCAGGGTGTTGGCTGTTGCTTAGAAATGCATGCTTGTGTTTACCCCAGGGAGAGAGCTCCTAGCTGTCGCTGTCAGTAATAGTGGTCTGTAACTCATGTCCAGTGAAATGAAATTCAAAACATCCTCTACTCCCTCCTCTAGCCTGTTTGAGAAGTTGGTGAATATGGGCCAGCTCACATTCAGGACCAGCTACCTGGGTTTTTATAACTTTTCCTAGGATTTTAACCTTGAAACAAGTTTAATGGAAATACACTGACTTTGCCCCTCAAAATATCATTTTATGTCTTTCTGAGCCTTAAGCTTTGAAAAAAGAATCGATCTTTATTCCCCACCCATAATTTCATGGCTTAGACAGATAAAGGACCTGGAACTGTCTCATTGCTAATCAGCCACATGTCTCTTCTACACAAGATGTAGGAACTTCCGCATGAGTAGAAAGGCCACTGATGGCCATACATCGAGCCACCCTGAGCAGGCTTCTCTGGACTACCCAGCCTTCCCTTGGAAGTAGGTCCTGAATGTCGCTGGCTGTGTGATCAAGGGTAGAGTCTCAGATTGCTGGGAGTGAGTTCACTTAAAGGACAAGAAAAGATCAGTTGATTTGGTCAGATGCTCACAGAGACTGAATGACAGAGGTTAGGGCTAGTTTCCTAGCAATGGAAGAAAGGAAACAGGAGTTAAGACTTGATAGCAATTTATCTAGTAACCATCTGTGATGAAATCTTAAAGCAAGGAAGTAGCCTGGGTATTTGCTAACTGAGCCCCCTTATTTTAAAGTAGAGGAGACTGAGGCTCCTGAATATTGAATGGCTTGACAATGCTTTATAGAATTAGCTGATGCTAGGCAGGCTTCCTATCACTTAATCCAACCGCACTGAATTTTCTCAGATAACATACAAGCACACACAGCTTCCTATCTGCTTTTATGATAAAGTAGTAAAAGTTCAGAGATAATATATATGTATGTATGTGTATATATACACATATATACACACATACATATGTATGTGTATGCATAATATACACACATAATTTACATACTGTTTATACATATTTTATTTGATTGTATATTATAATGATAGTACATTATATATGTATATAATACTAAAGTCCTGGACAGCTAGCAAGCAAATTGTTAAAGGTTCAAAATTGTTTTCATATTCCAACATAAAATATGTTTTTAGTTGAAACCAAGATTATAATTCCATTTCTCACCTCAAATTCTTTGCTGCCATCATATTTTGCTTATGCGAAAATAAATTTGTCAATCATAATGTTCATTAATGACTTGCTAAATGTATTATAAATAACTTTACCACAGATTAAGCCAATCCCGTGTATTTGTGATGTCTTAAACTTCATCGATTCAACACTTTAGAATACAAAATGATATTCATAAATCAGATAACCTAAGGCCTTGACTAAGTGAGAATTGCAATGAAAGACTTTTAGGTTTCCTCATTCAATCAATTTGAAGGAATCGGTTTCAAATGAAAACTTTCAGAGTGTGTGTGTGTGTGTGTGTGTGTGTGTGTGTGTGTGTGTGTGTGTGTGTATGTCCCAATTCTGTAAAAAAAAGACAGGGGAAATTGCCCATTAAAGATACAAACACCCCTGCTTTTTTTATTTTGCTAAGTTTACCCATTCCCAGTTAGCTAATTCTTTGCAAAATGATGCTCATTGTTGCAAAACTTTGCAATGAGAAGTCTTAAAGCACCCGCACCATGATGCAAAACACTTCTTTTTCCTGAGAGAGTGTGTGATGTTCAGGAAGGTACTAAAACAGAAGTCAAAGAAAAACTAAGTTTCTCTCTGTGTGTGTGTGTGTGTGTGTGTGTGTGTGTGTGTGTGTGTGTGTGTGTGTGTGTACAGTTGGCATTAAACATGGGGGACGATTTCTAAAAGTTTTCACTATATTTATGATTTTATAGGCCCTGAGTATGCAGATGTGGTGTTTCTGGTGGACAGCTCTGATGAGTTGGGGAGTAAGTCCTTCCCATTTGTGAAAAATTTCCTCAGCAAGTTGATCAGCAGCCTCCCCATAGAGGCCAACAAGTACCGCGTGGCCCTGGCCCAGTACAGCGATGCTCTCCACAATGAGTTCCAGCTGGGCACCTTCAAGAACAGGAACCCCATGCTGAACCACCTGAAGAAGAACTTGGGGTTCATCGGTGGTACCCTGAAGATAGGCAATGCCCTGCAAGAGGCTCACAGGACCTATTTCTCCGCTCCCACAAATGGAAGAGACAGGAAACAGTTCCCCCCAATCCTGGTGGTGCTGGCTTCAGCCGAGTCTGAGGATGATGTGGAAGAGGCTTCGAAGGCCCTTCGGGAAGATGGGGTGAAAATCATCTCGGTGGGGGTGCAGAAGGCTTCTGAGGAAAACCTGAAGGCCATGGCCACATCCCAGTTCCATTTCAACCTCAGGACTGCCAGAGACCTCAGTGCGTTTGCCCCAAACATGACACAGATCATCAAGGACGTGACTAAGTACAGGGAAGGAATGGCTGATGACATTATTGTAGAAGGTGGGTGTCCTAGTTTGCTTTATGTTGCTGTGATAAAACACCGACCAAAAGCATCTTGGTGAGGAAGGGTTCGTTTTAGTTCACAGGCTTATGGTCCATTGTGGAGGGATGCCAGGATGGACGTTCAGTCAAGAACTGGAGTGGAGACTGGAGGGACATGGCTTGCTAGCTTGCTGTCGCTGGCTTACTCATCTACCTCTCTTATATACCCCCACCTGTCTAGAGATGGTGCCTCCCACAGTGGGCTGGGCCCTCTTACATCAACTAGCAACCAAGAAAATGCTTCATAGACATGCCTGCAGGCCAATCTGATAGAGACAGTCTCCTAAGTGTGTCAAATTGAAAAGAAAACTTAATCAGGACAGTGGGCTGAGCCTGTGCATGCATAGAATCAATGTCAAAATGATTTTGAAAACAAATCAGGGTAAGAAGTGCATTAAAATCCTGTGAATGCCCCATTCCTCCAACGGGTGGCATTTTGAGGTATTAAATATTTCTGCATGTTCAAGAAGGTTTGGTGATTGTGGCTATTTAAAAAAAAGTAAATCCCATGGGGCTTGGTTTTCTATGACTTATTTAGTCTCAGGCCATTTAAAATTCTGCAGCACTCTCTCTTTGCCACCCAGATTCCCACTCATCCACCTTCCTGGGCTGTTCTTGCTGTGGTTTCATTACTGGCTCACTAAAAACGAATTTGCTGCTGGGGGGAATCTTCAGCTTCTGAAACCTCATAATGAAACAAATGCCAAGGCTAATGCCAGCCTCTGATTATCCAAATCCTCTTCTGAAGCACAGAACTAAAATGATAGGGTCTGCCTCAGTGCCAGGCAGCCATGTGTAGCCAGAGCTGCGTTGAGAGACAGCCATGCATATCCAGAGCTGGATCAAGTGTCCTGATTTCCAGTCAGGTAGCACACACCCCACATTGCCTAGCCTGCTCTTTGATTCTGAATTAGCTTCTGAGTTCTTCACAGTTTGTCCTCTTAGTTAAATCAGTTTGAGATGACCTATTGATAATACAGAATGCTTTTTTGGTGGTAACTTAAAAAATTATGAATCTTTACTACTAGTGTCTTTTCCAAATAATTGAAAATGCAAGCATGCCTATTATCGTTCCTTTGCATTTCTTAGGCTTGAGCTGTTGAGTGTAATGGAGGTGATACATAAATGTTTTTCACACTTAATAGCCAGTGTTCACTGAATAAATTTTGTGTGCCAGTCTCCATGCTAAGTTCACCTCATTGAATACCTATGCCAACTCTATAAGGTAAACACTATGTCTCAAAGCTAGGAGCTTAGCTGAGGTTCAGTCTTTGAATCTCAGTCTCACAATCATGTCATAGCTTCCTTAAGCACACAGCTGACTTCTAGTGTGTTTCCTGCATATCTTATGATGCCCAGCAGAAGTACCAACCTTCCTGCTACAATTGTGCTCATTCATCCCTTTCCCCACACAGCTTGCCAAGGCCCTTCTGTGGCTGATGTCGTGTTCCTGTTGGATATGGCCATTAATGGCAGCCAGGAGAACCTTGACCATCTGAAAGCATTTCTGGAAGAAAGTGTCACTGCCCTTGACATAAAGGAAAATTGCATGAGAGTTGGCCTGGTGGCCTACAGCAATGAGACGAGGGTGATCAGTTCCCTGAGCAGGGGTGTCAATAAGACAGAGGTCCTGCAGCAAATACAGGGCCTGTCTCCCGACGTAGGGCAGGCCTACACTGGGGCTGCCCTCAGAAAGACCAGGAAGGAAGTCTTCAGTGCACAGAGGGGCAGTCGGAAGAACCAGGGGGTGCCTCAGATTGCTGTACTGGTGACCCACAGAGTTTCAGAGGACAACGTGACCAAGGCTGCTGTCAACCTCCGGCGAGAGGGAGTGACCATCTTTACCATGGGCATCGAGGGGGCCAGTCCAGACCAACTGGCAAAAATCGCATCTCACCCCGCAGAACAATTTGTCTCCAAACTGAGCAACTTCTCTGAGCTGGCCACCCACAACCAGACATTCCTGAAGAAGCTGCGGAACCAAATCACACACACAGTCTCTGTCTTCTCAGAACGGACCGAGACCCTCAAATCTGGTAAAGCCTCACTGAGAGAAAGCCATTCTAGAGCCTTCTTTAGTCTCACCTTTTGAGTATTGTCTATGCAGAAGGGACTTGGAGGCTCTGAGGTGGGTGGGCAGAATGAATTCCTAATTGTAAGTGTAGCTGGATACAAGGAAGTCCAGTTTGGAGGACCCTAAAACCTACTGAAGTGAGCATGGGGAAAGGGATTTCCTTTTGGCATGGCTTTAACTGGGCTGGTTATTTCAACATGTCCTGGACTCATCATTTCCTTCTCCGCCCCCTCTGCTGATTTTCATTCTCACCAGTTCCCCTGATCTTTCCTGCAATGTGTTCTTACTTACTTTTCTCTTCCTCTAACCCCAAGGCCAAATTAGAGAATAAATGGTCAACATGACTTACGTAGAAGACAAATTAATTTAAGCAACAATCTATTGCCTGTAAGTTTGGTTGCATGTACACTGTTTTATACATATGCACTTATGTACCCATGAATACTCCAGTATTTTTATATCTGTGTATATGTAAGAATGTTTGTATATATTATGTAACAATTATTTATAGCTTATTTACTTTATCACTGTGTCCCACACTCAAGGTCATTGACAACATCCCTACTGGATCTCAGGACTAGGACTGGGCAGGAAGTAAATAGTTTTTTTCTAGATTGCAGGAAAGAGAACTCACATGCTTGCAGTGCCCTGACACACATCATCCATTCCACAAAATAGCACTTCACTTGGAGTATGACTTACTAATGGAGAAAAGCAACTTGCAAGTAGCAATTTCTAGTTTTCCTATACTTACATTTACCCTTATCCATAGCAGAGAATTAGGGTTACAATCTGACAGTCTGAAGCAACTCATTTCACCCAAGTGATGGTGAGCCCCCATCCCCAAGCAAGGAGAGCAAGTCTGTGATGCCAGGAAGCCAATCCCATCTTTCTTCTCTAGGTGCTTACCCTCATTTCTTTTACATTTGCCCAGAATGCTACATTCAATGTTTTGTTTTGTTTTTAGCCTGTGTGGACACAGAAGAAGCAGATATCTATCTGCTCATTGATGGTTCAGGGAACACCCAGCCCACAGACTTCCACGAAATGAAGACCTTCCTGTCAGAGGTGGTGGGCATGTTCAACATTGCTCCCCACAAGGTACGGGTTGGGGCTGTGCAGTACGCTGACACCTGGGACTTGGAGTTCGGGATCAATAAATACACCAACAAGCCTGACTTGGGCAAAGCCATCGAGAACATCAGACAGATGGGCGGGAACACCAACACAGGTGCAGCCCTGAACTTCACACTGAAGCTGCTACAAAAAGCAAAGAAGCAGCGAGGAAGCAAAGTGCCGTGCCACCTTGTTGTTCTGACAAATGGCATGTCCCAGGACAGTGTCCTGGAGCCTGCTAACAGGCTGAGAGAGGAAAACATCCGTGTGTATGCTATCGGAGTCAAGGAAGCCAACCAAACGCAGCTGCGGGAGATTGCGGGAGAGGAAAAGCGAGTTTACTACGTGCATGAATTCGATGCCCTGAGGGACATAAGGAACCAGGTGGTTCAAGAGATCTGTGCAGAAGAAGGTAAGAGAGGATGAAGCTTGACCTTCAGACAGCAGCTCACAAAGGGACACTGTTAGAATTGGGGCCACACACATTTCTAAGTTGAGTTTACTGGCCTGTGTGATTATATTTTTCTCTCCAGAACAAAACAAAACTCCATGGTAGTGTAAGTTAACATCTGAAGAATGACAGAGGCATTTGGAGGGATTCTCTCTAATGAGGCCCTGTTAAGGATGTATGATTAGGTGTCATGTGTATAATACAAAGGTGTTCTGACATAGAGGAGCATGGCCATCTGTTTGGCATTTCATTTTATAAATGAACTTGTAAGATTTTCTCTGGAGCACTACACCGCTAACTTCCACTCGGGGTTCTTACTCTCTGAGGATATCTGGTAACTTGTAAAGACATTTTTAGTGTCCTAAGTAGGGGGTTTTCTTGGCATCTACTGAATGGATGAAGCCAAGATATTTGCTAGTCCTCTTACAGATTGGCATGAGCACTACTACAGTAAAAATGACCTGGCCCCTGGTGGTGCTGATGTTGAGATCCTTAATTACTAAGGAACAAAAGAGTCTTGACTTTTATCGCCTGCATTGCTTTATTTACCTAACTATCTTTATGATGAACATACTGAGCTTAAACATAGAATTATCTGTGATTTAGGTTCTCCTATGAACACTTAATATTTTTATATGCATTGATGCAAATAAACATCCCAGTTTCTCCCACACAGCCTGCAGAGACATGAAAGCAGACATCATGTTTCTGGTGGACAGTTCTGGCAGCATAGGACCTGAAAACTTCAGCAAGATGAAGACGTTTATGAAGAACCTGGTGAGCAAATCCCAGATTGGGGCAGACCGGGTGCAAATTGGCGTGGTCCAGTTCAGCCACGAAAACAGGGAGGAGTTTCAGCTCAACACATTCATGTCCCAAAGTGACATTTCCAACGCCATCGACCAAATGTCTCACATTGGAGAAACAACATTGACAGGCAGTGCCCTGACGTTTGTGTCCCAGTACTTCAGTCCCGACAAAGGGGCCCGGCCCAATGTCAGGAAGTTTCTCATTCTCATCACAGACGGTGAGGCTCAGGACATAGTGAGGGAACCAGCGGTTGCACTTAGGAATGAAGGTGTGATTATCTACTCCGTGGGAGTATTCGGCTCTAATGTTACCCAGCTCGAGGAGATCAGTGGGAAACCAGAGATGGTTTTCTATGTTGAGAACTTTGACATTCTGCAGCATATTGAAGATGACCTTGTTCTGGGAATATGCAGTCCCCGTGAAGGTAAGCATGTGCACAGTCACAAAAGGGGAACTAAATAGAATTACATTCGGATGCTGTAAGCTTCTTAATCAAAATGTTTTAGAGCCTTTGACATTTTGAGTTAAATGGTAACAGCTGGGTGTGGTGACTCATGCTTGTAATCCCAGTATGCAAGCTGAGAAAGGAAAATGGCCGTGAGTTTGAGACCAGCCTGGGCTACATAATGAGTTTCAGGCTAGTCTGAAATACAGAGTAAGATCTTGACTCAATGTCCCCCACCAAAAAAATTCATAAAGAGATGTTTTGGTCTGCCTAGCTTTCCCATTTGCAGATAAATAATAGTCTTAATGTGATTAATTACTTCTTTAAGAAAAAAATGATGTCACCAGGTCTTATGTCAGGTTCCCTGGAAGGAGTGGGTTTGTCAAGAGCTGTTGTGGAAGTGGTCCACTGAGGAAGTGCTTCCAGGAGGGGAGGAAGGAAAGCCCAACAGAGAAGGGTGGGACCTACACAAGGCAGCCACTTCAGCTCTGAGTCCAGTTTAGCATGATCTCATGAGCAATGTAACAGGAGTCCCACCACATGTTGGCCCAACTTTCCAATGAGGGGCCCAACCTTGTATGTCTGTGCCATTAGACCACACATGGGCTGTGGACACATTGGTAGAGGAACATAAGCTCCTGAGCAGAAAGATGTGTTTGGCTTAGCATCTATTTGATCAAATGAAATGTTTATAAAAAACTGTCTACCAGATCTTATAAAAGATGGCTGTAGTAAGTGAACTTGAGCAATAGATGCTTCCAGAGAAGTAAATGACATGCTGCCCACTCTTCCTATAATATTGCAGAGTAATGGAAGTGGGCAAACCAAAGCTCCATGGTGAAGATGCATCTCAGTGGTAGAGCTCTCGCAAGATGATGGGCTGAACCCCAGTATCTGTCTCCCCCCAAAATATACTAACAGAAGACAAGCAAATATAAGTGGCTAAATTGTTCTGTGACCTCTGGGTTTAATGACAGAAACACGATAAAATTCATTCTAAAAAATATGTATTTTCAGACTTTTAAGGGAGAAGAGACATTGTCTTGTTATTCTAGGAACAATTGCATTCAACTCCCACTGTAGGGTCTGGTGGTTGTCATCCCAAGTTTGATAGAAGGAGGCCTGCATCTGGTTTTTGTTCCCTGGCAATGCCATCCATAATAAATACAAGCTCTTTGAAGGGCTCCAATACTGAGCAAACTTCTCCCCAAGTTCCTGAGTAATCTAAGCAAGCTTCATAGCCAGCAGACAGCTGGGGACCCAGTTCTTCAGAGGAGTCAGCTTTTCTTGGGAATTTGAGTTTTGGCTCTGTACACATGACCTCCACTCAGTCAGTGTTGAGTACACTGGCTCTTGTGTTTTCAACAGTCCACCACATGGCTGGCAAGGGGCTCACAAATGATGGAAATGTGAAAGCCAGCTGGGCAGTGGGGGAGTGCTTTCTCACAGTTGTGTTTCTCCAGAATGGATGAGCTAACAGACATGTGGATCTTACTTTTCCTAAGACCCCAAGAGAGTGTGTACTACCAACGTCAAGACCGAATGAGTGTCCCAGGACTCCACTTCTCCAGAAAGGAGGCGCCAAGCACTAGAACTCCCAGTTGGATGTGCTCCTTTAGATGAGTTAGGAATTGGGACTGTCCTGCCCTTTGCCATAGTGCTGACCTCAGGCGTAACAAGTTCACAGGAATGTCATATTAGGACAACATACTTGAGCTAAATGAGAACTAGCCTACTTTTTTATGATGAGTTCTAATAACGGAATTAAATATTTCAAGAAAAGCAAAAAGGAAGAAAGTTTAGGTTCAGAAATCAGACAACATAGAACCATGATAAAAATAGTGTTCTTAAATTCTTTTCCTTGTTTCGCCATTTCCCCATGGGATCTTAATAAAGTCTCAGGACTCCTATAACCTAAAAGTAAACCTGTATCAATGAAAGCATATGCGGAAGGGATCATTTATATGGGAAAATCCGTACAGCGTTATGATTTTTCATATTTTAGTCTAAAGGTTGAGATTATACTCCTGATGGTCTTGGTGGTTTGGGGATGGCCATTTCACCTCTGTAGTAGGTTTCACACCACACTTGCCTTGTTCTAAAAGCTCACCTGAGCATTACGAAGTATTGGCAGCACAATAGTGCAGGTGTCTCTTATCCAGAGAGTCGGCTGTCTGATGCATAGCATGTTCCTACAGAGAGAAAGCACCAGCCACGGAATGGAAGTTGGGGAACCTCCCACACTGAATCTCAAATGTTTTCTTTTCAGAATGCAAGAGGATTGAAGTTTTGGATGTTGTGTTTGTCATCGATAGCTCTGGCAGCATCGACTATCAAGAATATAACATTATGAAGGACTTTATGATCGGCCTGGTGAAAAAAGCTGACGTGGGCAAGAATCAGGTTCGGTTTGGAGCTCTGAAGTATGCTGATGACCCAGAAGTGCTGTTTTATCTGGATGAGCTAGGCACAAAGTTGGAGGTGATTTCGGTGCTCCAGAAGGACCAGCCCATGGGGGGCAATACTTATACTGCTGAGGCCCTGGCCTTCTCAGATCACATGTTCACCGAAGCCCGGGGCAGTCGTCTACACAAGGGAGTCCCCCAAGTTCTCATTGTGATCACCGACGGAGAATCTCATGATGCAGACAAGCTCAACGCCACTGCCAAGGCACTGAGGGACAAAGGCATTCTCGTCCTGGCCGTGGGGATTGCTGGTGCCAATAGCTGGGAGCTGTTAGCCATGGCAGGGTCAAGTGACAAGTATTACTTTGTAGAGACGTTTGGAGGCCTGAAGGGGATATTTTCAGACGTGTCAGCCAGTGTCTGTAATTCTTCAAAAGTCGGTAAGGCCTGTCAATTAAGCTTTTCCTAATTATTAAAAAGAGGACCAAATGAGTGAGACACTAACCAGTCGCATTTGAGAGAGAGTAGGAACCAAAATTATGAAGTGGCTTTCCTACTTTAAAAAATCTCAGAGTTTTACAGGCTTTCAAGGCATTTCATATATCCTCTTCCCCAAGAGAAAAACACTTGAAAACACTTCTACTTCCTCCCACCTGGGCTCTTCTGACACTGGGAACTCTGCTGCTTTTGAAAAGACTATTAGAACACAGGTTTTCTTAGATTCTTTCTAGAAGCCAAACTGCCCTTGTAAGGGCCGTCATCCATTGTCTGAAGTTTTCTCCTCAGGCCGAATATCCCTAGTTTCTTCTTGGCTTTGCTTATGGTCTGAGTTCACTGAAGCAGATTTAGGTATTAAACACTCCCATCCAGGCTCTGAGGGCTCCATGACAGAGAGCAGCCAGCTTTGGGCAGCTACTGACAGTGTGACTGTGTGTGTGTGTGTGTGACTGTGTGTGTGTGTGTGACTGTGTGTGTGTGTGACTGTGTGTGTGTGTGACTGTGTGTGTGTGTGTGACTGTGTGTGTGTGTGACTGTGTGTGTGTGTGACTGTGTGTGTGTGTGACTGTGTGTGTGTGTGTGACTGTGTGTGTGTGTGACTGTGTGTGTGTGTGACTGTGTGTGTGTGTGTGACTGTGTGTGTGTGTGTGACTGTGTGTGTGTGACTGTGTGTGTGTGTGACTGTGTGTGTGTGACTGTGTGTGTGTGTGTGACTGTGTGTGTGTGTGACTGTGTGTGTGTGTGACTGTGTGTGTGTGACTGTGTGTGTGTGTGACTGTGTGTGTGTGTGTGACTGTGTGTGTGTGTGACTGTGTGTGTGTGTGTGACTGTGTGTGTGTGTGTGACTGTGTGTGTGTGTGTGACTGTGTGTGTGTGTGACTGTGTGTGTGTGTGTGACTGTGTGTGTGTGTGTGCACGCTCATTCATTGTTCATTCACGCAGCTATCATTTTGCACTTTTTATCTTGCTAGGCACAGTGCTGCATACCCACAGTCCTAGCACTTGACAAAGCTAAGGCAGTTTGAGGCCATCCTCGGTGACACTCTGAGTTCCAGGATAGGCCTGCTGTGTCATGTGACTCTTCTCACCTACCCCCCCTCCAAAAAAAGTGAAAGAAAACCTTAGCATTTTTTTCCCTAAAGTCTTTCTCAGAAAGAGAAAGAAGTTTCTTTTCAAAAAGGAAGACTAGTGGATGGAAAAAATATAAGCAATTTTGTGCTCTAAAAATTAATAAAAAATAAAATATTTTTATTAGGGGAATTGCTGTTGGTTCACAATTCCAACATGTGGGTTCAGTTCCTTTTCAAAGTTATTTAGCTTTTCTGGTTTTATTTGTTTGTTGTGAGCTTTGCCTCCTTAGGATGTAGCCACTAGCTTTTTCTCTGGCAAACTAACAATCTTTCTGTTTGTTATTAGGAACTGAGGACAGATCTTTGCTTCCTTGTTGGCAAATGCCTAAAATTTGATCTGTCCTTTTCCTATTCTCTGTGAAAGTCGACAACTGCATTTTTTGAACTGAAAACCTCCCCATTAAGCAAGAAGGGCTACTAGATATGAGTCTGAAGCAGAGGATGTAATAAGTTCATCCATTCCTGAAGGATCTGCTTACCGTATCTACTGTTCTCTCTCGTCTGTAGGAAATCTGCCACCTTTAGCCTTTTCTGAGTCTACACTGAGAACTGGGTTGAGGCTTAGGACAAGGCTGGAGAGTAAGAACACTTGGCTGTGCAAGCGTGAGAACCCAGGTTTACATCCCCAGCACCCATGTAAAAGCCGCTGTGTCTGTGGGCCTAGCTCCATGGCAGAGCTGAGACGTGAGGGTCACTGGGGCTTGCTGACTGCCAGCCTAGCTCCAGTTTCACTGAGACTCTGTCTTCAGGGATAAAGGTGGAGAGAATAAATCAGAACAGCTGATGTCCCCTCTGGCCTTCATGCATGGGTATACACGTCTACACAGCTATATACTAATGTATGTAAGCTGTACACACATTTACACATAACTTTAAAAAAATTAAGTTAGGTCAGTGTTGAAAACCCTGGGAATTCAAGGAACTGACTGGGCTGAGCAGAAAGCTAATAGATACAGATAAATGTTTGCTAGGCATAACTTTTCTATTAGCAATGACTTCTCTTGTTCTGTTTGTTTTGTATTTGCTATAATCATGCAAAGGAATAATCTCTGGCTGTATTGCATTTTGTGCTCTAAACCATTTTTCTTAAGTTAGTGTTTTTGCCTTCACACACCAGAGAGAGGAGGCTGATAGAAGAGGAAAGTCAGATGGAGAGCAGAAAGCATACTTTTAACAATTTGCCCTAATAAACCAGAAAAAAAATTTATTGGACCAACTGGACCAGAGAGGCCAAGTCAATAATACAGACCATCTGCTTCTATTTGAATCTCTGTGCAAATATGTGTTAATGTTGTTTGCTGTGCTACTACTGTCCCCGGCCTTCTGGAAAGGTTATGCTAAGATTGCAGATGATGAGAGAAGCTTTCGTGTAGCACTGTTGTCAGTTCTCTGGCATGTCAGGACAGAAAATGGTGCAAGACCAAAGGGACGGAGCCAAGAGAAACACAGGGTGGATGGGTTAGCGGTGCATGACTCCCACTGCCTTCATGAAAGAATCATTTGTATTTGTTTATTTTCCAATTAATTTGACCACAGCATAGCATGAGATAAGAAAGCACTTTCAAAATACTCTTTTTGTGGAGCTGCAGATGTTTAATTTTCTCCTGGCAGGTTAAAGAATGGTCTCCTTGCTTCATGTCCTTCCCTTTTCCTCTGTAGATTGTGAAATTGAAAAGGTTGACCTCGTTTTCCTCATGGATGGTTCAAACAGCATCCATCCGAATGACTTCCAGAAGATGAAGGAGTTTCTGGCATCAGTCGTTCAAGACTTTGATGTCAGCCTCAACAGAGTGCGCATAGGAGTGGCACAGTTCAGCGACAGCTATAGGTCAGAGTTTCTGCTGGGGGCGTTCACAGGGGAGAAGGCGATCACCACCCAGATTGAGAGCATCCAGCAGATCTTTGGATACACCCACATTGGCGAAGCACTCAGGAAGGTGAGGTACTACTTCCAGCCAGACACCGGCAGCAGGATCAATGCAGGCACCCCTCAGGTGCTGCTGGTCCTCACGGACGGCCGGTCCCAAGACGAGGTAGCTCAGGCCGCGGAGGAGCTGAGACACAGGGGTGTGGACATCTACTCAGTGGGCATCGGGGACGTAGATGACCAGCAGCTGATCCAGATCACAGGGACAGCAGAGAAAAAATTGACGGTCCATAACTTTGACGAGCTGAAAAAGGTGAAAAAACGGATCGTGCGCCACATCTGTACCTCGGGTGGTGAGAGCAGTAAGTATTGCGTGAGTCCTCCATTTTGATTTCCCCCACTGTCTTCATTTACATTTCCCTCCAACTGTTTACCTCCCCAGAGGCTGCTGGGAGAATCCAGATTTGTACCTCTGGATTTCAATTTGAACTTTTTCACGTTATGATGAAGTGTATGTGTTTTGTGAACCATGGAACAAGAAGCAGGGTGTTAGAGAGCCTGTGTCTTCTAGTCACACTGTTTCCCAAGGGTGACATGGCACTTCTGTGAATAGAGATGCCTTACTTCAAAAGGTGTGAGGGAGAGGCCATTGTTCACAATCCAGTTGCTTTCTGAAGTTGCAGAATGTGTCATAGAGAAAATGAGATGCCTGTGGGTTTTGGTTGCCTGGCAATGGGCCTACAGTGCAACCTCTAGGTTTCAGGCATTGTGAGACTCTGCCTCAAAAATAAGGTCTGTGGTAACCAAGGCATTGACACATGAGGTTGACCTCTGGTCTCCAGGTACATATGTACATACACACCCAGACAAACAGACACACAGGCACACAGAAACACACGCATACACACACACACACACACACACACACTCACTCACTCAGAGGGGGGGGGATATTTTGACATTTTCCTGGTAGGTTGAGTGTCTTGAAAGAATAGCTTTTCTTTTTCTTACAAAGACTCTTTATGGATTGATGATTACTCCATCCCAGTCCCCATGGTGAACACTAACTGTAGATTTCCACTGAGGAAAGAAAAGCTGCAGGATCATTCAGAGGCCCACAGATCCCTGCTCCATGCCATCTTTTCTTGAGCAAGTTGTTTGGTCTTTTTAAAGGAGTTGAATATTTTCCTTTGTGGAATGTGACTGAGCAGCCCCAGGTTCATCTTTGTGAAGAATATGTGAGAAAATCCACATTCAAACCTGACTGTCAATAACCCTGACACTTGGCCATGGAATTATGAAGTCCCACTGTGTTCGCCAGGGTTCTCTAGAAGAGCAGAACTGATTGAATGGACCTCTCTTTGTGTAGAAAGGGGATTTATTCACATGGCTTACAGGCTGTGGTCCAGCTAGTCCAGCAGGGGCTATGTACTGACAAAAGTTCAAGAATCCAGTCTACAGGCCAGCTGTCTCAGCTGGTCTTCAGTAGATGCCTGGATCCAAAAGAATTTGGCTCTAATGCCAGTGAAGGAACGGCCTTGATAGCAAGGGTGAGAGAGCCAGCAGGCAAAGGAAGAGAGCCTCCTTCTTCCGTGTCCTGTATATGGGCTGCCACCAGAAGGTGTGGCCCAGATTTAAGGTGGATCTTCCCACCTCAAAAGACCTGGATTAAAAGTAGGTCTTCCCACTTCAAATGATCCAAATAAGAAAAAAATTCCTCACAGGTATACCCAGCAGCTTGGGTTTTAGTGAATCCAGATGTAGTCAAGTGGACAGCCAAGAATGGCCATCACACCCTCTGTTTTGCTTACCACTGACATATTATATGCAATCATAAGGGCTGGCTGTTCCCTTAGTCACCTTGTGGGAAGGAATTATCCACCTCTTAGTGATTAATATGCCCACCCCACGGTAACGACAGAAACTTTAAACTCCACTCACGGTTTTACTTTTCCAGTCTGCCACAGGCTGCTCACCTGGCACAAGAACAAGGCCACACGTGGTTGACATTTCTCCTGCTGGTCCTGTAAACCTTTCACACTACCCCTTCTCTCAGGTCTTGCCCCCTGCTTGCTAGCTTTGGTCTCTATGTGTTCTCAAATGGACTGGAGAGAAGAGAAGAGTTGGGGGGATAGGAGCATTTAACTCGGTGGCGCTTGGCAGGCACTGGCGTTCTAGTAGCCCACACCTAAAGCTGGGTCCTGGGGTGGGAGCATCCTTGAAGATCTTCCTATTTCCCAACACCCACATCTTCACCAAAGCTAAATTTTAGGAAACTATCCCAGTTATTGCTCCTTAGAGAAGATGTTGTAGAATAATCTTTTTGTACACTGTGAAGATTTGTCACTCAGACTAGTTTAATAAAAAGCTGAACTTCCAATAGCTAGGCAGGGTTTTTGGAGTAGAGAGGATGCTAGGAAGAAGAATGTGGAGTCACCAGAAGATGCAGAGGGAACAGACATGCAGGAAAAAGAGGTAAATGCCACGAGTCACATGGCAACTTGTAAACAAATAGAAATGGATTGATTTAAGTTATAAGAGCTGGATAGAAACAAGTCTGAGCTATTGGCTAAGCTTTCCTAATTAGTGCTAAGTCTCCATGTGGTTATTTGGGAGCTGGCAGGTGGGACAGAAAAATAACCTACAAGAAGAGATAGGTATGTCTGGATTCTAGAAGGTCCCTGCTCCTTCCTCAGCCCCTGAACATCAGGAGATACCTATGGCTTTTTTCTGCTGAGCTCTCTCTGCCCCTCCTCTTGAGTGGAGAGAGAGTCTGAAACAGTTCCTTTCACTGCTTGTCATACCAGTTTCATGGGCCACAGCAGCAAGTCTGCCATCTCCATATACACCAGATTTCACCATCCTGGAAATGGCAGCTCCTCTTTTGCAGGAACCCTGGGTCTTGCTCCTTGAATTTCCAGGCTTGTGTTAATTTGAAACTTCTTTTTCGAGCCACTTTCTCTTGAACTGAAGTGGAAAATTGTTTCTGTGTGTGTGTGTGAGAGAGAGAAAGCTCAGAGGACATCAATAGCTCTTGCTAAAAATACTTTCCCAAGCTCTCCAGCCTTATTCCTTTTACAAGGACCTGATGGGTAGGTCAAAGGTTGAAGATCATAAGGTTGGTTAGGGGCCACTGTCTTCCTGAATCTTGTTTAGACACTGCTCTGCACTTGGAATGTGTCTGGTTATTCCAGCCAAGTCTTCTACATTAATTTTCTATTTCACAAGAGATACTCATTTTAAACTATTAGGTAGAAAATTATGTTTGAACACTTTAGTTTTTACTTGAGTACATGAGAAAGTTTTTTAAAATGGGAATCTTATCTCCAAGTGGCGAGTTATTTTTAAAAGAAGCAGTTGCTATGCCAACGAAGTGGCTCTGTCAGGAGAGGTACTTGCCCCCAAACCAGCAACCTGAGCTCCACTCAGGAACCCAGGTGGCTCAAGGAGGGAAATGATTGTTGCAAAGTTGTCCTCTGACTTCACCCCTATGCAGTATCCCCATAAATAAATATTTTTAAAGTTTTTTAATTAAGGAAACAATAATGAATAGGAAAAGATAAAGTGCTCTTAAGATAAACTTGAAGTCATTAGTCCAGCAAACAAGAATGTAAGGCTGTGTAGCCAAGCTGTGAGCCGAGGAGGCCAAAGTGTGCCCTGATAAAGCTTCAAAGGCTTGCACGAGGGTATACTGGGATGCCTGCTCTGGTATTTTAAGACCCTCCAACCACAGAGGTCAGACCGTCACTTGGTGTTCCATCTGGACATTTGCTTGGCTTGGTTTTTGGTGTTTCAGTTTGGTGTTAGACGCGTGGCAGGCAAGTACCACTGAGCTACACCCAGTGTCATCCATCCACTTCTCCGTAAAACACGCTAGACTTTGGGATGCAATTGCCGTCTGAGTCTTATTTTCCCATTCATAAAGCCTGGGCTCGCTCGAGAGTCTCTCTCGCTGTGCACAGTGATTCAAAATGCAAAACAAGAGCAGCTGTGTGGAAACGCCCCACACAAATGTCTTTCCTCTTTCACCCAACAACTGCCAAGCAGCCCATTTTTCCCACTGAGACATTTTCTTCAGGACCACAGCTGCCTAATCCTATTAGTGTAACTCAGCCTGTAACAGTGCTTGATTTTCCACGCATTTATTTATCATGTGTATTCGTGGGGAGGCACTCATGCCACAGCATGCGTGTGGGGGTCAGAGGACAACTTGTAGGAGTCAGCCCTCTCCTCCTGCTGTATGGGCACTGGGAATTGAACTTGGATTGTCAGGCTTGGCAGAAGTACCTTCCCACCATCTCACTGACCTGCAACAGTATTATTTCTTAATACTTAGAGTACGCGACCATCGACTCTAAATCTTTATTTAGACAAATAAAAGAATCAGATAATTAGAATCAGCTGTTGGACCTGGCAGGGCAGGCAGGAGTGACACCTCACCCAATCTGTCCCTTCATATTCTTATTTTGAGATAGATAATTTCTTGATTTTTGGGTTAAGAAAAGTAATTCTCCAAGAAGGTAAGGGATTTTCCCAACACAGGAAAGCTGGAGTTTCAGTCTCCCACACCCAAGCTCTGCCCTGCCCTCCACATGGCTGTTGGAAGAACTGGACAAAAGGCTCGGAGCAACATGAGCAACATGAGCAACATGAGCAACATGAGCAACATGAGCAACATGAGCAACATGAGCAACATGCTCCCCTTTGCCGTCCCTACCCTCACTCTGTTGCCCCTGCTGTGGCTACTTTCTTTTTTTTTTTTTTTTTTTTTTTTTGGTTTTATGAGACAGGGTTTCTTTGTATTATTTTGGAAGCTGTCGGTCCAGCCTAGCCTCGAACTCACAGAGATCCGCCTGCCTCCTCCCCAGTGCTGGGATTAAAGGCGTGCGCCACCACCGCCCGGCTGTGGTTACTTTCTTAATTTCCTTTGCTTTCATTGTTCCTTTCCTGTTCTCAGTCATGTGACCCTAATTTAATTCTTCATAACCTCTGTTTGAAAATCAACCTTCCGCTTCTCCCCTAGCTCACTTCTCAAAGTGTCCCTGCCTCCTGTGAATTTGAGTCACCACTGGAGATCCGCTATAAAGCACAGCCTCTTCATAGACGATTCAGGTCACCAAATTTCTCAGGCATGTCTGTCCATAGAGCTTTCTGGGCCAATACATGACAATTCCCTTCCCAGCTTCTCCTCATTCCCTACCGCATTTAGGCATGTGGCTGCTAGGCCTGGACTATTCAAGTTCTGTTCCTTTGATCATGTTATTAGGGAATAATTTGCCAATTTTAATTAAACATGAGGAACTTAGATGTTTTTGGCATACTATATGCCAGACACACACATTGAAAACTGCTGGAAGCTGCTGATTTAAGCAAGCCATACAAACATTTTTTTATTTTTTTATTTTATCAAGCTGCATGTGTTGTGAGGGCAGACAAAGGCTGGGGCAAGTTTAACAGCTTAGACAATCTTGAAAGAAAAGTGTGTATGCTGTTAGGTTTTTATCCTTCTCAAGTTACCTGCCTTTAGGGAGCTCAGCTTAAAATACCAAGTCCCTCCAAATATCTTCAATGCTAAACCTTCCTGGAGTTTAAGATAATAGCAAAGACCTTTAATTCAATACTTCTCTAAGGCTCTAGAACCCTGAATGGTTAACTCCTGAAGGCAGAGCCATATTCGACATGGAAAAGTTGGATAATTGGATTGCCAGTCTCTTCACTTGTAGAACTTAAGCCAGATTGCAACGATTTTCCCTCATCTCTCCCCCGTTCCGTTCTCTCCCCCCCCCCCCATTTGTTTTGTTTTTTAACATTGACTTCCTTTCTGGGTGGATGTTAAGATGATCAAATTTTACCCAATACTTCTAGAAAGATGAATGATCAAAACTTTTCTGTGACTGTTTTGATTCTAAATGACTATTTCTGTTCAAATGTTTTTGCTTTTCTCTCACTCCTATTATAATTTAATATTTGCCAATGATCTCAGTTGTTAAGTAGTGCTGTAGGAATGTGTTTTAGATTATTGCCATTTCCACAAGATGCCTTAGAGGTACTTAAAAGACTGAGCATATTACAATGTGTTTTTAATGGCCAGAATAGACTCATTTAATACTTTAGTTGTCAGAGAATCATCCAGATTCAATTCCTACTGAAAAAAAAATAAATTTATACTTCTACATTTCATAGAAGAATGAGTCTGTGGTGTAGACTGAGGTTCTGTCCTGACTGGTCCTGCAGCTGTCTAGTCCCAAATAAACACACAGAGGCTTGTATTAATTATAAACTGTTTGGCCGATGACTTAGGCTCCTTACTGGCTAGCTCTCTCTTAATTGTTAACCCATAACTATTAATCTATGTATTTATACATGGCCTTATCATACTGGAAAACACCCCGTGTGCTATCTTCTCAGTAGCTACATTGTGTCTTCCCGTCAGTTCTCTCTCTGCCTTTCTCTTCCCAGCATTCTCCTTTTCTGGTATCCCCACCTATTCTTCCTACCTGGCTACTGGCCAATCAGTGTTTATTAAACCAATAAAAGAAACATATATTCACAGCATACAGACAGGGCATCCCAACCACTGCATCTCTTCCCTGATCCCTGTTTTTCCTTGTTTTCCCACTTTGTAGCTAGAATGGCAATAAGACTACGTGGCCTCTAGAATCATTTGTGCAGCAGAATCACATTAGTGTGGTATTAATCTAACAGGATACTCTCCTCTTGACTCCTAGATTGTTTTGTGGATGTAGTGGTTGGATTTGACATCTCAAGTCAGCAGAGGGGGCAGACTTTGCTCGAAGGTCAGCCCTGGATGGAGGCCTACCTCCAAGACATCTTCCGTGCCATCAGCTCCCTCAATGGGGTGAGCTGTGAAGTGGGCACAGAGACTCAGGTGAGCATAGCTTTTCAAGTGACAAACGCTATGGAAAGATACCCTTCCAAGTTCGAGATCTACAGTGAGAACATACTAAGCAGCTTGCAAGGTGTGACAGTCAATGGGCCATCTCGCCTCAACACAAACCTGCTGAATTCTCTGTGGGATACTTTTCAGAATAAGTCCGCTGCTCGAGGGAAGGTAACATGGCTTTAGTTTGTGTGTTGGTCTGCGGTTTTCAGTGGACTTTGTGCTAATTTTTTCCCTCGTTTTTTCTAAAACCTACCCTAGGTGGTCCTTCTATTTTCAGATGGATTGGATGATGACATTGAAAAACTTGAACAGAAATCGGATGAACTCAGAAAGGAAGGTACTGAATGGGGGTGGGGGGTAGGAATGTGTTAACTATTTTTGCTTTTTAAAGTAGGCTTTTATTTTGTAGCCCAGGCTAACCTGGGACATCTTATGTAACCCAAGTTGGTCTCAAAATCAGGGCAGTCCTCTTCTCGGCCTCTTGAGTGTTGGGATCACAGGCACGAAGCACTATGCCTGGCTGCCAAGTCATTTGCAGTCTGAGAATTTGACTCTTGCTCCTTTGTTCCCAGGTGCCCTACTGACCCTGGATTTGGCGATCTTGATCTTTCTCTTCCGTATGGGTGCAGTGGGGCAAGCATCCTCTCAGAACTTTTTGATCTCTCACTGCCTATCATGGTCCGTGTTTGTAAAGCAGCACACTGACCAGGGCCCCATGATTCCCTCCTCTTGATATGTTTGTTCTCCCAGGCCTTTCCTGGAAGTAGTTCCTTCCCATGTCACCACACATTGTTTAGTATTGTTACTTCTGTCACGTGGAAGTGAACGGGAACAAGTGACCAAGAACATGAGTGTTGGATGACTCCTCTCTCACACTAACCATTTCCAGACTTGCAAGCATTTGTTGGACAAGTTTCCTCATGTGCTGGGGCTTTGTAATTCCTTCCTCCAGGCTACAGAAGGACCAGCCATGATGCTTATGCAGCCTCAAAGCTCTTAAGCCAGGCATTTGGTTTTTAGAATCAATGGCAGCCTGACTTATTCTTGTTCCATTTAAAATATGGGTCAGCAGAGGCAAAAAGTAACCACATGCTCGGAAACAGGGCCAATCTCCTATAAGTGGGCACTGCTGCTCTTGCACCCACATCTCCTTTGCTGGCAGGATCACCCATTTGCCAGTCACCCAGAGCTGTGCATTCTCTGAAGAACCGCAATTGGCCTATAGGAGTCCCATCATCAGGAAAGTTACTTCCCACTTTGTCCCTGGGCAGTATAAAGAGTTGAACCTCGGCCTCAAGTGACACTGGGGCTGTGACTTACGTCCAGAACTCTCTGGGGTCAAGCCAAAGCTGGGGAATTGCTTGGGTCATGCCCTGTCCTTTTTCCTTCACCCCCTTTCTTCCGAGGACTTTTCAACATTCTGTTTCCAGGGAGCCTGGTCTAGTACAGGGCCTGCCTCCCAGGTTCATTAAGGTTGTCCAGGATCTGTTTTTTTTTTTTGTTTGTTTGTTTTGCTAAGTTCTCTCCTTAACCTTAAATTGCAGAGTTTTCCAGATTTACAGTCATATAGTAAAGGCTTTTATTTTACCCATTATCTATATGTACTTATTTCATGTATTTATTTATATATAAAGCTGCCTTCCTTTTATTTATCCAATCTTGGTCTTTGTTTCTGAGCTCTAAGTAGATTTTAATTAAGATTAAGGACAAGACTTCAGGGACCTAGTTTGAGAGGATAGTTTTGTTGTCATCCCTGTGATTTTAATTATTTCAGCCCTCTTATTGTGTGTGTATGAGCATGGGGAATATATCTCTTGCCTGTGGTGTTAAGGTATCGTCTAGGAAGCACTTAAGAACATCCAGAGCTCTAAGACCATTCTGTCTACATCTCCCAGAGAAACATAGGAAACTTGTATCTATTCTGGAATATTACCTTAATGATGTAAAGATGTATTATATTTGTTCATGCCACGTTTGTTTAATGATGTAAAGGTATATTGTATTTGTTTATCCTACATTTTTGTTTTGTTTTAGAGTTATAGCTCTTTTTTTTTCTTTACATAGCAGCCACAGTTCCCCCCCTCATCTCCTCCCACATGCTGCATTTGTTTAATTAAGTAAAGATGTGTTTCTGTCCTCCCTTGCCTGCCTAAGGCACCTGATTGGTCTAATAAAAAGCTGAATGGTCAATTGTTAGGCAATGGAGAGATAGACAGGACTAGCAGGCAGGGAGAATAAGTAGGAGGAGGAGGCTTGGGAAAATGAGGGGGAAAAAAGGGAGATGCCCAGGGTCAGCCAGACAGCCATCAGACAGACAGACACGCAGTAAGACATACAGAATAAAAGGAAAGGAAAAAAAACCAAGACAAAACATAGATGAAGAGAAACAGGTTAAACTAAGTTATAAGAGCTTGCTAGAAAGGAGCATAAGATAAGGCTGAGCATTCATAATTAATGATAAGTCTCTATGTCATGATTTGGAAGCTGCTTGATGGTACAAAAGAAAGCCTCTTATATGTATCAACTTCAGAAGGTACATATTCAGAAATTTAGACTCTCTGAGAAAAGAACAAGGGAATGGTGGTGGTAGTATACTCTGAAAAGCATCACATGGCTCTCAAAATGGACAAGGAATACCCCTGTCCTTGGGTTCCTATGTCTGTCTACCTATCTGTCTATCTGTCTTTCTGTCTGTCTGTCTATCTACCTACCTATCTATCTATCTATATGGCTTCCATTGATGATTTGTTGACCTAGGAGGAGAAAAGAATTAATGACCATGAGTGTGACTCTATAATTTATGCATGTAGATTGGGTTTGCATTGTTTCATTAAATCAAATGCCCTAGAATTTCCTCAGTGGTCCTTTATTCTCACAACTTTTGAGGCGTTTTCTTCCTTGATTCATGTCTAGCAACTGAAGACATTATTTTGAAGGTTGCATGACTCATTTATTGAACGAGTCTGAAGGGAGCAGGAATGGGTACTCCAATTCTGAGAATACTCATAAATAACAGTTCTGTGCATATTTCCTACATGTCAATATCCCATGGATCTCGCGACACTCATTTTTACACTTCTTAAACTTGTAAGGAAAACCAGATGTGGAAACACTTTTATAAATAGATCCATAGGCATGCCTCCCCCCATCACTAATGCCTGATTTAGATGTACAGCATTGCTATTCCAGTCTGCCCTACAGACTTTCTTCTTTCTCCTTGTTCTTAGTCTAGAAGGGTGACCTGTTACCCTAGTTTGTCCTAGGACAGGCCAGGAAATTACAGGACTAACACCAGAAAAGTTCCAGCAAACTGGAACAAGCTGGTCATCCAATTCTTTAGCCTTTCTTCCTTTTAAACCATTGTAGCAGTCTCCTCTCAAACCCCAGCCACTTCCCATGGTCCTGAGAGTACCCCCTTTATACTTTTCATTCAAATCACATAATATGGATGTCTCTAAGAAGGCACCATGACTCAGTGAAGCCTGTGATTATTTCTTTATCTACTCTGGTATTTTGGTCTCCAAATCCCATCCAGACAGTGCCTCCACATCCATCTGAGAATGAGAGATGCCTTCAGTACATGTTGGTTAAAATGCTTGAGTGTAAGGCTTTGGAGTTAGGCTTTGGATGAAAACCTAAGAGGTCTAGTAAGTTAAGGACTTAACTTCTCTAAGCCTCAGATTTTGTTTTGTCTGTAAAATATGGTTATAATCATATCTGAGTACCTATAGGGTATGACTAATATAATGCATGTAAATGATTTAACTGTCTTCCAGGCACACAGCGCAACTAAAGAACACTAAGGTAACTGTTAGCCAGGATGACTGCCAAGGTTACTTAATTCTTAGTTTTCAAAACCAGCCATTGGCAATCCTGTATTCATCCATCAAGTTTTATTTGAAATATTCTGATCTATAAAATTCTAAGGCTTATGAGACCCCGCTCCCAGTGATTGTCATTTGTTCCCTCTTAAAGTTACAGCTGGAGTGCCAGTTCCTTATGAGGTCATTAGAAGCATCCATTTTTGTGTGTGTGTATGTGGGGGTATGTGCCTGCTTTAGGTTATGTATACCACATGTGTGCAGGGGCCTTCAGAGACCAGAAGAGGAGCTGGAGTCACGGGTGGTTTCAGGGCACCACGTGGGTTCTAGGAACCCAACCCAGGTCCTCTGCAAGAGCAGTCAGTGCTCTTGACTGCTGAGTCATCTTTCCTGCCTCTATCACCCATTTCTGGCTTTTTGCTTGTTTAGTTTTGCTTTTTTTTTTAACAGACCTAAGGCTTAAACCTGGGGCATCACACATGTTAAGCAACTGTTCTACCTGGGAGTTTTGTTTAAATACAGACTTGAATTCAGTAGATATGGATTAAGGCCCAAGACCCTATATTTCTTTTTGGAATCAATCATTTTCCTGTGCAACTCTGTATTTTATTGAGATACTAGCCAGTGTGGGTATACATCTCAGGAAAGTCTGTATTTCTGAGGTGCTCCTAGGTGATTCTGATATTGTGGCTTTAAGTTTCTTCCACACAGGATAAAAAATGTAAAACATTGGCTTCTTTGATGCATGAATTCTTCTGCATTTTAGCAAGCTGTGTGGACCTTTACTTAACTCAATAAAGTTATGAAATTCTGTTACAGCCTGCCACTTCATTTCTGGTTTGATTCACTTAACTATTGTGCTATTGTTTGCTAGCATTATATTATGGGGTTGAAGAGCATAGACAATAGAAAGCAGCTGTTTGCTGAGACTAGTGATTTAAATATGCTGAATGATTTAAGTGACCTGAACCCACTTCACCTGGAGAATATGTTGAACAGGCCTGAATGCCCTCATAACCATTGCTGTGGATGGAGCTGCCAATACCGGCGACCTGGCTGACCTTCTCTACATTGAATTTGGGAAAGGATTTGAGTACCGAACACAGTTCACAATTGGTATGAGGAACCTTGGAAGCCAGCTGTCAAAGCAACTAGTAAGTTGACCCAGAAAAGGCTGGAGAGCTTAAGCAAATGTCCCACTATTGGGCTTTAATTGTTTAAGCCTTCGGTTATCTTGTATATGGGTCTAATATTGAGGAGTATGTGTGTGGACTAATACTTACATTTTAAGTGAAGACGGGTTTGGTGAACAGCCTAAGTAAGAACATGTGTGAAGTGTTATGTAGTAGAGTAGGTTGAAGCTTGTTCAGCAGATGCGCTTGGAACAAAAAGGGAGCGAGAGGAAGAATGAAGAGGAGAATAAGGAAGTGTTTAAGCAGCACTGATCATGCTGGCCAGATCACAAGCTGTGAGTGCTAGGGCACTAAGATGAGGCTGAGTTATGAACAGGCTGTTCCCTCCACCAGCAGCTTCTCAGGTTCCGTGCAGCTCTGAGCATCACAGTTTGGTGGCCCTATCGTTCAAGGTGTACTTTCCCTGCAGCACAGCTTGTAAGTGACAGACCGTTGCATGTGGAGTTCAAGCTGAGAAGCAGTAATCTGCTCTGAGGTGTGGGAAGAGCCAGAGGTCCTGGGCCTCACTGGTGGACTTTCTGAGCCAGGGATTTTCTCTGGTTGTCTCCACACTGCCAGACCCAGGTGCTCTGTTACGTTTTTTATGGTTCACACCTAGATTCGAGGCATCTTTACCACATTATTTCAGAAATATACAAAGAATCAAACTTGAGTGTGAGCATTACCAAGTCTGTAGCACATTGCTGATTTTACTTTAATGAGTGGTTAATGGCTCTGAACTAATTTGTTTACAATTTATAGAATCTTTGCTAAGTATATCAGAATACTTTCCCAATGAAGTGCTGTTTTTTTACCCATGAAAATCAATATAGCATTTACTGCAAACTGAATTTTCCTCAAAATTAATCTGCTAGGCCAATTGCAAACAAACAAACAAACACTCTGTCAGGTATCCAGGAGATGTCAAAGTAAGTCCAGGGTGAAATTCACTCACATTTTAAATATACATTAATTTTGTTTTGGCCATCACATAAAGAGAATATTCTCATACTTGCACCCTCTGTAGCAAATGCTTCTAAAATGTTGGCATGCAGCTGAGCATTTCTGGAGTCACATCAAACTCTTCCTAGATGTGTTTCCAGGGAACTCTGTTTCAAGCAGGGTTTCAGAATACACTGTCAACTCTGCCATCAAGCTGAGAAACAGAACCAGGAGAAAACAGCATGCCTTCATTTTATTGAACAAAGCATGCGGGGCAGGACGTGCAGAGAAGTCAACAATAGGCAAAACTAGGGTAAGGTAGCTAGAGAGATGTTTCAGTGCTTAAGAGCACTGGCTGTTCTTCCAGAGGACCCAGGTTCAATTCCCAACACCCACATGGCAGCTCATAACAGTTTGTAACTCAACTTCCAGGGAATCTGACTCACACCTCCACACTGATGGACTTAAAATAAAATTAAATAAATTATATTTTTTAAAAAGCTAGGGTAAGGTGTGTTGACAAGAGGCAACCCCACTGATCTTTCGTATGCAGTGAAGTAGCCATGGTCAAACTCATTGCAGAAGTCAAACACTTTTGATTTGGTCAGGAATTCCTCATAGGGTAAATATGTCAGGGCAAAGGAAAGGTTGGATGGACTGGCCATCTTAGCCATGACAAGGCTCCTGCCACCATGGAGTCTACAATGGAAAGCTTGTGTGGGATTTTGGAATCAATGCCACTAAATATAATTATCTTCATGTTCCCCCAAGATCAACGTTGCAGAAAGGACCTGTTGCTGTTTGCTCTGCAAGTGCACAGGAGGGGACGGCACCATGGGGAATCCAGGCTCAGCAGGGAAAAAGGTAAGTTTCCCTCAGACTTAATGATCCCATCATTTGAACTGTGGCATGTCTTTCAGTTCAGTTGGGGTAGAAATCGAGAGGCTTTACCTGCCAGACCCAGCCTCTGGAGGAGGTGGACAATTATGCTACTCTTTCTCCATGTCAGATTAGATAGATAGTTGCCATTTCCCTTGGTTTTCTAAGTTAGAATTGCTTGGAAGTTCTTTGGGTCCAGTGTTCAAGCAGTGATGGTAACAGAAGAATCGGGTGATCCTTGTGCCGAGTGATGAACACCTCCTCCACACCAGTAACTCATCTCACTTTCTCTTTCTAACCTTGGCAGTGACATCAAAATCAAGTCAATCATGTGTAGAATCTGCTGAAAATCAAACTTACTCAGCTCACTCCACCATAGCAAGGGATGTGGCAGCATTGACGTCTCCAGATGTATATACAGAAATGGCCTGATAGTTTCATTTTTTTCATAATCAACAACACTAATTCATGTGTTTCCTAAATAGAATACTTATGTATCCCTGCATAAAAATACTATTTCAGACTTTAGGACACATTCAAATATGTACAAACACACTATGGGACACATTTAATGATTTCAATACTGCTACTTTACATATGGTTTGAATGTTTGGTCATCATGCACAGTAGTATGGCTCCCCCATCATCAGAATCATGTCACTAGAGAAAGGTTTGGATTAATTAATTCTAGAATGCGTAGACTACATGGAAGGAGAATGTTAGAATTTAAAAATATACCAACACCAGAATAGAAGGAAATGTGTGTGGTCTGGCTTTCTACGTGTAGCAATAAGTCCTAAGAGGGAGGGGAAAGTTATTTTGATGAAAAGAATTATTTTGTCAAGGACAAATACATTTGTCTAGAGAGGAAAGGCAGTTCTGTTAGTATTCCTGGAGACAGTGTGCTGGCACGGATACACACTTGTATATGTGCTCACACTCACGCATACACATACACAGCTACCACTCCACATACATACATGCACGGATTCATATGCATGCATGTATCGGTGCACTCACATCTGCATCCACAGATTCCCCCCGCTATGTATATACACATGCCAAATATGTACACACACCCTTGAATATCTGGTACTTGCACAAAAATTCTTTTTATTTGTATAAACACAGTAACTTGAGGCAGAAAGTCAGGGGCATCTTCAAAGCAGTGGATCTGTGTTGATGTCTCTCACTGCCCAGTCTGTGGAGAGCTCATGTTTTCTCCTTTTTTTTTTCCCAGGGACCCCCAGGTTTTAAAGGCAGTGATGGCTACCTGGGAGAAGAGGGCATTGCTGTAAGTCAAGACCTTTTACAGCTTACTTATTCCTAAAAGCATAAGAAGAGAAACAGAGGTCAGAGTCTAGGGTTAAGATGCAGTATCAGGCTCTTTCCTGAGCCTCCTTGTGCCTGGGTAACACTTCTCCTCCTCAGTTATTGCCGTACCACCTTGCTTCGACTTACCCATCTACACTGCACAATGAACTAGGTGTGAAAGGTAACATTGTCCCCATAGGAGCCACATCCCGACCATGTGCCCAGGTCATTTGGTAAGAATTAAAGCACATCACCACATCAGGAAACCTTCCCTCCCTGTTTCTTCCTCCCTCCTCTCTCTCTCTCTCTCTCTCTCTCTCTCTCTCTCTCTCTCTCTCTCTCTCTCTCTCTCTCTCTGTCTCCCATATATCCAATGATGCATTCATTTGACAATACATATTGAAGTTTCTTATTATTAATTTCATTATTTACAAAAGATGTTGATACACATATCATACATATATATATATATGTACTCCATGTAAGCACCCTAGAAATGAGAAAAATACAAAACCATAACATATGGCTCCTGCCTTAGGGACCTTCTACACTAGTGAGAAGACAAACAAGGTAACTATGTCCAGCTGCTCTGCACTGGCTGTGTTGAGGCATGGGGAGATGATGGTATTGAGCAAGAACAGGCGCGTAATGACTTAAAGACCACCAAGGTGGGAGCTGGGCCTGGGAGGAAAAGGCTGCAAATAAGGGTAACACTTGGGCAGACACTTGAAGGATGGCAATGAGTTTCTCTGGATAAAGCATTTGGGAAATCACATTTTACTGCAAACAGGAACCATGAGTTCTAAGACAATAATAAAGTCAAAGGGCTGAGAGTTGGCAAAATGGCAAATGGCCAGCATGGGTGGAACCCAGGACACTGCAGAAGTCCCCTGGGAAGACTGACTGGTGTGTAGATGAAGGACAATGAGTGGTGGGTAAACCAAGAGTGGAATGATGGGGATGGTCTGCTCAGGCAGCATCAAGGGTGGTGGTCATGGATCAAAGTCTTAAAGTCACAGTGACCGGGAAAAGAGTCCTGAATCTTGCCTTAGGGCCAAATGAACACACTTGTTAAGGAGGTAAAAAGGGAACAATGTGGTGGCCACCTGGGGAAAGGGAAGCTCCACCCAGGCAATAGGCAGGCAGGTGGTGTCCAAAGCAAAGGGCTGTCATGACTGTAGCTCTGATTTACTTCTATTCTTTGTATTCGTAGGCTGGAGTCCTGGAATGTAAGTCATGAATAGCCAGATGTTTTCTTAAAAACAAAACAAAACAAAAATGCTTGTCAACTATCCCAGACAGATCCCAGATCATAATAGCACACACTCATCTGGATTTGTGCTTTTCCACTTTCCTCAGGGAGAAAGAGGAGCCTCCGGACCAATGGGAGAGCAAGGTACTAAGGGATGCGTTGGCACCAAAGGGCCTAAGGTGAGGGTTATATGAGACCTTGTGACGTCATCTTAGCAGTTCATTGCATCTCCCATACTCATGCTGCTGTCCTTTTTGTTATCAGGGAACCAGAGGACTCAGTGGAGAAGAGGTATGGCGTCAGACCCATATATTTTATTTGCGCTTTAGTTATCTATGAAACTGTTACTTTTGAAATTGTTAGTTATCAGTAGGTGCTACAAGTAAAGTCACTGTTGGCTTTCCTTTTTTTTTTTGTACCAGCCATTTCTTTTTAATTTTCGAGACTATAATTATAGCATTTCTATCTTCCCTCTCCTCCTTTCAACCCTGTCATATACCCCCCTTTTATCTTTCAAATTCATGGTTTCTTTTCTCTCTAACTGTTAATGCATGCATATATGTAGTAACTGTTAATACATGCATATATGTGCGTGTTTATAAATGCACCCTGCTTAGTCCATATAATGTTACTCGTATATATGTTTTCAGTGCTGACCATTTGGGGTTGGATAGCCGATTGCTGTGTTCTTCCCTGGGGAAGACTGTTCCTCCTGCTAACATCCCTTGGTTGGTTGTAGTTTTTTTTTTTCTAGGGCTGTGGGACTTTACCATTCACCTTGACATTTTTATTGTTGCTGTCCTTGTTCGGATCATGTTTAGGTGGTCATATTGGTGAGAGTTGATGAGTGTAGTTTCTGACACTACTAGGAGACACCGTCTCACAGCAAACTCCCTGATCCTCTGACTCTAACAATCTTTCTTCTCCCTCTTCCACAATGCTCCTGGGTCTTAAGTGCAGTAGTGTTTTGTAGATGTAGCCATTATCACTATGCTCAAAAGCTCAACCTTTTAATGAATTGGAGCCGCTTCTGTCTGCTCCAGAAGAAGTTTCTCCACTTACGGTATAAGGACAAATGTTTAGATTGTTGTTGGGGAGTATACTGGTTTAGTTAAATGGTCATAGGTTCTTTTTCATTAGCACTGAGTAGTTGGCTAGGTTTCGAGTATCATGTTTTTTCTCTTGTTGAGTGGGTCTTAAGTTCAATTAGAGAGTGGTTTGTATACATGTCACAGTTCACCCCTATGGTTATTATGCCGTGCTTATCCTTGGGGTTCATGGTCATTCATAGCTAGGAAGGACAGCTGGCTGCCTCCCTTCTTTGGAAGGTTACATGGTACCTTCTGGTACCATGAAAGTTGGTCCTCAGGAGGAGACATGCGGGTCAGTTCCCATTCCTGGTCTTTGGGGTCTGCATCTGAGGTGAATGGTGTCTTCAGCAATAGGGATTTGTCTTCCATCTCTGTGGGGCAGGTAAGTGATGAGCAGGGGCAATAACAATAGGCTGTATGTTTTGGGACTCTCTTACACAGCCTGGCCAACAATTTAAAGGAGGGCTTCTCATGTCTGGTATCGGGGTTATTTTTAGGCGGTCTTTACCCTTAAAGGAAGCATTGTCAGCCCAAGTGAGAAAAGTTCAATTAAACTATATATGTACATTTATATGCTGAATTTACATATAGGGTCTTTCAAAAGTAGTTAATAATGATTCATCACAGATTTATCAGATATCCTTATTGTCATTTTGCCCACTTCCCTCATTCTGTATTTACTTCCTTCCCCTTCCCTTAGGTGCACCTTTCCAATTTCCCTAATGGGATTGTACCCAGCTATTATCAGTTCATTGGCTGAAGGACATTTAGGTTGTTCCTGTTTCCTAGCTATTGTGAAAAGAGCAGTCACAAACATAGTGGAGCAAATGTCTGTGGAGTACAAAGTTGAGTCCTTTGGGAATGTACTAGGGAATGGTACATAAGCATAGCTGGTCAGATGGTAGATTTAGCTTTTTGATAATTCTCCATAGGGGTTTCCATAGTGACTGTACTAGTTTGCAATCCCGCCAACAGTGAATGAGGCTTCTAGTTTCCCTGCATCCCTTCGATATTTGTCGTTCATTGTTTTGTTGGTACTTGCCATTCTGACTGGGGTAAGATGAAACTCAAAGTTGTCTTGATTTGCATTTTTTTCTGCCTCTCATTGCAGACTCTGTTTATTATGACAGTTTCTATTACAGAAAGTAATCTTCGACATTACCTCTTGAAGCTGTTGTTCAACAGTGAACCTTTGAGACTGTTTTTGTTTGGTATCTGACAGATGTGCCCTATATGCTAATAAGATCTGTCTTTGCAGGGAGAAGTCGGGGAAGATGGGATTGATGGATTAAATGGAGAACAGGTACAATGTTGGCGTCTCCCCCACCCCAGATACCCTTCTCAGCTGGCTCTCATGAAGAAAATGAGAAATTGAACTTTCCCTTCTCCAATTTTTAGGGTGACAGTGGGATTCCTGGAAGAAGAGGAGAAAAGGGTGATGAGGGATCTCAGGTAGGGATTCAGGACTCAGAAACTATTAACCTTCACTTGAGGTAAAAGGAATGGCTTATAAAGTAAAACAACTACCCCAGACGTGTCTACCAGCTATGGCTACAGACTTGTTTAGAGACGAGTATTCATGAAACGTGACCACATATGACAGTAATCTTTAATTTCTTATGTGTCTTATGGGTTCTGCTGTTCAAGGCTGAGCATGGCTAACCTTGGCTCAGGTCTATATAATGTACATGCGTTTCTTAGCACATGGGCCATGACTTTTCTGTAGAGGGTGCCTGTCGGGAGGTCTTATGCCTCTTACCAACAACAGCCCTACTTTGTTCCCAACACTCCTCAGGGGGCAGAGGCAGGTAGCTCTCTGTTTGAGGCCAACTTGGAATGCATAGTGAGTTCCAAGCCAGTCAAGGATACATAGTAAGACCCTGTGTAAACAAAACAACACACACATGCATGCACGCACACATGCATACATACACACACACACACACACACACAGAGAGAGAGAGAGAGAGAGAGAGAGAGAGAGAGAGAGAGAGAATCTTGCCCACTATGATTGGATATCACTTCACAGTTATGTGAGAAAGGACCAGATACAAGGAGGGAAAGGTATTGGAGCCACAGAAGATGCACACTAAGAACATGGGGGGATGTTGACTGGGATCTGTGGCATGAGGCAGCTGGTGAGAGCACATGGCTCTCCTTTCCATCTGGGACACAGTGACAGTCACTCCTCAGGCTTCTGCTTGGTCTTCACAGTGTGAGCAGTTGATTTGAAACCCACATTTTAGTTGTTGTGAGATGTCCTTAGGCAAGTAACATGAATTTTGAGTCTCTGAGGCCTCATTAAAATGAAATATTTTTTAAAAATCCTTTGTAGAATAACAACAAGCAAGGTGACAAGTATATTTGGAACACAGAGTTCACGAGTGCAATAAATAACCGAGATCACCACTGAGTTACTTATTTGATGCCAAGAACTTTCTTTTGCAGTTCCTTTTTCCAGATTAAAAACAACCTCAGTGGAAAAATATTTAATTATTAAAACCAGAGAGAATCTAAGCTCTTTATGCTTATTAAGTTTATTAAAGCCTCCCATCTTGTTCTTGTTCTTATCTGTATTAATTCCAGGGAAGCCCAGGCAAGAGAGGGACTTCTGGTGACCGTGGAGCAAAGGGCCTGCGAGGAGATCCAGTAAGTGTGAGGGCTATGCGGGCTGCGTGGGCTGTATACCATAGTTAGGGTTCCCTTCCATAGAGGGCAGATGTTCCATTTCAAGGCACTGTGGGCATACTCCTGAGCTTACAACCTTGAAGTCCTAACTGGAGATGTTAAATGTAGATTCTTAGCCTATATCCTCTTCTTATTCATTCTTGTCCTTAAGAGTGAGGAAGGAATTCTAGTCCATTCAGTTAGTTTCCTAAGCACCTTAAAATACAGCGCATAGAAGAAACAAAGTTACCTCTTTTTGTTTATTCCCCCAAGATTCTGTCTTTTGAGAATAGCGGCCTTGCCTTCTCACTCCAAGGGTTTGGAGGGGGATTCTATCAGGCAATGCTCAGGACGTTAAGGTACCTGCTCTTGTGAGGTTACAACCGGGCAGAGCAGGCACAACCCACAGTCACGCATGAGCACACTACTTGTCAGCGGAAGTCAGTACCTCAGGCTTTCCCTCACCATGCCCACCGTTCAGTGACTCTCCAGTGAACAAGGACTTTGTCAAGAAGTGAAAATGTTTGTTGGGCTTTCTGATGGGCTGTAACACACACCCATACAATACCCAACTGTAAAATCACGGGCTTGATCGTTGGAAGATGCCAGTATGGTCATCACCCAGAAAAAGGAAGAAAACACACCCAAATCCTAGAGGCCCCCTTGGGCATGCTCCAGTCACTGCACATCCTGCCCGGGCCGCCACTCTACTGGCAAGGGGTATCAGTCTTAACTCCCGTGAGCTTGGCATGAATGGGATCATGGTGTTTGCGCTCTTCTGTTTCTGGCTGCTCTGTGCCACTTTATGGTGGTGAGGTGCGTTCACGTGGTCTGTAACGCACGCCGCTTGAGTTCACTGCTGTGTAGCACTGCCCTGAGTGTTCATCTTGCCAGATCCTCTGCAGCGTGCTGTCAGACCCACTGGCCTTAGACCTCAGTGTGTAATAGTCCTTTCTCACCCACTTGAAAACCTGCAGCCCAAATTTAAAGCAATTCTCTGTGCTTTTGTGTGTGTGGTTTTAGTGGAAGTCTATTTCAGGAAATTTTAGGAAATGGGATATTGACAGAATAAATAAAACACAGATGGGATCATTATATTTCTCAGGAATGCATGCGCAAATAATACAAATTCCTGGTGAGAAAACCTAAGCAAGATTTTGGAATTTCCCATTTTAACTACATAGCTTTTTTTGTTTGTTTAAGGCTGGACTTGAACTCTGAGTCCTCCTGTGTCTACCTCCCAAGTACTAGAATTACAGGCGTGCCATGCCTCTGCCATGCCCGCAGCCCAGCTTTGATGATGGCTTTTTAAAATTTCACATACCAGGAGAAATCTGAGCAAAATTGTCTCTCTGATCTACAGAGACTGATAAACTCATCACCTGACAATACGTCATTAGTAGAAGCCCGTGTTTGATCATAAATTTGTGTTAAACAGTGCTCTTTGTTCTCTCGGAATAGATTATAGAGAGATTAGCTTATGCTCACGTGACAGAGCGACTCACCTACACACATGGGTAGGAAGTTCTGTTCTGAACTGCTGGTGTGCGATTCTTTGTATGTTACCCCTCAGATTAAGGGCTTTATGTGTTCAGTGGAATAAAGTTCTAGACTTGAGAAGGACATGTTTCAACTCACATTTATTCCTAGTACTCAGGAGGCAGAGACAGGCAGACCTCAAGGCTATCCTGGTCTACATAGAGAGTTTCCAGACCAGCCTGTCTCAACATAAATAAGTGAATAAATAATTAATCCTGTGGCCATCTTCCTTCTCTGTATCTTCCTCACCGGAATACAGTTAGGTGTCTCCGTGTTTGGTAATTTAAGGGATGCATATTTAAGCTTGAGGAAGAAATGAAAATGTAGAAAATAAACCTGGTTTGATAGGAAGGGGAATGAAATAAAATTGTCCTGCGTGTTGTAGTAATAGCAATCTCTTCCTCCCTATTAGCTTATAAGCTACTTAAGTCCAAGTCCAAACACTACTTTTAAAAAAGTCTTACTAAGTGTCTGGAAGAGTGTCTCATCCCTGTTGGTGATTGCAAATTGCTTATTGATTGATTGGCGGTAATCTAGGGCACTGTCAGTAGGGCAGCCCGGCAGCTGGCACTCAGCAGGTCCGCATCATCGCTGTTCCTTCTCGGCTTATTGGAGCATTGATTAGCTTGCCTGGCTCGATGGATGGTCTCAGTACTGTGCAATAAAAGTTAGAAAGCTTTATGACTTTGCTTCTAAGGATGGTATCCCTCAATGATGCAATGCTAGCAACTTGCTGCTCAGATGTTTGAATGAATATTAAATATTAAAAAACATGTTTTAAGTTTTTTTTTTAAAACCAGGAATGAGCATATGAGAATAGGACATGGGGGCAACCAGGTTGCCAAGTATTCGGAGACCTTTCCTGGAATGACATAAACAAACATCTGACCACCCCCAGATGATAGACTAAGAAAACAATTGCATCCAAGTCTAGCTTAGTGAGCCACTGAGTTTATTCAAGTTTCTTATGGGAGCATAGTGAGGGGTTATTTACAGGAGTGTGGTTGACTCGGGGCAGCTGCATCACTGGAAGGCCACCCCAGCGAGAAAGGGAGACCCAACAAAATCCATACCCATAGAGCTCCTTGCCAGTTTGTAGGTAGTTTCCTCAGTGTCTCCCCTCCCTGGCAGCTTGTAGGCAGTTCTCTAATGCCCCCTCCCTGGCAACTGCTACTGCTTATTCAGCATGGCAGGCACATGGTCCTGCATCAGGGAGTGGTGTGTGTGTGTGTGTGTGTGTGTGTGTGTGTGTATGTGTGTGTGTGTATGTGTGTGTGTGTTTGTGCGTGGTGTATGTGCATGTGATAAACCCATCACAAGAGTTTAGCCTCCCACCAAGAGAGGGCAAGCCTACTAATTCTCATGTGTAGATTTGCCCCGGACTCGTGGAAAAGAGGAAAAGCTAAGAGGAGGGCTGGCTCTAGCTCCAGGGTGGGACATAGCCCTGTCCCCTTGCTTCCCTTGGACATGCCTCCTGTCGTGGTGAGGTTCTGCTTTTTCCCCATGTGTTCACCTTGGGTAGCCACTCTGAGTCTGCTAATAGCAAGTCAAGGAGGCAAATCAAATGCTTTTAAGTTTCCTGTCACTTCAACCCATTTCTTCTCTCTTTGATGAATTTGCAATCTTTAAAAAAAACTGTTCATTTTTTTCTTCATTTTCTCCTTTTTAGGGAATTCCTGGGATTGACAATAACATACAAGGACCCAAGGGCTTGAAAGGAGACCATGGAAGACAAGTAATTATGTGGACATTTGAAAGCAAACTTGCTGCATGAGGCTCTGTCATGGTTGAGAGGCTCTAGGCTGTAATAGTAGAATATAAAACACCTGGGGAGGAATTTGGACTAAGAGAATATATTTAGTACAGAAAAACCAAAAAAAAGTCCTTCCCTCCTGCATATTTCTTGTTCTGAGACATGAGAAACATTGTTTGTCAACTTCTAAATTGGGGGTGACTAGCTGCCCTAAGCCACACCTATATAAGCTCTGGCATAAAAGAAAGGACCAAAAGATTGTTTTTAAAGGCTAGCAAAGTGTTGACCTTCCCAGTATCCAGGGGACACACATGCTAGGAAGACACGCCCCTCTTAGCCTGCAGTGGAAAGTTGACATGGGTGGCTCCTCCCACATGGCAGATCTCTAGGGATCCACTGTTCGGCAATCTCACAGATCACTATTTAGACCCCTTATCCTATTACTTAGGATTTTAAAAATTATGTGGATAATGTGTGTCTCTGGTTCCTCTTAATGAGCAAGATCCCCTGAGAACTCCCCGTAGGGAAGAAGCCTGGTGTGGTAGGAAGGAGTCAATGGCACTCTCGTCTTCCTCAGGCTCTGTTCATGACCTGCTTTGTACACCGGGGCCCCACGCTATGGAAACCTTGATTTTTCTTCCTTGCAGAATGTAGGATATTGCCTACTTTTGTGTTTTCTTGATTAATAAATTATTCCATCCTTTTGCACTTGGGGTTGAGAGAAGGGAGACTTACAGGAATTTTCAGGCTTTATTCATGGGAAGGTGTTAATCTGCACAGGGTAAGCAAAGAAGCAGACCAAAGGTAGGAATCCCAACAGGGGTCTAAGGAGATGGCTCACTTGGCTAAGCGCTTCATGTGAAAGTGGGAGGACCTGAGTTCAAATCCCCAGCACCCACTTACAAAGGTGGATGTTGTGACATACACCTGTAATCTGAACACTGGGCAGGAAGATCCTAGGCCCTTTGATCAGCTAGTCATGCTGAATCTGTGAACTTCAGCTCCAGTTAGAGACCCTATCTAAAAAAATAAGGTGGAAAGCAATTGAGAAAGGCACTCTGTCACCATCTGGGCCTCTACATGCACTCGGATGTATGGACACAGCCCACACATACACACCCACACAATGCACAAAACACCCAACCAGCAGTGGCCTGCCGGCCACATTCATGCTATGCTAGGTGAGAGAGTAGGGATAGTATTGTTTTGACCTGTGTCTCAAACATGAATTAGTTACATGAGCAGTTGACCCCTGAAACCATGTAGTTAGAGATGCACTGCTGTAGCCCATGACCCATGTAGAGATATGACTTATGACCAAAGGAAGATAGTATCACACTTCATGGAAAGATGATTTCATCCCCGGAATGAACCCTTCTGGTTCAGGAGTAGATGTTAAAACAGAACCCTGTCAGTGATGTAATGTTGCTGTCACACATCCTTTTGTTCTTCTGACAGGGGAGAAGAGGATGGCCAGGCCCTCCTGGGACACCAGGCTCAAGAAAAAAGACGGTAAGAGCTCTTCAAGGAAGGAAGTTTCTAGACCTGGGGATGCCATAGCTTGAGCTGCTATGACAGTGACTGACTCCGGGGAATTGGTGAGATGATCAATGGGTCAGGGATGCTATCTCAGAATGGGGATGGCCTGGTAAAGTCCCTGAAGCTTGAGTAAGAAAATGCTGGCTACATGGGAAATTATCCAGATGGAAAGATTGCCACACAAAGAAAACAAGAGTGGTCAAGCAGGAGAAAACAGTCAGTCAACGCTTGGCCTATTTGATGAGTTAACTAATGTTGCTAGTGATGTTACTTGATTGACAGCCTGAAGTTCTTTATCTGCATTGTCAGGTCTACTGCTATTATCAACATGCAGGTCTTGTTTAGGCAACCATAATGTTGAGATTTTAAAGGGTATAGCATCCCTGCCATGTCTTAGGGTAAGGGAAGATAGAGGTGAAGGAATAATATTAAATATAGTCTACTCATATGAATTCTCAAAAAATTGGACATAACAAAAATGTTAGTTAAGAAGAGATAAAGAGTGGGACTATTGCAGACATGTAACCCAGAGTTAGACTATGTTGGTGGGTGTCTTAGGGATTCTGATGCTATGATAACACCATGACCAAAAGCAACTTGGAGAGGAAAGGGTGTATTTCAGCTTACAACTCCCAAGTCATACTCCATCGCTGAGACAAGTCAGGGCAGGAACTCAAGGCAGGAACTGAAACAGAATCCATGGAGGTGTGCAGCTTACTGACTTACTCCTCTTGTCTTGCTCAGCCTGCTTTCTTATACAATTGAATATCACCTGTCCAGCAATGGCACCACCCTCGGTGAGCTGGATCTTCCTCTCAGTTACAATACCCCACAGACTTGCCTGCAGGTCAGCCTCATGAAGGCATTTTCTCAATTAAAATTCCCTCTTCCCAGATATGTCTAGATGTGTGTCAAGTTGACAAAAGTCAACTAGCACATTGTGGAACCCTTTGGGGGGAGTTTTAATTTGTTTTTAGTTTATTTTATTGGTTTTGTTTAAATATGTGCTTTAAAACATTCCATGCATGACTGCTTAGAAAAGTGCACAAAGATTCCAAACAGAAAGCCTTTATCCAATAAAAGGAATAAATGGAATTCACTTCCACACCTGCATTAGAATCTAAATTAGACCAATTTTGTCTCATTTTGCAGAATTTTCTTTTCCATTCTTTGTTTAGCTATCCAGCCTCCTTTGAGTTTCCTTACCCTACCCCTCAAAATGCATGTCTTAAAATTGAGCACACATGAAAGCTAGTTGAATGGATGGCACTTCTGATGCATTGTTTTCTGGGCAGAAGGAGTTTATGAAACTAGCTCTCATGCTCCATCAGGAAGTGTTTTGCATCTGTAGCATACCCATGTTTTTCACAAGGCTAGGAAATGAAAGAAGGGTGGAGATTACATTCGAACTAGCAGAGTGTGATTGTTAGTGGCCAATTTGCTAATGTTGCTTTAATGCATATGCAGATGAGGGAGCGTTTGTCCTCCCCACTTGGTCTTCTGGAAGGACATCCTTTAAGGCTTCCATCCCCCTGCAAAATATTTTCACTGTTAAGAATATCACCCAGGAAATCCTGGTGTGAAGGGATGTATATTTATTGTTTTGTGGCCTCCAGGGGCCATACCAAACTGCAGTTTCTGAGGAGGAGAGCCCCCAGTTTGGTGATAGATGCCTCTGTGTCATGCAGGAATCAAAGTAGGGCTCTTGACAAATGACAAAGCCTCAACTAGTCCTTTTTTGTGCAACTCAGCAAAATAAAATAAAACAAAAAGACACAACGATCCTGCCTTCAAGCTACAGACAAGGATTAACACAGGCCAGCTAGATTTAGACCTGGACTGTGGGGAGGAAGTCCACCTGTTACTCAGCTCTGAAGCCATAATCAGGTTTCTCTCAACGTTAACGGTCGCCATCCAGAAAGAGCTGGTAAACACAGTCCTGCAGATTTTCAGTGTCGGTTCTGAGGAGGGGGAGGTAGCCCTGCACATCCCAGTGAGCACAGGCAGCAGAAGGCATGGAGAGAAACTGAACAGCGTCTTGTTTGTAACACCAGAAATCAGAAGCTGAGACCAGGGAAACTTGGAGAAGTCAGTGGAGATTATGACACAGGTAAACAGCAACCTATGGGGTTGGTAACTATAACTGCTTCCTGGAAAAGAAGAGCAGATAAACCCCTCTTCTGCTTGAAAGGCTGTTGACTGAAAGGGAACACGCCCGTCTTAAGGTTCACTTCTGCTATCAGAGAGAGGTCAAGACACTATCTTGGGCTCCCCGAGGGCAGGAGCAGCAGAGCAGGAGGACCACAGCTAGAAAGCACAGCCCCGGGCACTGCTGGGAGGTGGGAGGGATGATTGTCTCTGAACCAGACTGTTGAGGATTAGAGTAGATCCTCTGCCAGCGGTAATGAGAAGCAACTGTAGCCTCAACCCAAAGCAGTCGTTCATCCAGTTTGGTCCAGATTAATCGCTTTGGTCATGCTTTCTGCATTCATCCTTCTGGGAAGCCTCCCAGAGTGCTCCAGGGCAGCACCATTGGGGATGAGCCTACAGTAAGATTCAGGATACATGGGTGTCTGCCATTAACACCCTGCTTGCTTCTTGGTGACTCTCCATCCGAGATCAGTCATGCCTACCCAGAAAGCCAGGCTGGTGGAACCATGGAGCTGGGGACTCTGTCTTGCATTATTTTCTTCTCCAGTCCCCTAAGGGGACTGTCCTCTCTTGATGTACCCACTCACGTTTACTTTAAAAAGAGTCAGGTTGTCTGGGTATGTGACCAGAACCCGGTCAGCCTTTGAGTGCACTCTTCCAAAAGTCTGCGGTTTTCTTTCCTATGTAAACCACTTGAAAATGACAGGCAAAGGCTGCAAAATCATTTGCTCTAATTCCGTGTCTGTGTCTCCTGTTTGCCAAGGTCTCTCTCCCGTGACTCCGTAGCTTAAGTCAGCAAATATTCTAGGTGGCCACTTCTGGGTTTGTTCCCTTTATTTATGTCACTGTAGATTAAAATCTGTCTCCTCCATTAGGCCCAAACCCCCATGGCTAGGGATAGGAGTCAGTTTTTACTCAGGAGGGGCCAGGGACCCCAGAGAAACATTTGTGTTACAGTGACTCATATCCTTGAACTCTTTCAAAATCAGATCTTAAAATCATGGGAGTGAAGCTGGAGAGATGACACAGGTGGCAATGTACTTGCAGGCAAGCCTAAGGACGGGCACAGAGCCCATGTACCAGCTAGGTACGGTGGTGTACCCCTGTAATCCCAGCGCTGAGACGGCAGGCTAACAGATCCCTGATACTGGGGGGACAGCCAGTCCAGCCTGACTGGTGAGCTCCAGGTCAATGGGGAGACCCAGTCTCAAAACGCAAGGTAAATGACACCCGAGGAATGACACTGGTGGTTGTCCTCTGGCCTCCTTGTGCACAATCACACGTGTGCATCTACAGACACGTGCAAATGAGCACACACAAAAGGCAAACAATGACACAGGAGCAGGTGTTGATGTTGCAAACACTGGCAGTAGAGAAACACCGTTCATGTGGAGGTCTGCTCTACAGCCCTTAAAATCGGCGGGTGAATTTTTGTTTTCCTAGAGTGTGACATCCTCCTCAGGTCCTCCGCTGCCACCAGGTGTTTTCACATGAAACCTGCTCCGCCTGACCAAGCATGGGACAAACCAGCCCCTCTCACCTCACACTTTTGACTCTACTTGTCCTCGTTGCCATTACCTACTACACCTCCTATTTTTCTGCCTTTATATCATGACCTGGGGGAGAATTTCTGCACATGACCAGCGAGATCTTTGAAACTGTCTGCCCATCCTTAGGCATGTGCCAGGCTCTACCTTGTAAAAGCGTGTAGTGTTTCTCCCTCCTTCCTGGTACTGGGAGTGAGGATTTCCTGCAGTCAAAGACTTGGGGCATATGTGGGGGAGGGCTCAAGCATGCGCACAGGCTTCCTTCTCTTGTGGTTCCTATCTAGTGTTCTTCAAAGGTAGCAGTAAATAGTTTTCAGAATGAACTGATCTACTGGTGGGTATTTTTCCGAATGACATGGAGTTGAATCGAATTGGGACAATTCATTGTGCTAAAGGAAATAGATTCTTTTTAAACTTTAAAAAAAATGTATGTATATGGGCATGTGAGTATATATGCAACCACATGTGTGCAGTTGCTTGTCAATGCCAGAAGAGGATGTTTGATCCCCTGGAACTGGAGTTTCAGGCAGTTGTGAGCTGTCTGATGTGGGTGCTAGAAACTGAACTAGGGTCCTCTCCAAGAACAGCAAGTGCCCTTGGACGCTAAGCCATCTTTCTGGCCCTTTGAAAAATGACCTCTTTTTCTTCTCTAACAGAGAACTTGGGCCTTGAAGATGACTCATTCTTCTTTGAAAGGAATGAGACATTTCCCCATGCCTATTCCTTTGCTGCTTAGATGACATATCTGGAAATTCTGGCTTATCAGAACATTTCACATGAGCTTCCAGCAAGACGATATTGTCTGGTGGTTGTTGAATTTTCTGAATCCTAGGTGTGAGTTTTGCTCTGACCTTCTTAAGTGACCAAGTCAGACAGGAAAACATCATTGTCTCATGATTTTTTGAACTGTAGATTACTTATTGGGAATGCTCCTTGAGCCCTGATCTTAAATGGAGTGAAAATATCCCTTCCCTGTTTAACAATGTTAAATGGATCAAGTATTTTATTGATACAATGAATCAAGTCACTTTTGAGTATCTGAGATGATTTCTGACAGTTAATCTCATTGCTTGGCCCTGGAAGTCAGGCTAGCTTGGCTCTTTGATTTCTGAGCTTAGAGTATTGTGAAGTTCCTGGAGACAATCCTCAGCTTTTCTTCTGGCATCCTGCCCTTTGGCTGGTCCACTCTTGATTCCAGACTTATTTTGTAGTTCTTGGGGGAAAATAAGAAAGAAATAAAATTCAGGTCAGTGTTCCAGCTACTGAGCAGCTCTGGTCAAGTCTAGTGGAGGTGGGCTGCCGGCTATGATTTGTTCTCCGTGTATCTGGCGTTTGGCTATGATTTCAGTTTATCTACATAGAAATTTAGAGTTGGCGACAGCCTGTTTTCACAATGCACTGACTAACTGAGTGTAGGAGTTATCTATGTCAGTGCTGTGAGGTATCTGTTACCAATTTAAATCATATATATGTAACATCTTCTCTAAACTAAGAATATCTATTTTTTCCTTTTATTTTAGGTAGTTCATGGCCGAAGGGGACATATAGGCCCACAGGTCAGTGATAATTTCTTTTTCTTAACTTAAGATAATAAATAACTCATGTCCAATCAAGAATAAAGTCAGTAATGTCTCCTTCTATCTTAAACTTTGGGTTTTGATGACATTGGTTGTAGAACAAATTGTTAGAAAATGTTAGCTACAATTTTAAGAATTCAAAATTAAATGAAAACTGGGGTACTTTACTTAAAACTTTCAAAGATATTAAAAACATGTTTAAATATAAAAAAAGATCAAAGACACTGTCTAGTCCAATGGTTAAATTTCATTTTGTTGGGCTTTTGAATACAAACTCTAATCTTTCTTGGATTTGTATCAGTAATCCTCTCCAACTTACAGTTTGTGTGAAAACCCCATATGAACCTGAAGAAGACAATGAAAGCTGAACACAACTTGGACATTCTGAGTACCCTAAACACATAAATGGAGAACTGCGTCCCATCCCTTTTGTACACCCTGGCGATACATCCAACACTGTGCTTCATGAATGCACAGTCTTTAAGAAAGAGAAGTTGTTGCTTAGAATTTTGCAGACCATCCATGCTAACATTACAAGCACAATGAGGGTTAGTGACAAACCCACTCCCTGTCACACGGTCACACCAGAGTGAAACTCCACAATGTTAAGGATGAAAGAAACCTTCAGTTTTTGCACAGATCTTTCATTGCCACTGAAAAAGAAGTTTCTAATCTTGCACGTGAAGAGATAGCATTAATAGATTAACAGCTTGATTCTTTCTCACCATAGGGAAATCCAGGCATCACAGGCCCAGATGGACTTGAAGGCTCACCGGGACTTAAGGGCCCTCAGGTATATACAGAGAACATATGGGTGTGAGAGCAAAAAGAGGAGTCTGTGTGTGAGCAGCTATAGCCTGAATAGACTCCTTCACATGGCCCTGCAGAATTACAGAGGCTTGGAAGGGTATTCAGGTTAATAAAACAAGTAAGCAACATCAGAGTCTTGACTTGTATAGAACTTTGTCTCATTTATCAGAGTTTTGTCCCCTTCAAGAGGTGGAAAGAGATGAACGCACTGGGCAGCCAGCCCCAATGGGTTCGGGATTGGTAGGATAATACAGGAGCTCTTGAGCCAAGGAAAATGTTGAGCCTTGAATTTGGGGATTGTGGTCAATTTAACACAGTTAATAGTTCAGTGTTGTATCTCTGGATGTCCATGGTGTTGAAACATTGGCTCAACTCAAGGAAAACTTTGTTCTAAGTGCAGCTGGAGGCTTCGGCAGGGTGATCTATAGTGTGGCACCCCGCCTGTCCTGCCCGGCTCACTTCTCTGGAGAGCTGCCTCCAGTACTTTTTCCTTTACAAGGAGCAAGCCATAGTTGGCACTTTGCTCTGCTCATGTGAGCAAGGAGTCACGTGTATCAGAGAGGGCAAAGCATAGCCTAAATCAACAGTGAGACAGGAAGGGGACAAATGCCGAGAAGGAAGAAAGATGTAATTCAGTGGTAGAACAAATGCATGCGGAGCATGTGTGGGACCTGGGTTAAGTCTCCAACATGGAAGGAAAGGTATGGGGAGGGAGAGAGGGAAGGAAGGGGGTAGAAATCAGACCACTAAAATAGCATGTTTTTAAACTTGGTTTTGAATGTATGAAAAATAGGTGCACTGTTTGGCTTTGGTGAGACAATCATCGATTCTATTTTTCAAGGTTTTAAAGCAAGTACTTAAAAATAAAGGCATTATATATTGGCAGTTTGTGTATGGACAATGGGCAAAACACGTCAAAACATCAGGGAGACGCTTTGTGACATGTTGCCAAGATTTCAGCATGGCAAACAGCCTCCCCTCAGACTGCACTCTCTCTCCAGCTTTATTGCTTTTATTTGTCATTACATGCCAGCCGAGGAAGGCTCAATTTTCTTACTTTAGAGTGCGAAATATTTGCCGTCGGGATCGTTGGAAAAGCATCTCAATAAATTGACTGCCTTTATTTCATGCTCTGCAAGTCACAACCAGCATTTGTTCTTTCAGTTTATGGACCTTTTTTATTTATAGCACAATGTAAAATGGAGCAAAATACCAAGTACAGCACATGAAGAAAGTTTCTCTGCAACCTATGGAAGCCATAGTACACAGGCAATAGAATATTCCAGAAGTAGAAATATCTAAACTTCATTTTGCGGTGGAATTGCCCGTCTTGGTTGTGGTTATTGAATATTAAATGGATTTGAGGTTCTGGTTTTAGATTTACATGATTGAGAAAAACTTTTTTTTTCACATAAGAAGCATATGGCTTCTGAGTATGAAGGCTGAGGACAAATGGCAGTACTGAAAATCCCAGCTTTGGGCTGTTTCCTCCAGGCCCTCGCTCCTTTGGCTACTTAGGCTCAACCACCTCCATTTTAGACTGTCCTGTTGCGGTCCTACACAGATAAGGTGGAACTCCAAGACCCATGCAGTAGGCGCAGCATAATTTGACTGCCTGACCAGTTTCTATGTCACTTTGACTTAGCATTTGATTTTTAATGTGTAAGTTTTGTGTTCCATGGTCCTCACTAAAGGAGAAAATAACGCTTTGATTCTGTGTATTTAGGGCCCACGAGGAGAGGCTGGTGAGAAAGGAGAAAAAGGATTTCTAGGAATGAAAGGTCCTCAGGTACGTAAGGAGAAAGCAACTGAATCTGGCCCTGACCTTGACTGTAAGGTCGATGCTTTCATAGTTTCTTCTCTAAAGGTGAATTATACACTGCTGCAGACCAGTGTATTAAGTTTCACTTGAGTGTGGGAAGTGGCAGAAGATCCCTCTAGACAAACCTCCTTGCCTCCACTTCTCATCCAAGGTTAACAATTTCTCCTCTGTGCTATGTTGATACATTACATCACTCCCTGCTCACAAGCCACTTAGAGTTGCCCACCCTACCTCCTGGGGGAGCTAGAGAGACGGTGTGGTGGTTAAAAGTGCTTGATAATTCTTCCAGAGGACCCATGCTCTCAACCTCCTGTAACTCCAGCTTCAGGGGATCCAAAACCCTCTCCTGGCCCTCACATGTACCCCCACACATGTGGCACACATGCACATACCCACTCATACATACATATAAAGTTTTTATTGAAGTCTCCTGGGGAGACTAAACCATTTTACCACCTGGAACCCTCAGAACTCTGAGAATCTCAGTAAGTCAAGATGTGGTGCTGATAGTTCTAAATTCTCAGAGAATGTGAATGACTACCCAATATCCACACTTCCACTATTTCAACCTGCTCTAAGAATCCCCAGAAGAGTGCTAGGATGCAGGTTCTCAAGGGGTGTAGATTGAGGCTTGGGGTTCTGCATGTTCAGTGAATCCCCAGTTGGTACCAATGCTGCAGATCTGGACCACACATTGAGTAGCAAGGTCCTGTGTGAACTGCTCCTTGTCTATGGCTAGCATAGTATATATGTATCTGCTGGTTTCTTTTACAGGTTGCAAACTCCATCCATGTTAGTGTCTTGCTTAAGCGGAATCCCCAGAGCTTGGGTCCACAGTACCTGGCACAACAGAGCTCAATGCATTTATGTAATGAATCAAGAAGTAAATGAATGGACGAGACCCAGCTGGGGCTTTCCCCCTCCACTATTAGCAGTATCAAGGGAATGCATTACTTTTCATCCATTAGCTAAACTGGGCAGAGGCCCAACGTTGAAGTGACTGTGCTCATCATGAGAATATTTAAGAGGTTATTTGCATAAAGGTATATGCCATGACATATTGTTTTAAAGTACATTAATAACGGCTTGTGATGATGTTTGCTCCTGGTTTTGATGAAAGTACTCTCTCAAAATGCATGAAAACTTCAAATTTCATAGCAGAACTAAACTGGCAATAAAACTCTTCTGCATTCACACCTTTGAATCATTCAAAGCTGGCTGCCATTACAATGGCAATTTTTATTTCAAAAAATGGTAAGTACAAATCAAGATGTATATTGGGCTATATCTCCTCATCTGTTGACATCAAATATTGATGTAGATATGTAGATGCGTAGAAATCCAAAGTCCTCATTCTTTCTTTTGCTCTAGGATCCAAAAGAGTATCCAAGACTGTTAGTGGAATAATTCTTCCATGTGCCCCATGGGACACCTTCATCTATGGGTACCTTTAATCTCACTTTGGCAAGCTGTGGCACAGTCATAAATCATCCAGCCTTTGGCATTGCCAGTTAGTCAATGGCACCACATCTCTCTATCTCCACTTCCATTTGTCTGGCTGGAAACCCTGCTTTTCTTCCTCTGCCTGGTTTTTATGAAATGTCCTGCTTGTCGGCCAGTTAAAAGGCAGTTTCAAAGACAAGTGGAATTTTATGTGTTTGGGACATGATGAATGGGATCTCTAGACTGCTGTTTCCAGAGGAAATCCACAAAGACAAACACAGCCAGTTGCACAGGAGAGCGGTACACTTTATTGGCTCTACAAACCCATGGCCATAGGTCCCGTATTGTTTTATGGCACAGCAGGAATCCTCCAGTGGAACTGTTTTCTAACAGCAGGCTTGAAAACTTTCCTTGGAACTTTCATTTTGAAAAGAGATGTGATTTGGATTTACAGCATACCGGAGGCTTATTAGGTTACACAGTACTCAGTGTTCTGCATAAGCAAAATGTGCTACTCCAATAAATACGTGTCTGCGAATAAAAATAAAAAAACAAGTTAAAGTACTCTGCCCAGGAAGACATTTTTGAAATGAATGACAGACTCTTTTGTGCCTTCTTATGTCCCATCCTTTGTTGCCCTTAAGTCCCTTCTCTAAAATCTCCAAAACACTAGAAACTACAGTGGAAAACAAAGTCCAAAATTCTTATTTTACTCGAAGCCGTAACTGTTCCTTGAATATGTATTCTTAGCTACATAACACTAGTAGCACGCACTCCAATAAGGTTAGGACTAGCCAAACACTAGGGTTCTTCTTTGTGGGACCAGTACACGAGAGGAGGCGGTGGAGTGAACCCACCCGGCTCTATTGGATAGTTTCACATGCATGGCCATTCTGGTGGCTCAGGTTAAATTCAGTGGGCCACAAAACAAAAAGGGAATGAGGAAAAGGGGTTGGTGAGGAACAGGAGTGGATAGGGAAGGCAGGGAGAAAAGGAGAGGGATGATGAGAATAATCAGACTACATTATACACATGTATGAAGTTGACAAAGACCAAAATATGCAAATAAATACTGATTTAAGAAAAGGAGTTCACACCTTAGCTACATGAAACTGTGTTTCAAAAAGACTAGGGGGGGCAGGTAGAGTCATGGGAGGAAAGGTTAGAATTATTTGATGCAAATGTGGAGAACACTGTAGGATTTATGTTTTCTTCACAGATAGTGGTAACATTGAATCTGGACCTGCCTGGGACTGGTTCCAGGCTTATACTGTTATATCCTATCTGTGTGACCTTGGACAATTTACTTAACAATGGACCTATCTTCTGCAAAAGAATAGTAATAGCAGCTACCTCATTGGATGTTGTGAAAATTAAATGGTTGGATAGATATAAATGCTTTCAACCATTACTTGTATAGTAAGGGCTATATAAATATTTTTATTACAATATTGTGCCTACATCACATAATTGAACAGATGTATTTTTATATTTTATTTATTTGTGTGAGAGTGCACACATAGGTGCACACCACAGTCCACGTGTAAAAGTCAGAGAGCCAATTAGAGGAACTGGTTCTTTCCTACCATGTGCATTCCAGGAATTGAATTGGGTCCTCAGGCTTGGTGGCAAGCACCATTTCCTACTGAATCACCCCCCCCAGTCCCCAAAGAGGGAGCCTATGGCATGGAATGTGATTCATGTTTTGAGGGAAACCCTGCTAGGTATAGAATAGCATGTAATCCCTGTTGTAATTGCCATTTTTCACCATCCTGCAAGATTTAGGCTGCATGGCCCATGGATGCCTCCCTTTTATCAATTTGACAGGCATTTACAATACATGCTGCCTGGTGGCAGACCCTGCTCTAGAACACAGGGTGGCACTTCTCTTGTCTAACCCTTCTGAAAAGCATTTCAGAACCTTTACCCTGTATGCCCTGGACACACTTTTGTCACAATGCTGGTTGCTTTTAGCGAGACTTTGAGCCTTCTGATGCCTATTCCACAGTTTGCAAATGAAGATAAATATGCCTTTAAAAAAAGCAAACAAAAAATAGTCCTTGCCTGTTGTAGAAAGCCTTCTTTGAAGGCCAATGTCCTTTGGAAAGCTTTCTTTAAATGTTAGATACTTCAGCAGCATCTGTTCCCTGAGAGAAACAGTGGGAACCTAGACACTGCTTGGACACAGAGACTCACAAGGAAGTGTAATCATTTAGGCCACATCTGGCCTGGGTTACTTTATTAATTTTCTTTTATTTACTAGTCTTTATTTGACAGCCTCAATATTTTTTTCCAGAGCAGGACCAGCTCAGCCTGTAACTCTTCTCGCATCTGTACTTCATTTGCTGTAGACTCATTGAAGTGTTAAGGGAAAGCTGCGTTTTGTCTTGCTGTATCTACCATCCTTGTTTCATTCCAGGGGCCTCCAGGACCCGGAGGAGAAGCGGGGAATCAAGGCCATTTGGGAAGCCAAGGAAATAAAGTAGGTCACATTCTTTAATAAGGCCCCTCCAATGTTCGAGTTTGTGCTACCCGAGAGAGCTCTGGCTGGCTAAATGAGCCAGAGCCCTTTCAACACAAAGGAAAACACATCTTGTTGCCCCTAAGCTCCGGCTTGATTCTTGGAGAGCCATAGATCTCTAAGGACCTGGGTGTGGACCAGGATGAGGTCAGGAGCTCTAACTCAGCATAATCACATGAGGGGCTACACCCGATCCCACTGAGGGCTCTCAAGGGAGGAAGGCTGCTCTGGCAAGGACTTCCCTTCCCTCTCCATCCTCTCCATACTGTTCTTTCTTCCTCCCTCTCTCGCTCCTCTTTGCATGTGAATCTTTGCTAAGGACTTTTGAAGGATCGGGCTTGTGTTGTGCTAGAAAGTTGGGTACAGGAAAGCAGGGTTTTTTGTTTGTTTGTTTTTGTTTTTGTCTGACCAGTGCATCTGCAGTGCTTAAAAACAGTGCATGGTCTGGAACAAGAACTTAGGATTTACGAATGAATGCAATTCTAGGATCCATGATATATAGGTCATGAAATCCGGCCCAAAGAATTTAGAACATCTTGAAGACAGCAATCTCTGGCATAAGGAAGATAGGGGAAAGAGGTTGAAATTGATGTTCAAATAAAGTAGTTAGGAGTATTTCTGTACTGGATAAGGAGACATCAAAGAAGATACAAGCTATGAGAGGCCTTTAGAAGATAAACACTTTGAAGAAGCAGAGAGAGAAAATGGGGGGGGGCTAGGAATGGGCAGGAAGACAAAGGGCTTAGAGCGTTCTAGGAAGAATTTTCCATCTGGCAGGCACATGAAGAGCAAGGTAGTCTGTGGATGACTCTACAGTCACTGGTACAGCATTGCCTAGTCTGCAGTTGACTCTTCAGTCACTAGTACAGTGTTGTCTAGTCTGTGATAGAATCTCCAGTCACTGGTACATTGCTGTCTACTTGTTTTGAAGGGGTTGTATAGACACAGCCATACTCTTGGGAGATAAAGTTGATAGCCCAGTATGGACTGTTTGGGTTTTTTGAAGGCTGGGAGCTTGTAACAAGGAGACTAGTTGGTCCCTTTAGTTGTCTCCAAGACCAGCAATGACTGGAGGATTCGACAAGATGAAAGCTTAACATGTGATGGCTCTATACAGCTCTTCTTGGAGAGAACTGAGGTGGAGGGAAAGGGCTGGAAGATCCAGGGATTCCAGTGTGTACCTGGTGACCCCATCACACATGCACACAGCTGTGCAGAAGGGCAAGGGGAAGAATGAAGGGAATCTTTTGCTCTGGGGCCAGGGACAACATCTGCTTGGAGATATAGGCTTCTGAATCATGCAAATTAAAAGGACTTGGTGCCTGTTTGCTTGTTAGAAGAATAAAATGAAACAAGACAATGATGGGCAGGAAGGAAAAAAGAGATGATCAACCAGTACAGAAAAATTCAGACAGGGAAGCAGGAAGGAGCCATCACCCCTGGTGCCTAACAGGCTCTGAAGATCAGGATCCAGAGTGCAGAAAGGAAAAAAGTCAGACTGCCAGGCAATGAACACCTTTTCAAAGCAGAGACAGGGATGCAAAGCAGCTGTTTACACAGTCAAGGAATGTCTCCTTTAAATGGGAGAACAGGATATCTCTGCTCCAGCCTGCCATTGTCTAGAAAAGCTTGGAGCATGTTTTCAGTGGAAGGGAAGACAGCAGTGTGTTAGCGGTTGGAGAACAGAAAGGAGGGGAATGAAAGTGTGAGGGAGACTTGAGAAGCTTTTCATCGAGTGGAGGAATTTCTTTCCAGAGTGGATTTGAGGCATATGCCTCGACCTGTGTATTAGAGAGGTGCCAGGAGGACCTGTGATGGAGGGGAATGGGAAATGACATGAGGACAGTTTGCTCACTTGTGTAATACATATAAGGGTGGCCAGGACAAGCACCTTCAGAAGAAGGGGCTCTGGTATATCAAGAATGGTCAGAAAGTGACAATTTGAAAGAGTAACCATTCTGGCTTTGTGTCCTAGGGTATGCCACTGGTAAGAATAGAACTTCTCTTTGGATGACAAATGTGTGTGCATGTGCATGCATGCATGTGTGGGTGCATGTGTGTATGTGTGTGTGTGTGTGTGTGTTTCCATGGATGTGTGCATAATGCATATGAAATGAAGGTACTCTGTAGGGAATAATAGAACGGACTGAAAGAGAGGGGGTACAAAGGTGGATAGAACCCAGAACTAGGTGAGAGTGAGGAGAGAGATAAAGGCAGGAAGCCATTAACAGGAACTTTTAAGTGGGGTAGCTAAAATTAGGAGCAGGGTAAGCGCCCAGTGCAAACTGAAACCCCAGATGAACTGATTCCTTGTGTCACTTACCCAGGCCCTACTCCATGTGTCTAATTCAGCAATCCCATGTTCCATGTCTGGCTCTACCAGCAACTGAGTAACCAGTTATTCAGCCCTGGGAACAACATCTGACTTCCCTGCTTTCCTGCCTTAAATTGGATGCTCTCAAACTACAGTCAGCTGGGAAGCACTAAAGCACATACTATTGACTCTAGTACAAGATTCGTTCAAAGGGGGCTGGAAATTGTCTTTTGTACATGAGTCCTGGATGCTTGTGGGATGACAGGTGGCCCCCAAAACACTCTGAGAAAGTGAGTCCTGGGAATGATGACCTCCATCATCCCCTCCTATTCTGTATCACCCCCATACTTCAGAGCATCCATGTAGTTTTCACTCTCACGGTGAGACTTTTCTTCAGAATGAGTTAGAACATCCATTCACAGTTCTCACACTCATTGTGGAATCTCTGTCTTCTTCAAAATGTGTTAGTCATCAACCTTAACACAGAGGAAACTTGACTAATATGACATCAACCAGGTCAGCAACCAGGGAAGTAAAACCACATTTCTTGTTCTACCCTTGATAATATACAGTGCGAATGGCACTGTACCTCTAAGGTCTCCTTCCCCAAAGCCCATAGATCATTCTAATCAAAACTAAACTATCAGACAACCTCTTAGTTGGGAGCCATTCCACAAAATACCTGACCGATGTTCCTCAAGGCTGTCAAAGTCATTCAAAAAGAAGTCTGTTAAACTGCCCCAGTCTGGAAGAATCTATGGAGACCCCACATTTGGGAAACTACTAGGGACCTGGACTCAAGAACAAATACTAAATAAAAATGAGGGACAAAGGAGGGGTTTTGGTGAATACAAAGAATCAGTATTGGTTGCTCATTATGCCAAGCGTGAATGACTGCATCTAACAGGTCAGCAATCAGGGAGGCAAATGTGTGGGATACGGAGGACTCTTGTCTTTCTGTACAACCATTCTGAATATCTAAAACTATTCTTAAAAAATGTTATACTTTAAAAGGGAGCTCATCGTCCTTCATAATCTCATAATTCCCAAGTAGCTGAGATTTCCCCCAAGACACTACTAAGACTGGTTCATAAGCCATGGTAGATGTTCTGCACATCAGAGATCATCCTTGACTGTTTACACTCAGATCTCTAGGCCAATAAATCTGCTATCCTCACAGCTGAGTGATTCGCACAGATCATCATGGGAAACAATTTTGCTAATTTTTTTAACAGTAGAGAGATTCCTTTCTGGACCATGTTGGAGGACATTTTCATGGCACTGAGTGGCTAAGATGGTGAACTATACTCAACAATAAGCCAGACTTTCTGAAACCTCGATGATGGGTGGAGGAGACCTCCTTGGCCAGCCACAGCCATTCCTTACATGTCATTTGTACAGTATGCAAGCCTGAATACAAACCCATTGCTGTGACACATGAGATTTAAACAGTGCCTGGTGCCATATTTTCTGATTTACCATTATACAAACAACCTAATGAAAGTGGGGTGTGGTGATTCATACCTGTGACCCTAGCACCGAATAGCTGGGGTAGGAGCACTGCCACAAATTGAAAGCCAACCTGAGACTCAGAATGAGATCCTGTCTTGAACAAAACAACTGACTTGGGACCTGTTTCATTATTCTGTTGAACAGGGAGAACCGGGAGACCTAGGGGGAAAGGGAGCTGCGGGCTTTCCAGGTCCTCGGGGCCTGCAGGTGAGTTTGTTTCTCTACTTTTGACCAGATCTTTAGAACCCTTTACTTCAGTAGTGAATTAGCTACTTTTTAAAGAAGTTAACTAGAAGGAAAGGTTTCTTCTGACTTAGAATTCAAAGGGGTTGATCCATCGATCCATCAATCCATCGTGGCCTGGAACACAAATAGGCAGCAGCGTGGGCCCCTGGTCACATGACTTCTACAGCCAGGAATGGAGAATGAGCAGGAAATGGGCTAGACTATAAAAGCCTCAAAGTCTGCTCTTAATGGCCGAATTCCCCCAAGACTCCACCCATGAAGGTTCCACCATCCTCCTGAAAGGTACCACCAGCTGGAGACCAAGTGTTCAAACACGTAACCTTTTGGAGGTCAAAATTCACATCACAGCAAAAAGATGTCTACACTGTATCTCTGAGAGATTCTCAGAGTTTTAAGGATGCTGCCTCAGTCTAGCCTTATAGTGTCCTAGCTGTAATTGAGCTAGGCATCACGGTCATTTCTGATTGGCCAGATTTCCCAAGGCAGAAGCTCTCATTGACCAGACGCTCTTGAGATGAGATGGTAAAACAGATTAAGCTTTCTATGTAGCATCCACCTGTGACCTCTTCTGAGCTTTTGTCTGCAGGACCTCTTTATCAGAAACCATTCCATCCTTTCCCCATTGCCCGGGGCTTCTACAAGCATCAGACAGTTAGCCAATGTATGGGCACTTTGCAGAGCTTGTTTTGTTCAGTGAACTGAAAATAGATTCCAGCTCAAGTATTAACATACAGAAGATCTCCAAAGAGTTGGGTAATAATGTTGCTTACTTTTACTGAAAGATTACAGGATGCCCAGCTTATTCTCTTGAGGTTCACAACAACTACATGAGTAGCTGTAATTATTAATTCTATTGTCCAGAAGCTTTTATCACTATCATTAGTGCCCCTGTCACCCACCCAGCTAGAGGACCCTACTTCATAGTTGTCCCTGATGAAACAAAAAAAATCTATCAGTCATGTCCTCCTATAAATAAGCCTACCTCTATTTCTAGTCTGGGTGTGTGATTAGTTGCTTTGCTTACAGGGTGACGATGGCAGCCCAGGATACGGTAGCATTGGTCGAAAAGGGACAAAGGTAAGCTATACCCACTGAAGCTGGCTTTTTCCATGTGCTTTTGGTTGCTTGTTTGACTTGCCATGGTTAAGAGGAAAAAAGGCATTATACAATTAGTATGGTACAACTGAAAATCGATTTTGATAGTTCACTTACTGATGTCCTATGGGCAGTATGGTAGAGAATCATGCCATGGTTTCAGGGGCAAGTGAAAATTGAAAGTTGAAATCGAAGCATCTGTGTTTTCCTGTGAACATGGACTAGCATGTTCCGGCTTGAACCGCTGCTAATCTTAGCAGCTCTGTGTGTGAGGAGCTGTTTCACATTTTATCTTCCTATTGTTATGATTGCTTCAGCTGTCAGTGAGAAATTTTGCAGCATTTTCTTAATGCATTTGCCCAAACAGTAACTTAAAAATAAAAAAATGATTATATTGTTACTAGATATGTACATGCCTAAAAACAAGTAAGTTGTGTAAAGCCAGTGATTTTGACAAGCTAATAATAACCACTTTAAAAAATAACTTCATGTTTGGGAAGATGGTTCAGTAAGTAAAGCACTTGCCTTGCAGGCATGAGTTCCTGAATTCAGTCCCTAGAACCCGAGTAAACAGCTGGTGTGGTAGTGGAGACTTGTAATCCCAGGGGTGACGGGAGGCAGACAGGTGGACCTCTGGAGCTTGCTGGCCAGTTAGTCTGGCCTGCTTTGTAAAGTTCAAGGCCAATGATTGACCCTGTCTCAAAATAAAGGCATAAGGCACCTGAAGATCACCGCCCAAAGTTCTCTTCTGCTCTTGTCTACATGCACACACACACATGCACATGCTTACACATAGGTATACATATAACCATTGTAAAAATGCCCAATTATCACTACAAAGCACAGAAAATACAGATATCTTTTCTGAAACAGAAACGTTAGAGATCCAAGATAAACATCTGAGAGAGATGAAGTCATCAGTAGAGGAGTAGTCTAAAAGAGCAGAAGGGTCACTTTACTGCTAGTGGAGTCCCATAGGGGTGATCTAAGACGGTGTTGGGAGGAAAAGACACACCTGCTGAAGATTTTAGAAAATCAAAAATAACTGAGGCGTTTCAGTAATGTTCATTAGAATAATTAAAAACATTAGTATCCCACAGAAAGGGAAATATCTAACCTGTGACATTGAACATTAGACTCTATAAAATGAACACATGAAGTTTATTATAAAAATGTCTGTGAGCATGGGGACCACACATGCCCACGTACGTGAATGTGGAGGTCAGAGATTAACAGGAGGTGGGTGAGGTGGGGTGAATCTCCCTCTATCCCGTCCCACCTAAGTTCAAGTCCCTAGTACCCATGGAAATGCCTACCATGGTTGTGATGCTTTTCATCCCAGCTTGGCGGGGTAGGGTAGAGATGGCTAGATCCTGGGAGCTTTCTGGCCAGCCTGGCCAAAATGGTGAGTCCAGGTTCAATGAGGGATCCTGGCAAGAGTGACATTAGAAGACACATGGTATCACTCCCATGAGTGTACACCCCTTCACACACGCATGCACATACAAAAGAGAAGAAACTTTATTTTAGGTCGAATATGTTTCTCATCAGATGAGGTTTGGGAAGATCTTCAGCAAGTCTTTGGCCAAAGTAAGACAAGTAGAGGACCTTAAGATGAGTGGTCAGGCCTGGAGTGTTGACTTCCTAAACCTCTCCACTGAACCCATTTGAGAAAGGTCACTTGAGAACACAAAGCCAAGAGACCCCCTCTTCTGTTACATGCCCTTGGATAAGACTTAGGCTGTTTGCAGTCCCCAGATCACTTTCTCCTCAAACACTTTCTGCCTCTCCTCTTAGACTGCCATCTTGCTTATGTCACCCATGAATAATTGAGTTTGGAAACTGGGAGTTTTTTCTACCATGGTACTGCCTAGTTTCCAGTAGGTTCATCTCTTCCTTGATGCACAGATGTATAAACAAAAAAGGTGGTAGGATTAAAGTCAGTGTCTGTATTGATTTCTTCTGTTGTTCATTGCAGGGGCAAGAAGGATTCCCCGGAGAAAGTGGACCAAAGGTACATGCGTTTCACAGACCAAATCTGGGGACTATATCTTAGGACAGCTGATGAGAAATAAATATTCTACTGCAGGGTGGGGTAGCATAGAAAAGGCAGGTCCCATAAAGTTTTTCTTTGTTTGTTTGTTTGTTTGAGACAGGTTTTCCCTGTATTGTTGTGAAGCCTGTCCTGGAACTTGTTTGGTGGACCAGGCTGGTCTCAAACTCACAGAGATTTGCCTGCCTCTGCCTCCCGAGTACTGGGATTAAAGGCCTGAACCACCAACGCATGGCCCCATCAAGTTTTAATATGAGCTATTTGTTTAGGAATATAAGAACTTTAAAAATATTCAACTTCAAGGTTTTTAAATTTATATGTAAAGGGAGAAAGATAATCCTTTTTGAAAGTTTTCTCCTCAAATATTTTCTCTTTTTTTATTCATTGCTTAAGCAGTGGTTTTCAACTTCCCTAGCGCTGCAACCCTTTAATACAGTTCTTCATGTTGTAGTGACCCCAACCATAAAATTAATTTTATTGTTACCTCATAATTGTTATGAATTGTAAATATCTGTGTTTTCTAATGGTCTTAGGCCATCCCTGTGAAAGGGTTGTTCAACCTCCAAAGGGGTCGAGAGACACAGGTTGAGAACCACTGAGAAAAGTGTAGAGAAATAAACCAGATGATGAGATATTGCCTGGCTTGAGTTTTCCCAGTGTGTTTATAAAAACCACTGTCAGCAATGATAACCTCCACCTCGGGACTTTCAGTCCCCCTGGAAGATTTTACTGAACTCTGTAAATGTTAAGCCCTGCGTTAAGGTCGGAAGACCAAACAAAAGGAGCCCTTGGTTCTCCAAGGACCTGAGCTCTGGTCTGGAAGACTGAACTGTGAATCAGTGATAACACAGCGTGCAATGAAGAGAGCTACACAAGGCAACATGTACGTGACTTTACAAACACAGTTAAGCCTCTATAACATATGTATTTGATTTCAATAATAATTCTTATTTTAATTGAATATATTTATTTAGGGTGAAACTGGGGATCCTGGGGATCCAGGAGAGGCTGGTCCCAAGGGAGTCAGAGGCAAAACGGTAAGTTTTCAGTTAATGTGTGTAGTTATGTCTGGGGCAACGGAAGAGAGAGACTGATTATGTTCATATGTATATGATGAGTGTGTGTATGCATGCATGCCAGGTGCATGTTCATGTTTGCGTGCATACGGAGACCAGATACCAATGTTAGGTGTCTTTTTCAATCACTTGTCATCTTTTCTTTCAATATATATTTTACAAAATCATTGTAAGTGTGTGTGTGTGTGTGTGTGTGTGTGTGTGTGTATGTATGTATTTATCTAAGCATACCCATGCATGCCCATCACCCACAGAGGCCAGAATGGGCATCAGAGCTCCTGGAACTAGAATTACATGTAGTTGTGAGCTACCATGTGGGTGCTCAGGAACCAAGTGCTCTTCACTGCCAAGTCATCTCTCCATCCCTTCCGTCTAATTGTTTAAGACAGGGTCTCTCGCTGAACCTCATACTTACCAATTCACCTAGACTGGGTGACCAGCAAGCCCCAGGTAGCCTGCCTCTGCCTCCTTGGTCCTGGAGTTACAGATATGGATCACTGCACACAGCTAGTATATGGTGTTGGGAGTTAGATCAGGCCCTCAGCTTGCACACTGAGTGCATCATCAACTAAGCCATCTCTTCAGCCCTCACCTCCAGCTACTTTGGCAGATCCTCATTCATGTTAACGGTCATTAGCATTGTTACCTATTCTTAAAACCGAAACAAAACAAATTAGAAAATGTGTACCCTTTGGATTAAGGTCTAACTTGAGGAATGGAAAGTAGACCTAGAACTCATTTCCCAATGGCACCAAGAGGGCAATGAACTGTTTTAGTGACCAAGTTTGCCCATTCTGTGACAAGTGTATCATTCTTAACCATGGAAATAAAATGTTTTAAAGGAATTTTTGTGATCCAAAGCAGGTTCTTGTACTGAAAAATATGATCAGTTTAATCCCGTCTTCTTGGCAGACTTGGTGAAAACTAATATCCATTAACATCTTGCTTTTATTATCAAAGCTTTTATTGAACTGCTTTTAATAAGGCGTCTATTAAAAGGTCCTCTCCTCGATTATCAGGTGTTTCCTGTATTTTGTGTCAAACCAAATATGTCTTTATAAGTATATGGGAGAGTTGAATATTGCCTAATTCTTTGTATCAATTAAATGCAACTCCAGTAGTGTCAAAGGAGTCAGCTCGCCTCAGGTTATAGATGGTTAGAACTTTAGAAATGTAGATGGCAGCATGTGACTTTTATCAGTATTAGGAAGATATGGACAGAAGGATCTCATGTTCAAGGCTATCCTGGGCTACATAGTGAGCCCACCTCTCCAGAGAACAGAAGGGGGAATAGAAAAAAAAGAATGGAACACTTGATTTGCTGATTTTAGGTTTGTTTAATTGAGATTTTATTGTGATGAGTCACTCTTAGGTCAACTGTACTGCCATTTCTTTTATTGTTTATTACAAAATAAAACCGAGGAGTTAAATATTAAGGAATAAACCTGAGATCTCTATAGAATGACAGAGAAACAATCACCTGCTCTCTTCTCCACCTTCCCTGACCAAAAAGGCCCTTGCCCCTCCTTATTCCTCCTGTGTGTCCCTCTAGCTTCCTCTGAGTCAGCCAGAAAACTCTATGGTCCACTCCCACCAGCTGAATGTGGACACTGCCTTGGAACCAAGGTCTGACTCTATTGGTAGTCTCTGAGTGGTAACACAAACAAATCTCCTGCAACGAACTGTCTCTCAGGGTATTTATCTCTTTTCTGTCTGAACACCCTCTATGGGGGGTGAGGGGATAACAACTTGTCTATGACTGTTTATGAGCAAGGTCTTAGAAAAACCCTGATACCAAAGCAGGTACTTGAGATAATTTTCTGATCTGTCTCCACAGAGAATTTTACTGGGATCTTGTTTCTCTCTACACACTACAATAGGAACTTTATGTATAGGGATCATGTTTGGAGGTTTTAAGGCTTCAAAACAAGGAACGCCCTCTTACCCCTGCTGCTCCCCGGGGGTGGGGGCTGCTTCCAGCTATAATTCTTTTCCTCATATGTGTTTTCGGATGGCAGTTTGTTATCACTCTGCCCTCAGCAGTGATGAAGATGAATCTAATTAGGAAAGTAATTGGGAAAGACTTTCAAATTAATCTAGATGTCATCTGCATTGAAACGTCTCTGGATCATTTCCCTTGGCTTATTAATGGGGTGGTTTAGCTTTGAACACCAGCAGCATACCAACAAGTTCAGCCATTTGTTGGCTCCCTCCCTATGATGGCAGAGTCATCAGTTTTTAGTGCACTTAACTGATGGGAGACATACAGCTCGGTGTCTTGGCCTCTGGAGATACGTTTTTTGGTTCCTTCTTTATTCTCCATGTTCAGCTGCTATAACTTACTAGTTCCTCCCTCTCCAGCTGTTTCCTCCCCTCCCCTTGACATGAGTAATATTTGGATTTGAAATTGGAGTTTAAACATTGAAAATGGCCAGGTTTTCTCCTGGAAGAGCAAATGTTTTCTCTGGAAAGATTCAGCCTTAAATTACGAATGTCTTTTCAGGTCCCTTGGAATTATTCTATATTTAGAGTTCACTGAATCTTCACCTTGATGTTTTGCTTTAAACAAATCTATAAACCTGTTTCAGTTGCACATATATGTATTATGTATGTATGTGTACTGGATACAAAAAACGAAAGCTAAAAAAAAACAAAACAAAACTCCAAGCAGGTTTCAAGCAGAGATCTTGAACCTGGACATTACCACGATCTGGGCCTGGAGAACCTTCACAGGGGCATGGGTGGTGTGGGCTGTTCAACTGTAACCCTGGAAACTTCCACAGGACTCCAGCCATCACCCTCCTTCGCTAATTAGAGCAACCAGCTATGTCTCCAGAAACTGTCATCATCATGTGAGGTGGCAAAACCTTTCCCGATGGGCACTTCTGCTTAGAGTCAGACAGCATCTCAAGTTTCCTTACTTTAAAAAACGAATTTAGAGAGAGGCGAGCCCAGACTGTGACCACGGCCCCTCTCAGTGGTGGAGTGCTTGTCCAATGGACCCAAGAACCTCACCCCACCCCCACCCACAGCACAAGAGAAAATGGCCGTCTCACCCTCTCTCCACCTCCTCCCATTTCCCTGTCTCCAAAGAAACGGCTTTCATCTCAAGTGGTTGTTTTGGAATTGGCAGTCTGTTTGCGTTCCTGCTTTTTGATGTTTGAGTTTTAAGTGACACGAATTTATTTCCTACTATGAGGTTGGGGGTTCCCCTCTGTTAACCTGACATTGTTCGACATACTCTCCGAGGACATTTGCATTTGCAGCAGACACATCCTGTGTAGCCTGAGCTTGTTTCACCGACAGTCTGCAACCCCGCACCTGGCTCTGAGATCCCGTCCATTCCACCCGTGTTAGATCTCCACTCCTACTCCACACCCTCCTGGGTTTCCCATCATGGAAAACTCTGCCAGGAACCTTGTACTCATTACTCTTCTTATCACTGTGGAGAATAAAGATTTATTTTGGCTCCCAGTATCAGAGGATTCAGGCCGTGGTTGTTTGGTTCAGTTTGGGAGCTCATGGGTGGAACACCGTAACGGTGGGGAACATAGGGAAAGGGAGCCGACTGGGGACCCGGTCTGAGCTTTGAGGCGTATCTTTTCATGACTTACTTCCTCCAGTCAAGCCCCACTCCCTAAAGCTTCCAAAACCTCCCCAAATAGGGCCAGCATCTGGACACCAGAGTTCACAACATAAGCTGAGTGTGAGGCCATTTCATGTGCAAACCCTGACAAGCTGCTAAGAGGAGGTGACTGAGGTGACAGACAAGAACATTTGATGATACAACCAGCATCTGAAAATGACTTTTATTACCTCCAGATGTGTCGATATCTTGGCTAGTGTACAGCTGTGGGCTGGAATTGCTTCTTTGGAATTTTGAAGGAAGTTATGTTTTCTGTTATTTCTGGCTTCTTGTGTTGCTTTGGGAAGTCCAAGGACATCCAGATATCTGTAAGTCAGTGTTTTCTCTCTGGAACCCAACTGCTCGCCTCTCAATTATGAGCGTTCTGATCTGCCATGGGTTTTGTGGCCTGGCTCCTGGTGCATTTTTATCCATTTCCCTGAGCATTAAGCAGGCATTGAAATGTGTGCCCTTTGGTTCTAGGAAATGCTTATTATCTTGTTGATTTGTGTCCCCTGCCTCCAATGAGCTCTGTTCTGTACTTCTGAAATATTTATCATTCAGTGTGATAATATAGTCCTTCGGTTTATTCCTATTGTATTTACTTTATTTGTAGGCCATCTCTTTGATGTTTTATCCCCTGAGGTTTCTTGATTAAGAGCTGACTGTTCCTTTTACGTAGTATACTATTCTTGTCTCATGATTGAAGTATTTTTTCTTATCTCTCTGAGGATATAATTGAGAGTTTTTAGGTCCTATTTGCTCAACATGGTCTGTCTCCTACAGTTTTCTTCTGTTTTGACTTTTATCTCTCATATGTCTTAAGAATGAACTCTGTATTCACATTGAGAATTGGGTGCTTCTGATTGGAAACCTGGAGGACACGATTGGAGTTTGTCAGATACAGAGTCACTGGCCAGTGATCTGATGACCTTCCTCAAACTTCTTCCACCCCTTCCTGTAGAGAACAGATCCGGATGCCAGTTTTCTAGAAGACACAAGGGCAATGAGAGCTGGAGGCTTGCACTCAGTTTGCATATTTTCATTTGGTCTCCTGGTTCAGTATGGCAACACTGGCCCTTAGCTCTACAGAGAGCCCCACCCCTGTTTTATCTTTGTTTTATTTGCTGGTGGAGAAAAGTGTATCCAACCACCTGGTAAAAACAGAGTGGGGATTCTTACAGTGATCTCCCCGCTAATCCTCCTTATTTAGCCTCTTAACTTCACCTCAGCTTCTGGAGGCACCTGGCTGCGGTGCAATATTATTTTAAGGGGTGTGACCTTGATTTATGCTGTATTTGTTTAACTCTGTGAAGCTGTGATTCTTTGCTTGTCTAAAACACTGATGGTCTAATAAAGCGTTGAATGGCCAGTAGTAACGCAGGAGCAAAGACACGTAGGGTTAGCAGGCAGAGTGTATAAATAGAAGAAACGAGAAGAGGGCAGACAGAGAGGAGTGAGAGGAGGATGTAGGAACCAGCCATGGAGTAAGAAAGAAGGTGAGGTATGCAGAAGGAAGAAAGATAAAGCCCAGAGGGAAAAGGTAGACGGATTAATTTAAGATAAGAAAAGCTGGCTAGAAACAAGCCAAGTTAAGGCCGGGCAATCCTAAGTAATAATAAGATTCCATGTGTGATTTATTTGGAAGCTGTGAGGCAGGCCCTCAAAAAAGCCAAAGAGTGTAAGGAGCAAAACCAGGCACAACACCGGGCCTCCAAAGCCTGGGCCCTCCGGGAATGTGTGATACCAAGGCCCTCATTCTTGACTTCCCTGCTGCTGGCTCAGGCTCTGATTCCTCAGATCTGCCAAGCCATCTCACCCAACACTTAGCGAGACTTCCTCTTTTTCCTTGTATTGTTGACTTTTACTCTAAAATCTATTGTTAAAATATTAGAAATGGACAAAAACATTCAAGTTGCTTCTTTTTTCTCCTGCAGGTAAAAACATACCTTTTCAATAAAATGAGGTCATTTTCCCTCCAATACTGTATCATTTGGACATTGGAGGACATTAATGATTCTTCTCCACAGGCCATGCTTTTACAAATTAATTTTTAGATAACTTCACTTATTACTGTAAAGGATATAAACCCTGTAGCATTTAAAAAAAGTGTGTGTGTGTGTGTGTGTATGAGCGTACACACTCAAGTGAGCACATGTGCATGCGTATGTATGTGCATATGACTGCAGGTGCACGCACAGGCCAGAAGAGGGCATCAGATCCCCTGGAGCTGGAATTAAAGGTGTGTGAACCTCTGAACATGGGTACTGGGAACTGAATTTAGATCCTCTGGAAAAGCAGGAAGTGATTTTAACGACTGAGAGATCTCTATAGCCTCCTCTCCAGTGGCATTTTGAAAGAAAAAAAACAATATTTCTTAAACAAAGAAAACCTAAATTCTAGCTAGCCTTGTCTGAGACAAACTGTATTGTTAAATATGCATAGAAGAATTTCTTAACATACAGTAAACAAGACAACAGTTGTTTCTGTCATTACTTTTGCTATTATGCCCTTTTCATTACAAACATTTCCAGCCAATTGTTAAATGTTTTATTGTTGCTATTTTCATGTGGTTGGTTTTGGTTTTTTCCCCTCATGGATTTTGTGATCTATCATGTGATCACAATTTGCATGTATGTGTGTGTTTCAATTTTGTTACCTTCATGCTTTTAAGAAAGCCACTTTCCTTTGATTCAACAACCATGTTAGTAATCTTCACTGACAATCAGAATTGTTTGTATAACCGCATAATAGTATTGCTTATTAATGGCATCAAACTTAAATGCCAACAGCAAGGAACTGATGAAATAAACCATGGCATCTCCACATAGTAAAACACCATGAGGTCATGAAAAGTGATTTTTGTGTATAAGAATATTTAGTAACAGAAATATGTATGTATGCATATATGTATGTACATTTAAAAGGTAGCAGAGAGCCAGGCATGGTAGTACTCACCTGTCCTCCCAGTGCTTGGGAGACAGAGGCAGGGGGATCGTGAATTGGAGGCCAGTCAGGGCTATACAAGAAGACCTTATATCAAAGAAACAAAACACAATAGAGGCATCAGGGAAAAGTATGATACAAATCAGTTTTTAAGAAGACATCTTAATACCAACAGAACAAGAAAAGTAACAAATTATTAACAAATAGCATCTGAAGAATGAATTGTTGCTTTTGTGTATTTTAGAAATCTATCAATATTCTAAGATGAAAGTAGATGCTTTTACTCTGGGACTTCTGCTTTTGAAATAGTGTCAGTATTTTAAGTTTGAATTTAAACCATTCACATGCAGTATAAAATATGATTATAAAGTGAGTTAATTCTGTTTTGAGATGTCTGCTGGACTTCCAGGAGAGCCAGGATCCCCCGGGGAGCCAGGACCCCCTGGACGAAAGGTAAGAGGAAATATTTCCTATGAGCTCTTGGCCCCTTAGAAACCTGTGCATGGACACGCCCCTCTCCAGGGGTGCACACCTTCTTCCTCTGCTGCTTGGCCGTGGTTTCCACTATCCCATGTGTTCTAGCATGGGAGAACTTGGGGCCAATTAAATACATCTCTTGGCAGGGAGGAAATGGAGGAAGAAAGTGAAAAATCAGACCAAAATGAGGTTTCTCTTTCAAGATAGTTTCCTTTACATTTATAGATTTATTTATTTGGCAGCGTGGACACACACACACACACACACACACACACACACACACACGCCATGGCACAGCTTTGGGAGTCGGTTCTTTCCTTTGTACTGTGTGTGTCATGATAATTGAACTCAGGTCGTTGGGCTTGGCCCACTGGGCCATCTCAGCAGCCTGAGATTTCTTGGTCTCATCAGTGAGTCTGGCTCTGGCCAGCCACTGCCTCCATCCATCCTCCATTAGCAAATGCTCGCTGAATGAAGTGGGAGTGTGTATGTGAAAGGATGAACAGCGCGTGCGCTTAAAGCTTCGTCCGAAGGAACATATCTGGGAGTTTGGCTGGGGCACCGCTGCACTTTTCCTTTGATGTTTGTTTGAGAAAAGCCAGGCTCTTCCTGTTCCAGGATGGGATGGAAATAAGAAGTTAAGCCGGCTTTGCTCTTTCCACCCTCCAGCCAGACATGCGTGTGTGCGTATCATTTGGGGAGGATGCTGAGATTCGCTTTTCAGGTGTTTGAGGCTAACCCCTCTGGGCGTCAGCCGTGGGTAGGAACCGTCTAGGCTCGGCTTTGACTGCTGCTTACAGTGGGGAGACAACATAGGGTGGAAGACTCCAAGACTCTCACAGGAGAGGCAGCTGGGAGCAGGTGGTTCAAAGTTTGCTTGTTGTAAGCTGAAACACCTGCTCCGAGGCTCTGTGGGCCACCGTCAGGAGGGCAGCTCTGCCAGGATTTGCGGAAAGTAGCCTTGGAGGCTCGCGTGCCTCTCTTCACAAGGCGGTGAGTGTCTGTCTATGTTCTCTGCTACCTGAATGTCACAGGAGTAAACCCTTTGAAAAGGGCAGTGCTGATGCACATCCTGGCTACTGAGGTGTAAGTCTGCAGCCCTAAGAGGTTTTGCTTGTTTCCTTTCCTAGGGCATGAAAGGGGCCCAAGGACTGGCTTCATTTTCAGTAAGTGTCTCCTATTCCAACACAGTATTCTGAGCGTGCCTTTAACTTGATTTATAAACTTCACGACCCAGAGATATGGTTAATTCTCCGTGTTTTATTTTTGAACTGCAGACATGTGACCTCATTCAATATGTGCGGGAACACAGTCGTAAGTACTCTCCTTAAAACACCACCCCCCATGCCCCCCAACCCAACTCACAATCTATCAGCTTTCTTAGAAGGAAGTTAGGGAACTGGGCTCTGACCAACCAACCAGTCTCTTCACATGAGAGATGACATGAGAAAATTTCGAGTCCACAGAGAGGGAGTGATGAGTATTAGCTCCCTTTCTGGCTGCTGGGGTGTGTGTTGGAACCTGTTCCCCACTGCTGTGCAGTTATATGCTTATATGCGCTGGGGGGAGACTGAGGTCAGAACTTTCCCAAAGGTCAGATCAGTCAGGGAAGAGGAGTCTTCTTGAGCTGAGTTTGAAATGATCGTTAACATCATCAGACAGTAATTAACAGGATCCAGTTTGGCAGTACAAAAAGGCAGTTGTGACGATGTATCTTGGTGGATGGGAAGTCCCAGAGTTTTTTTTGGGGGGGAGGCGGTTCAAGACAGGGTTTCTCTGTGGTTTTGGAGGCTGTCCTGGAACTAGCTGTTGTAGACCAGGCTGATCTCGAACTCACAGAGATCCACCTGCCTCTGCCTCTACCTCCCGAGCGCTGGGCTGGGATTAAAGGCATAAGCCACCACCATCCAGCCTGGGAACCAGTTTTGGTTGATGCTCTATTATTCCTTTCCTGGAAAGATTAGCTTGACTGGAATTATTGATTGGCTTGTAATTTTCACAGTAACACTTATTCTGCCAATAAGTTTCTCTCTCAAAAATGTAAAGAGCAAGAAGGTATTCAGATTTGGCAAAAGCTCTTTGAATCTAAGACCTTTGTAACAGTATGGTCTTAGCACTGTACATATCTATAACTGATGTTATAATTCTGTATTCACACATACCTTCATTGTGGCAAATGCTCATTTAAATATGCACAGTGCTCTCTGAGTAAACACAACAAATGAAAGGAGTTATAAGTTTCTGCAAGGTTTTTTGGGGAGAAAAACCAGATAAAGTAGGGCCTATTTCTACAGAGCGCATTGTTCCTAGAGACACAGAACTTAAAAACATTTATTTTGTATGTTCATATGTGTGTATTCTCCTGAGTGTATTGCAACACATGCATGCAGTGCCCAGTGTGTAAACTCACTGTCACTTTACACTCATCAGTACATATGAAACACAATGAGTTTCGTCTTGAGACTTGGGTCTGCACCCGAGAGATCTCATTATGTATATGTGTAAAATCCCACACTAAGAAAAAAATCTGGAATCAGTAACATTAATAGTCCTAGCTTTTCAGATAAGAGAAAGTTAACCCATGCAAACATATATTATGTGTACATATAGACACGTGCACACAAATTTCTATGAACACACATATATGCATGCATACATCTGCACATATGTATATACATTTGAGCTTGGGATGTTTTGAGTTCCGCATACAAGCAGATAGGGCTTCACTGCTCCAATTTCCCTGTATAATCTACAACCCTGTTGCCCTACCAAGTAATAACCTGCTTTCCTTTGTTCTTCCTCCCCAGCTGGCGGACATGGTGAGTGATGTCACTTATGGCATGCTTTACTCAAGATCTAAGGTGTCTCCCATCTCTAAGGATGAGGTTATCAAACATTGTGCTGCCTGCCAGCTGATGGAACTCAGACCCAGGCTTCCTTTGCTCGCACTCACAGCAGACCCTTGCCTCTAATGACTGGTCATCTATAGCTGAGTTTCACTGCTGCTTCCCAACCGACTGGGAAGGCCCTTTCCTTGTTAATAATATTCTAATGGCATGCATCACCATTCGCCTCCCTGCCTAATTTTTTCAAAATATCATTCCTCCCCTCCCTCTTCTGATCTTCTCTCTCCCACCCTCTCTTCATCTCTTTTTCTAGTCTGCCTCTCCCTTTCTCTCCCCCATCTCTGTCACGTATTCTCTGTAGTTCAGTGATTAAGATGCAAGGGCAGAATGAAAATAGGATCAGGTAACAAGTGAGTGAAATGGACTGTGGAGATAATGCTGAGACTTTCGTAGCTTGTACTTAATGTTAATTACCAACCTGGCTCAGTATCTTTTAGTCTCATTTTTTAATGTATTTTACCAATGTTTATTACATGACATGTTTGTATAAGCCATCATCAGTCTGAAAAATAATATATGTATACATACATGTGTACACACACACACACATGCATATATATCCCCTTATATAAATCCATCAGCCTTTACCTCTGCTGATTCACTCTTTCAACAGGATTTATTGAAAGTTTTCTGTGATCTAGCCTCTTGTTTTCTGCTGGGGACAGAGTTGACAGCAGACAAGATTCCCAACCTCATGGAGAGTCCAGATAAAGAACAAATGAACGAATTTGGAATCTGAGCTAAAGCGCAGGCTGCACTGCAACCGAATAATATTAGGGAGGGATGGATTCTTTTTGGACCAGGGCTCCTCTCTGAAGCAGTGAACTTGAAGTCAGGACTAAAGGAGCAATGGTTTCCTAAGTGCATGACAGGAATTCAAATACCAAAGCCTGAGAACAGGACAGACCTAGACACCCCTAGAAGCAACAGAGCCCAGAATCCCTATGACACAGTGAGGGGGACACTGGCATGTTAAAGCAAATGGAGGTGGAGCTGCAGGCTACATCAAGCTGATTGCTGCAATCTACTATGATGGGCTAAAATCCCACTCTCAAGGAAAATCACAGTTTGCAGAAAACTGTAGACTTACAGTGTACAATGTTGAAGAGGTTAAATAATCTCAGAAAATCATGCTCTCCCTTACAGCCTGTCATATGTACATAAACAATGTGCATGTGTGTGCAGTATAACATGTACAAAGGAGAACAAGAAATGGTCAATATTAGGTGGTAAGGAAGGACTAAGTCAGGTGAAGACACACGTCATGAAAGAGGATATAAAGCTAGTTGTGTCTCTAGTTTTGACTGTTGTGGAGCTTTCTAGGTTTTCTTGTGGATATGTGGATAAAAATATAATTGATGGTGAAAGTGCAAAATCCAACGTGAAACTCCATGGCTTTGGAATGGGTATCCCAACTGTATAGACGTTCACGGAGAGGTATAGACTTTGGGTCTGGCTAATGTCAGTTTATTGTAAAAAGTTTCAAATAAAAAGTTTTCATTATTATCAAGGCTAGGGATGAGTTGGTAGTGTGTTGTGCAGGCAGAGATGTCACCAGCTTTGTGGTTGCAGAAGACATCAGTGTGCTCTCCAGAGGCCTTGGGGATCCTGGAGCAGCATGCTAGCTTCAAGGCTGTACTTCAAATTAGCCCTTAAGCATTTTTTTCTAAAAAACTGAAACTTTTTCTGTGTTTTCAGACAGCACTGTTAATCTTTACTTCCCTGTATCTCTAAATTATACCAGCATCATTGCTGGGTTTTGTTACTCTATACAAAAGAACCCAAACACAAAGCTAGAAGCACCAAGTCCACATTTAGTTAGAATTTTGCCTGTTAATTATAAAATTAAAATTACTTTGACTTTGAAAAACACGCTCATCCCATTAATTTGGACACAGAGGCTAATAAATATGTCCCATCTTCCCTGAGAGGGATTAGTCTGGCTTTCAACATGTACTATAAGTGGCCATGGAATCATTCCTTTTGCTTGTGAAGCTCTATAGTTCAGAATGACCTTGAACTTCTGATCCTGGCTCTCCCACCCAAGTGTGGGGTTACGTGCATATGCTACCATATTTGTTTAGTATGGTACTGGGGCTCAAACCCAGGGCTTTGTACATGTCAGGTGACAATATACTGAGCTACATTGCTTATCCTCTAAGGTTTTGTTTTTAATTATAAAATGTGTCTCCACAATTATTCCTTTAAAGTCCTTTTCACCCTTGTTTTTATTTTCCTCATTAAGTGAAAAGAATTTGTATTTTAACTTGGTTAAAGTTCAGACACAAAAGACTATGCCTTTGAGCCAGCTCCTATAGGATAAAGGATATTTCCAAAAAAGTTCTACCATTTAGAAGGAACTGGGTAATTAACTTAGAGATTTTATCCCTAATCATGTTGATTTTAGACTGTTTTCTTCTGTGCTCATCTCAGAAGAGCATAGTCAGCTTTTAGAACAGCAATTTTAAAGATTCAAGATGCAAACATTTAATATTTTATATGTTTTAATATTTAGGTTATTAATTATTTAATGCTTAAATATTTGAATAGTTAGCATTTAATATGACTTTGCTTTCCATGTATTGCTTTTAGGCAAACATTCTACATGGTAAAAGGTGTATTTTTCTCTTTCTTTCTTTCCTTCTTTCTTTCAGAAAAACCTGAGTGCCCAGTACACCCAACTGAGTTGGTGTTTGTCCTGGACCAGTCCCGGGATGTCACAGGGCAGGACTTTGAGCGGATGAAGGAGATGATGGTGTCTCTAGTTAGGGATGTCAAGGTCAGGGAGACCAGCTGCCCTGTGGGTGCACGTGTCGCCATCCTATCCTACAACTCCCACACCAAGCACCTCATTCGCTTCTCGGACATCTACAGGAAGGACCAGCTGCTCAGGGAAATTGAAGCTCTTCCTTATGAGAGATCCTCTGAAAGCAGGGATATCGGCAAAGCCATGAGGTTTATCTCTAGGAATGTCTTCAAGAGAACCCTGCCAGGGGCTCATGTGAGGAAAATCGCCACATTTTTCAGCAGCGGTCAGTCGGCCGATGTCCAGTCCATCACCACGGCTGCCATGGAGTTCAGTGCCCTGGACATTGTGCCAGTGGTGATTGCGTTCAGCAATGTACCCTCCATCAAGCGTGCTTTTTCGGTAAGCGTTGCATAAGACACTTTTTGTTCATGTACATCACCAATCTTCAGAAATCTCATAAAGTATATAGCTATGTTTTCCTGCCTTCAGAACAAGGTCATTCTGGTTAGCAAAATACAGATATAGACACTTTATTGCTGTTTATGAGGCACTAGATAAGCTCTGTGTTCATTATCCTGTTGAATTCTCGTAACTACTGTGTGCGAGATGGAGATCATTTTTCTCATTTTGTAGAAGAAAAGACTGAGCCTAGAGAGGGTGAGCTTCTGGTCCAGGATCCATGGCTGTGGACTGGTGATGTCAGGACGTGATGCTCAGTTTCTTTGCCACTGCATCCCTAGCTGCCTACCCCATTGCCTCTGCATCCAAAGATACTAAACCAGGAGGCTAGTACACAGATGTGGATGTCCTTTAGATGATCATGGTAGCAGTCATTGCTGTGTGATTTTAAAAAGTTGGCTAATTAGGTATGGGGACGCACCCTTGTAATCCCAGCACCTGAGAGGCAGGGATATGAGGATCAGGAGTTCAAGGGCATCTGTACCTACATGAAGTGTTCAAGGCTGGATTATATGAAAAACCTGTCTCAAAACCTAAAATATAGAGGCATGAAAATAGCTCAATCAGTAAAGTGCATTAGGACCTGAATTCAGGTCCCCAGCACCCATGCAACAGCTAAGCATGGAAGTGCACATCTGTAAGCCCAGCACTGGGCAGAGACAGGGGGCTCTGTGGAGCTTACCGGCTGGCCAGCCTAAAGGAAGGCTGAGCGCTGGGTTCATTGAGAGACCCTGTCTCAAAATTCAAGGTGGATAGTGACTGAGAAAGAGTTCTGGACAACAGCCTTTGGCTTCCCCAATGCATATCACTTCCATGCACAAACACACAGAATAACACATCCACACAACAACAGAGTAAGTAAACAAACAGGTTGATTTTTTTTTAATTTTAGTTATGTAACAGTCCCCACTTTATAAAAAAAAAAAAAGCCATTCCAACTGAAGCCTCTTAGGTTAAGGATTAAACCCAGCATGTGGCATCCCTCAGTAAACCACCTGGAATGATGGAGACCTCTGTTCACAGAATCACAACATCTCATCCTTAGTGGCTTCATTGCAAAAGACACCCAGACCCCAGCCAAGTATCCTTGCAGTCAGTGCTGTCCCAGCATGACGCCGGGCTCATCCATGTGGCGCACCAGATAGCAGTACAAGAGTATTGGAAAATGCGTGATAAATAAGTCCCAACACTCCGCAGTTCTTTAGAGAAAAGAAAACAAGGAGCAGCAGAAGCATTGTCTTTAAGCAAAGAATTGCAGAACCATAGCTACACTCCCACCTGACGAAATGAGAGGTGACAATGACAGGAAACTTTGGGTTAGGTTGAAGTCAGAACTTCCAGGAACCATTTTGATTTACTGTGGTTGTGCATTTAGGTTTGGCTCAGCTGGTCAAGACATCACCCTATTGTGAAGATCTGGTTCTGAAGCAGTCACTCAGCCATCAGTGTGTGACTGTGGTTTTTCCTAGAGACTGGAGGCTAGCACCATTTCCTCAAGGTCTTTTCCAGTTTTGTAATCTCTGTGACAGCATCAAAGCAACAGGGTTGAAAGATACTTATCTGTGAAATAAGGAGAATGATACCTAGAAATGATGTAAAGGGTAAGGTGATGTAATCTGGTGCCTTGGGGCCCAGAACATTCTAGCAAGCAAAAGCATGATTACTCACTTTTTTTTTCAGTAGCTTAATGATATTTAATACTAACGGGACCAGGGTAATACAGGCTGTGAAATTGCTATTAGCATCACTGAACTAACTCACAATTATAGAAACAGAAAGAACACTCTGTATAGACTACAAAAGGCTCTGGCTGGTCTATGCAAAAACAGCCTGGAAATTCTCTAAGTGATTTTGGTGACAGAGTCCTTGTAATTCCCTCATCTACTGGCTTTATTTAGTCACAAAACAAAGGACAACTTCATAACCTGATGCAGACGCTTGGTGGCATTTGTGACAGATACTTATATGGACAGAGCTCCACTCACTCAGAAAGTTCATACAGGGAATGAAAGGTATTTTGGTTTGAGGTTTGTTTTTTAGCTTTTGAGAATGAACAACCACAAAGACAGATGAATCTAACTTCTCTAGTCTACCTAAATTGTCTAGAGATTGTCTTAATGAAGATCAATTCAAAAACAAAAACAAAACCAGCCTTGGGGATGACCCAGTGGTGAAGCACTTTGCCTGAGGACCAGAGTTTGAATCCCCAGAATCCATGGGAGCTGGAGCAGTCCTGAGTCTCTAATCCCAGCACTCCTTCCTACGGAGAGATGGGGGCAGAGAACACCTCAGACTTTATAAAGAGTCTTGCTGGGGTGTTGGGAACATGCAGGTTGCCAGTGGACTCTCCCTAGTAGAAAAACTCATTAGAATCAGTAAGGAAGATCTGCTTTTAGCTTTGTATCATTGTGCAAATAAGGATTAAATGTGAGCATCCATTGTGAAGCGGGGTCATCGCCAGAAATGTGGAAGTTGTTATGTTGTAGACACACAGAACACAAAGCTAGAGTTAGCAGGTGGCAACATTCCCTGGACAATATCCTGAGAAACAGCACTCTCAACTAAGATCCACAGCTAGAACTTTGAAGTGGCTGGAGCATGGACGCTAGTTCTTGTTGGGGAAGAGCAAACCTGGCACTGAAGCCTTTGGGTTCCCACTCCTAGCCTGGGTTCCCTTTTGTCTGTAAAGCGTTGAGGCTGGCTTACATTGTTTCTAAATTTCTTCTGGATTATTCCATATCCTTGTGTCCCACTCCCACGCTGGATGGCTGACCCACACCCCTGAGCTGACAGTGACTTAGTATCTAGTCATTCTTCACCATCAGCACTGTCCCCCAAGAATCCATCTGCATAGTCCGTGAGCAAAGCTGACTTTACTGAAGACAGCAAGAGGAAACAGAGCACCGCATTCCACTACAGGAAGTCCCTGTTCATGTCACCTCAGCTGCTGTCCCCTTCACTGCCAAACCTCCATGTCCACCCCCATGTGGGCATCATGCTCGCTTTTGTTGTTTCCTGTTTCTTTGTCTTTCTCTGGCACACTGTTCTTTTCTCTGTGGATTCGTGTCTAGCAATATAACCCAAATCTTCACTTCCCACAAGACTGAGTCTTCCCCTCTGTCCCAGGAAAAAGAGCAAGGCAAAGCCATGGATGGCCAGAGAGGAATCTGATGAGCACAGGTTCCTCCAGCTGTTGTGTGCAGGAAGAAAATGGGAAGAAACGAGGCTAAGCCTTGGGAAGATCCCCTCCTTCCTCCTCTCTTCTCATTCCCACCCTTCCTCAGTCTGCCAGATAGAATATGGCCCCTGTGTCTGCAGACTCTTGCTTTACACAGTCACGCAGTCCCCAGGACTCCAGTTCTCAACTCCTGAAGGAACAGTTCTGTCTGGCTCAGATGTCCTGCTCTGGTCCAGTTGGCTCTGGTCAGAGAAATGGTGTAACCGTGGGTAACCAGGACCTCCATAGTTGCACCTCTATGGATTAAGTGTGGGAATGTGGCTTGCCAAAGAGAGAGAAGAGCTATTAAATGTCGAAGAATGATTCACTGGGAACAAACATTATCTGGCCCATCTTAGCCACAGGATGGGATCACTATGATTTTCCTTCATTTACTAACAATTTCACGGTTGATAGGCAAGTTCATTATTCCTGGTCAGTTGGCAATCCTTATCTTCTCTCCATGTTCTCTGATCTGGCCCTGGCTTGGCCTTCAGTCACTCATCACTGTTCAGGTGGAACAAAGCTGTGGTTCGCTTGAGACACTGTAGATACCTCTAAAAACCACCAACACTGCAGAGTCACTCCCGCTGGGGTGCTAGTCAAGACTCTGCACCCTCTAACTCCCTCGATGGCACTGCTACAGTTGAAAAGATTGCGATGTTTCAGGGAAGGAAGCCACATAGGCCTGGAACTGAGCTTATTTCTGCTTCAATACCTAGTTCACAAGGACAGTTAAGACAATGGCATGGCTAATTTTGCTTGTCAGTTGAACTGCACGATAAATAGCAGCCCTTGGTTTCCCAGGTCTCTGGGACTTGGATGGGGGTTTCATTCTTTCCATTCTTTCCTGGTGTAGGCTGTCTCTTTTGATCAGCTGCTCATTTCTGAGCTTCAGCTTGTCTATATGAAAAATGAAGGTGGGGAATGCCCAGGCTAGCTGGGTGACGGATATGAAATGCCACACTGCACCCACTGTGTGCCAGTACTTTGCAGTGGTGACTCTTAGCAGGCAGAGAATTACCACTGATAGCTAAAGGAAGTTAAAAAACCAGCTGGACCACCTCCCAGCAGCCTTGTGGGGCTGCCCTCAGCTGACCTCAGCTCTTGAACATTGCTGGAAGGTTCTTACAATCCCAACCCACTAAGCAGTTCTTTCTTTTGCTTCTGCTTCTTCTAGATTGATGACACTGGCACATTCCAAGTCATTGTGGTTCCCTCCGGGACTGACGTGGTGCCAACATTAGAGAAACTCCAGCGGTGCACTTTCTGCTATGGTGAGACCCACAGGGAGAAGCAAATTTGATCAAGCCTGCTAAGTGTGTTGAGTCACTGTTGGCAGGAGGGGCTGGAACCCAGCCATAGGGATATGCATGGCCTGGGGCAGACCTCACTGGGGCTTGGGGTACACACTGCATCTTCCACAGATGGAACCTCAGCTCAGCCTGCAGAATCCCTCCAATGGATCCCAGCAGGCGGGCTACCCTCCTGCCCCCTCTACTTTAGCACAACTTCCAGGAAACAGTAGTAATTTAAAACAACAGCAACAACAAAAGAAAAACCTTAGTCTGTCTTCTTGCAAAGTTTTTCATGCTTTATATGTGTTTTCTAAATCTCAAATGTTCATAGCTCCCAAGAAAGGCTTTAGAGTGACCTGGAACTTTCCTTTCTGGGTGGTAATTTGGTTATCAGTGAGGTAGGAGTGGAAGATAGAAACTCATACATTCTCATCCAGGGATCTTCACAGACTCCCAAGAGTTAGGCACCAGAAAGATCTGCAGTACTGACTGTGGTTTTTTATGCACAATTTTTTGGTCTAGCTGGGAACAGTTTCTCTCCTCTTCCATTTGATGTTCCAATAGCCATGTGGGAGCCACTGGGGTTACAGGTGGTCATGACAGCAGTTGAGACTTAAGCTATTGGGTTTCTTATGTTCTAATCACGGTTTTAATTGGTTTACATAATTGTGTCATTCTAGTTTGAACTATTATTAGTGTTATTGTACAAATGGAGGAAATCAAATGGGGAGATATTTTTCTCAGGGCCCCACAGCCAGATCAAACCCAGGAAAGCTGGCTCTGAAGCTCCTTTACGTTTTGAAGAATGCAAGTCTCATTCTGTTCCCCGAAACTCTCCATTTAGACTTGGAGAAGATGTCTGAAACCTTCTCTGTGTGTTAGTGGGGTGCTGGGGTTTGCTGTGTAGATGAGCTCACATGGAGGGTGTGATTCTGAGGAGAAGGGGACAGTTTCCAGGTTCCTTTTATGTCTCCCTCTGCAGCCCTGGAATCCAGATCTCTGCTCACATATTCAGTTCTGTAGATCGCACTGGGAATTTTGGATTCTGTTGCCCCTCACCCCAACCCAAAGCAGTGTAGCATTAAGATTTCTCTGACCTACACATTCTTAGTTGCACCCCTGAACATGTCAGTTCCTAGTGTGCTGATGTGTTGCACAGTCAGTAACTGCACATATGTGACTTGGGGTAGACTTTTGGCTCCATGCCTTGGCTTAAACCCTTGTCTCCCAGGCATATAATGGAAGACATTTGGCTGTCATTTCCTGCAATTAAAAACCGCACAAAACAGAGCAAATGGGCAGCCTGCTGTGATTTTAGAAACTGCTCTGCACACAGGTGACTATTCTGTCATCTGACCATTATGCACGGCCATAAAATTTCACTAACCTTCAGAAAGGGACTTGGGCGGAGACATCTTTATTGAATCCATGAGCAAGCATGAAGCTAGGAAGTTTGTTACACCCTCGGGATCTGCATGCTAGCCATTAGGTTTTTCACTTATCAGTTAATACTTACAGTCCAGGCTCATATCTAAGTTCCACCCACATGCCTGTCCTTCCATTTCTCCAATTCCCCTTTGTCTTCTAAAGAACCCTTTCCCACCCTCATGCATGACATTTAATGACAAACTAGACAGACTAACAGCCTTGCCAGAATGTCTGAGTCAGTCTGGTCCCAGTTAGGTGCAACTACCTAACTGCACAGAGGAAGTATGCACAACTGAGGCCTAGCAGGGGCCATCCTGCTACCCCATGTGTCCTGCTTCAGTCAGTTCTATGGAAATTGGATAAGTGACTTCTAAAACCCTCTAACAATAAAACACAGACTCATGCAGCATGCATGGTAGCACAGCAAGTAGAACTACTTGTCCCCAAACAGAACAACTTGAGTTCAATCCCCAGGACCCACGTGGAAGGGAGAGTACTGGCTCTTGAAAGTCATCTTGTGCCTCCACACACATGCTGTGCTACAATACCCACAATTATACACAAATAGGTGAACATTAAAAAGAAATTGCCATTGACTTCATATACAGAAACTTCTAGAAATATGGTTATCCCTTGTAATGACTTACTCTCCTGTTTCAGTTGGTTCTATGAAAATAGATTAAGTGACTTCTAGAATTCTCCCATTTCCCATTTATCATATTCCTCTGAACATTTTTTGTGGTCACATTCAATAAAATCTACTCTCTGTTTTTTTCTTGCTATGCATGCATAATGAAAGAGGCATATTTATAAAAATGACTTTGCTTTATGGAACAGCATTTTTATAAAGGGCATGAAGTTTTAAACTCTTACTTAAATTGAAATAAAAGATACATTGCCTTTTAAAGCTTAATTTTCAAAGCAGATGAGTTTTTCACAGCTAGTGTAGTGATTAAGGCCCTTGGTTTAGCCTGCATACTGTCAACAACTAGAGAGTATGTTCTAGTATGTAGGAGATGAATTGCTCACTTCAAACTCTATAAACACAGCAGTCATGATTAAACTCCAATTGAACACAGCTTTAAAAAAAAACCTGCTGGCATAGAGCAGAGTCAAAGGCTCACAGGTTGGTATCAGATCTAGACCTTTTGGCGATAAACTCCTACTCTTGATGTAACTATTTTATGAGCTAAGACTATGTAGTTCCTAGGTGCTAAAATAGCCAAGGTGGAATCTTTCCATCCCTATCCATATCTGCTTAGTAACTCTAAATGACTTGGTTTGCAGACTTATGCAAGCCGGATGCTTCCTGTGACCAAGCCAAACCACCCCCGATACAATCCTACCTGGATGCAGCATTCCTGCTGGACAGCTCCCGGCATGTGGGGAATGCAGAATTTGAAGACATGAGAGACTTTTTGGAGGCACTGCTAGATCACTTCGAAGTCACTCCAGAGCCAGAGACATCTGTCACTGGAGATAGGGTGGCCCTACTGAGCCATGCTCCCCCCAACTTCTTACCCAACACCCAAAGGAGTCCAGTTAGAACTGAGTTCAACCTAACCACCTATGGCAGTAAGCGCCTCATGAAGAGGCACGTGGAACAAGCAGTCCAGCAGCTGAATGGAGACGCTTTCCTTGGCCATGCCCTCAGGTGGGCTCTGGACAATGTCTTTTTAAACACACCTAACCTGAGGAGAAACAAAGTCATATTTGTGATATCTACTGGGGAAACCAGCCACCTGGATGGGGACACCTTAAAGAAAGAGTCCCTACGAGCCAAGTGTCAGGGCTATGCCCTCTTTGTGTTTTCCTTGGGCCCTGACTGGAGTGACAAGGAACTGGAAGACCTGGCCAGCCACCCTGTGGACCAGCATTTGATCCAGCTTGGCCGGATTCACAAACCTGACCATGGATACGGTGTGAAGTTTGTGAAGTCCTTTCTAAACTCCGTTAGGCGTAAGTCATACGTACAAAACTAATTCTTGTATGGAAGAGCCTACTTGGTGTCCCCCAGAAGAACAGCGAACTGCTGTGTGTCCTTGGACGCCTCTGGTTTGTCTTCAAGGGCACTGCAGGGTCAGAGAGGGAAATATATGATAATGAACTGTGGGAGGGATGACACTGGTTTCCAAGCATTTAATTTCCTGGCTCATCTTTTTTGTGCCTCTGGTTCCTATGGAGAAGCAATCATAACAAGCAGCTGTGCACACATCTGTCTGTATGGAGAGGTGGCATCTGGGGATGTGAAGTCACAGCCTGGACTCTGGCTCCAGAGCAGAAGCCTTGCCACTAACACTAGCATGCTGCCCTTCAGTGGGAGGTTTCTACAGTTAACACAAAGAAGCCAAAAAATGAAACAAGTCTTGGCTTTGCTTTGACAAGTTCCAAGGTCGGAGCTGGGGGTGTCAGGAGATACCATTTTATTGGTTATAATGAAGGGCAAGGCTCTGCAAAACTTTCTCCCAGCTTTGCGGCTCTTAGGATCCAGTAGTGAGAATAAGTGGTGCCCATAAGGAAACAAACGTGGGCTGCTCCCCCTAGAAGAGTGTCCTGAAAAATATGCAATCCATTTTGGATGCAGCAATGCCCAGATACAAGGCGGAAGGTGGAAACGCAGTGGGCTGAAGTCTCAGTGTTTTCAGAGCCCGATGACCCCTGTCCTCAGGGGTCCAGGTAAAGAAAAGGGAACACACAGGTCGGAGGCTGCTTCAGTGAGTGCCTGGCTATTTCCCAAGCTTGTCATTGTATTACACAGGGAGGTGGGCTAAGGCTGTAGACCTGCTGAGCAGTGCAGGTGGAGAGACTGCTAATGGGGCTGATGTCACATCCTGTTCAGCGCAAGTCTAGCACGAGCATGAGCTGCCAGCTTGAGCTGGTTAGAGACCCAGGGTGAATGTCCCACTCCAGATGTTCTGAGCCAGCATGTGCATCTTGTCAGAGCTCCCAGGAGGCTCATACATAGGAGATGGTTTCAGAGACATGGGTATAGGAGTAGTGAGATCCCGGAGTGAAATTTATTTTGGCATGTTCTGGAACAGAAACCCCAGCATGAGCTAAGGGCAAGGTGTCACCTTGAAGAGAGCCTTTCATGGGGATGAACAAAAGCCCACTTGGTAAAACAAAAACACAAAAAAACAACAACAAAAAAACCAAAACCAAAACAAAACAAAAAAATATGCTTGATGGCCCATGAGACTGGAAGACTTGACCTGGGGTTCCTTTCTGGAATCCCTTAATTCTTCCTGAAGTTTCATGCCAATGCATCTATGACCAGATGAGGCAGCACCTCCCACTCAGGAAAAGGGCAAGCAGCACTCATGGGAAATACAGAAATCACTTGAACTATGACTATGATACAGCTGCCTACCCCATTGTAATTATGGGCCATCTAACTTTGAGCTACAGGCTATTCAGGTGCCAGGCTTAAGAAATAGAGATGTCCACTTCCTTTCTGAGGTTTTGCAAGCCTTCCAAGTGTTTGTGATTCATTTGGCACACTGCCACAAAGCAAGACAGCCAAACACAGTCCACATCAGAGCAGCACATTTCTTAAGGGACACAAGCTCAACACCCCTCTACTTAAGAGTTCAAAAAACCATGAAAACCTAAAGCCAGACTTGGTGGGCAAAGCGCATACATGTAATTCTTGTTCTTGAGAGGCAGAGGCAGGAGGACAAACAAACAACAAAAACCAAACACCCTAAAGGTCAGGTGCAGCACAGTATTGGGTCACACTGTCTCCCTTCCTGTAATAGCAGATTTGAAGACAGGTTCTGTTGCAGTCAAGGACAGGTCTGTTAGTTGGAAGAACCCTGTATCACCAGAAAGGTGTGTGTGTGTGTGTGTGTGTGTGTGTGTGTGTGTGTGTGTGTGTGTGTGTGTGTGTGTGTGTGTGTGTGTGTGTGTGTGTGTGTGTGTGTGTGTGTAGGCCAGAGGACAACCTCAAGTGTCATTCCTCGGGCAACATCCAACATGTTTTTTCGAGACAGGGTTCCTCAGTAGTCTCGTCAAGAAGGCTGGCTGGGCTGGCTGGCTGGCCAGTGAATCCTAGGGATCTACCTATGGCTGCCTCCCCAGTGCCAGGTTTATAAGAGCATGACCCTGGGCCTGGCTTTTCCAGAGAGATGTTTGTTTAACAAATCTTTTTTAACTTCATGCTTTCAGGGCATGTATAACACATTTTTAATTTTTCTGTAAAAAATAGCTTTTGCATTTTTAAATGGATTAAAGCATGCTTTAGTGTTATGAAAAATTAATACTCTTCCAAATGAAGTGAGCCGATGAATTAAACCCAAAGGCACTTAGTTTGTTGCTAACATAAAGGCCATAAAGGGACTACCCAGTTCCCTTTGCATTTTTATATGCCACAAAAACAAATAAAATCTAATTAGCTCCCATGAAAGGCAAGAGCATTATTAGGACTGACTGGCTCATGTTATCTTTCATAATGGCTAAACGACTTTAGCAGCTACAGGCATCTCAGTGAAAAGTTGTTTCAATTCATCTATATATTCATTAAAAACTTATTTTCCAAACTTAGTTTGGGGATTTCCCCAAGGCATTTCTCATGCCCAGTGACATCTTGATGGACGTTGGGAACTGAAGTGACAATGAATGGGAGAGACATGCTAAGAGCCTGAGTGAGAGCCTTATGAAAGCCTTTTGTCTTTCTAGGTGGGATGAACAAGTACCCACCAGTCAACTTCAAAGCCAAATGCAACAGACTCAGCCCTACAGATCTGAAGCGATCCCCGCGCCAGCATCTAAGGTACTGTGTGCTTGGTGCAATTTTGTAAGTGGATATGCAGCCCTCCCGATTATTTTTCCTCCTTCTCCTCTCCCTCTCCCTTTACCTACTGCAGCCAGATAGAAACCTGTTTTATATATTATGATTTAAGGGAGCCAGAGATGTTTTTTAAATGACCAAGTTGATCTGGAAATAACAAAATCGAAGTATTTTTATTCTTTTTAATGGAAAGTCCAATTATTGAAACAAAACACCCAGCGGGACACCAGTGGCAATGGGCATGCCCAGTGGCCAGAGTAACCAGGGTTTCTTGGTGCCTGAGACCAGGCTCTGGTGAGGAAACTCCAACTCCAGCCCAAGACGATGGTATCATTTCAGGATGCAAAAACATAGTAAGAGCTGGGCGGTGGTGGCGCACGCCTTTAATCCCAGCACTCGGGAGGCAGAGGCAGGCGGATCTCTGTGAGTTCAAGGCCGGGCTGGACCGACAGCCTCCAAAACAATACAGGGAAACCCTGTCTCATAAAAACCAAAAAAAAATAGTAAGAAAACATAAAAGCAAAACTAACAGTCCTGTCAAAAGGTTAGGTGAGTTAATTTGACATGACTCCATGGGCCTAATCCTGGACAGCTGTAACTCCAGAAAGAATGAAGGTAATGAATTAGAATGGATCAAGTGATTTAGTATTACTAGTATTACTGTGTGTATGGCATGCACATGATCAAAGGGTGTGTGGGGGATCTCAGGACAGCTGTGGGGAGTTGGTTTTCAAGCAATCACTGTAAGATCCAGTGGTCTAACTTGAGTCATTAGGTTTGCACAGCAAGCACCTTACCCACTGAGCCATCTTGCTAGCCCCACAATGTATGCTTTAAATCCGTGTCTCCACAGATTCTCAAAAGAGGAGGAAGGAGAAAAGTCGTCTCTTTATATAGTACTAGATAATAAACCTACAATGGCGGGGTTGGAAAAAAATCAATTTATAGTCATAATGCTAATTACAAATGTAGTAACTGGCTATCAGGATGTAACAATCCTGAGTTGGCAGGTGCTGGTGCTGTGTGGTCCCTGAGGTGCTGTATGGTCCCCTGAGGTGCTGGTGTTATGTGGTCCCTGAGGTGCTGGTGCTGTGTGGTCCCTGTGTGACGTTCTTGCTGGAAATGTTTGACCTGAGGCTAATGAGGAGAAATTCACTGGGTAACCCCAGGATGTGGAATTTTTTATTTTAGGTCTTATGTCATGAATAAAGGGTTACAGATGAAAGTTCTAGAATGAGAGAACTAAAGAGACAGGGAAGCCAACTGTTAATTCTGTGAATTTTTTTTTGTTTTGTTTTTACGAGACGGGGTTTCTCTGTATTGTTCTGGAGGCTATCGGTCCAGCCCGGCCTCGAACTCACAGAGATCCGCCTGCCTCTGCCTCCCGAGTGCTGGGATTAAAGGCGTGCGCCACCACCACCCGGCTAATTCTGTGAATTTTAATTGGATCCTAGATCAGAGAGAAGAAACAAAAGGCCTATATAAAAGTGACTTGGAGAACATCTGGAGAAAATTGATTGTGGACAATACATTGAAGTTATTGAACTGTGGTTCTTGGTGTTTAGAATAGTGTCTTTATGAGAGGCTTGCTAAAGAATTTTAAAGTGACGTATGATGGTTGCAACCTAAGTTTAGATGAGTCTTTATTTTGGTGTGTCTGTGTGTTGTGAATGTGTATGTGCACATGTGCATACGTGTAGAGGCCTGAGGTCGACACAAGTGTCTCCCTTGATGGACCTCCTTCTCATATATCTGTGGGCAGATTCCCTCCATGAGACAGCTTGATGTTTTAGCAAGTCTGGTTAGCAGGCTTGCTCCAGGATTCTTTATCCCCTGCACTGGGATTACAGGCAGACTGCTGAACCCACCTTCATGGGCTCTGGGGATCTGAATTCCAGTTCTGAGGCTTGTGTAGCAAGCTCTTTGCCCATTGAGCCATCAGATAGATAGTAGCACTTCTGTGCTAATCCACTGTGGACTAACCCACACTAATGCACCCAGCCACTAGCCATAACCAAGCACCATCACCTGGCTCACACTTAGACATCGTTGGCAGTGTGTGCGTTCTATTCTGTGTGGTCATCAGGACTGGGCAAGCATTCCCAGACTGGGTGCTAGGAACCCCCTGAGAAGCCCCTGCCTGGAGGCTCTGGTTCCCCTCCAGCACTGAGCAACCCAGGGGAACTGTCCAGCAGCAAATACTTCCTGAAGTCCAGCATGAAGCCTTCTATGAAGCTGGTTCAGCAGAGTAGGGCTCCCCCTACTGCAAGTACCCGGAACTGAAGAAGCGGGATCAGGTATGACTGGATGAGTGGGTGGACCAAGGTTTGTTTGGTGTGGAGGAGGAAAGTGTGGCAGGTGTGAAAGCAACTTCAAGGAACTCTGTAGGGCTGCGCATTCAAGCTTAGTTCTCTGCACCTGCTACTAGTTTTGGATTTGGCTTTTCAAAGAGATGGAAAAATAAAGCCCTCAATCAGGGCTTGGAGCCACTGTTCACTTGAAATCTACCTGCTGCTGCCTCCTCTGGACCAGCCACTGTTGCATCTTCTGGCTTGCCCAGCCTGTCTTTCCCATTGTCTTCATGGGAGGCTTGTGCCAGGCACTCTGTGATGGGAACGTCAGTTCAGGCTGCTGGCATCCCTACGTTTGCCTCTGTTCATCTCCACTCAGTATTCCTGGCAAGAAAGGGGTGGTAGTCTGGGGCACCGTGTATCCACGAGCTAGGATAGCCGAGGAAAGGGGCTCGGGTTCTGGGCCTCTGTCTAGAGGATGGCAGGCCAAGACATGGGATGGGGTCACCAGAAGCGTTTGGCTTCCCCATGTCAGAGCTTAGTGTTAAACGACAAATGAAAAACTGCCACGGGCGGGGGGGGGGGGGAGGCAGGCCCACAGAAGAAAAAGCTTTTATTCTAACTTTTGACTCAGGCTTGAATTTTCATTCTTCACTGGGCTTCACAAATATGTAGCCAGCTCAGGTGTCAAAGACAGGTGTCAGAATCAACCTACCCATTCAAGAAGCAATTCTAGAAACTGCTTTGTTGGAAGAGCAAGCTGAGTGGGAAGGGAGAATCCACAGGGCTTCTGGACAGGTAATTTCTCTTCTGCAGTGTCCTAAATACACGGAGGCTCAGCTTCTCCTGTGAACCTGAAATAGTCAAGTGGCTGGGGCATCAAGGAAATGAGATGTGAAATCTATACCACTGTCTGTGAGCTCCCTGATGGTGTAATCGCCTGGAACTCCCCAGGCCTTCTCTAAGCATCCAAAGACTGTGACAAAAGCAGCCACACAGCTGCTTCCGAAACTCCCTGCCTGAGCCCTTCAAGAGGAGTGAGGCAGAAAGGAGCACGGGATTGAGGAGGATGGAATGCCTGCCAGGCACAGGGTCCAGTCAGCCAGATGATCTCCCATCCTGAGAGTGATGTGCATTGGAACTGTTAGGTCATCCTGTGGCAGGGGTTTTGAGGAAGACATGCAGCAGCCAGTTCGTAGCAGATGGAGAAGAAAGGTTCTGACTCCTGCCACAAGCAACCACGAAGACAGATGGCTGGAGGGCGAGACTGCAGGACAGCTTTCTGTAAGCACTTAGCTCTGCTCCAAGATAGTAAAAAGACACAAAGCCACCTACATACTGTGCCAGACTCCAAAACAGGGACAAGCAGAGCCTGAAGGGGTGGATGGTAAAAATGGACAGTCACCGCTGCCATATGAATGACACAGCTGCTGCATGTTTGCCTTCCAAAGTACATTTCCTGGATGCACAACATATTAACATCAAAAAATAATTTAGACATAGAAGCAACCTGGTGGGTATCATTCATCTCAGTGACTCTAGTCAGTAACTATGGCATGGCCACCTCCTGATTATCTACAGATGGAGGAATCTGTGACCACAAAGAATGGAGGTCTACAGTTAGTACCTCCTTGAGTTTTATCTAGAACATGCTGCATCTTGCTTTCTATAAGTTTTACTAGGGCTCAGGTTGAAAAATTAAATTATTTTATCCTTATTTCTGCTCCAAATGCATTGCTGGAGTTACCAATCAGCAAAGAATCCCCCCAACAATACACAACAGGAGAAACAACAAACTAGGTAGTCAAGTGATCCTTATTAGATGCTCTATTAATTACAAATGCCCATCTACAACACAGCAGAAAAGGGAAGCTTCAGAGATATGGCAAGGGCTCAGTACATAATGCCTTATAAACATTGAGGGCCTGAGTCCAGATGTCCAGAATCCACAGAAGAGGCAGGTACAATGGCACTGGAGGCTCATGGCCACCTACTACCAGCCAGTGAGAGGCCTTGTTTCAAACAAGGCCTGAGGACCAATTTCAGAGGTGGAGATCCTCTGACCTCCACATGTGCATCCATGGGTGCACATACACACCCAAAGAAAAGGCGTTCAATGTGCTTGACCCTTTTGAACAAAAGGTACCAGGATCAGGCTTAAAAGTAGTTGACAATCTAATGATTTTTTTAATTTGGAATGTTTCACAAATTTGCATGTCATCATTGCACAGGGCCACACTAACCTATTTCATTCCAATTTTATTAAGAGTGCTGCTGAAGCAAGCACTCTAATGATTTTTTTAAAGATTTTTAATTATATGTATGTGTCTCCATGGTGGGTATATGCGCATGATTGCGGGTGCTCTCAGAGGTCAAAGGCGTTGGATCCCAGAAGCTGAAGCAAGACCAGGTGAGCTGCCCTGCATGAATGCTAGGAGATGAAGGCTGCCATCTCTCTAGCTGCTGTTTCCTTAACAGCACTAAGAAATACAACATAGTAAAGGAGGGGTAAAGGGAAGGACAATGGCATATAGTTGAGATAATCAAGCCTTGAGAAAACAATACACTTAGGCTCAGGAGAAATCCCTTGCAAGGGAGTCACTCTCCTTTAGGGAAGTAGCCACTGGATGGTGGGTTGCCCAGGCAGTAGATGACTGCAGACCTATATGCATATAGGAAGCACTATTTGAACTTGGGTTATTAATAACAAAAAAGGACATTAAGTTGGGAAAGAGATGGGATGGGGTACTAGAGGAAACTGGAGGGTAGTGGTGCATGAATATGACAAAAATGCACTGTATAAATATGTGAAAAATTAAGTTTTTAGAGAACCTCATACATGAATACTCCATCTATATTGTTTCATACCCCCAACTCCTTCCAAAGTGTCCCTCACAAATTCATGACTTACTGTTACACACATACACAATTTGTATATGTGTGCACGTGCGTGTGTGTGCGCGCACACACACACACAGTCTTTGGGTCCATTTAGCATTACCCATATGTACATGCATCCAGGGTTGCTCACTTAGGATTGGACAACCTATCTGGGGGCTTGTCCCTGTAGGAAGCTGTGTCTCCCTCTCGGGAGCCATTGACCACCTGCAGCTCTTCACCTAAGGATGGCAGCTTGTGTATTTTGTCCATTCATGTTGGCATTCAATTGGTGGTATCATCATGCTGGACTTGTTCATGAAAACATACTGTTGAGAGATCATGGGGCATTCTCCCTGCCATGTCTAGGGGACACTAGCAGCAGGCACCCCAGTCCTCTGGCTCTTAAAATCTCCCCACTCCCTCTTTCACAATGTTCCCTGAGAGGTATAGGGATGCAGATGCATCTGTTGGGGTTGGGTACCCCACAGACTTATTCTCTGCATTTGAAGAGTTGTGGATCTTTATAGTAGTCTCTATTGCAAAAAGAAGTTTCTTTGGTGAGGGTTGAGAGACACACATCTATTGATATAAAGATAGTACTTGGGGTAGGATTGTATTTAGGGGAATGGCAGTAGAATGTTCTCCTCTGGAATCTATGACCTCGCCAGCCGTGGGTAGTTGCTCAGGTTTACAGTAATAGGTGTGAATTCTCTCCTGCTGAGCAGGCCTTAAGCTCAATTAGATAGATAGCTGTTGGTTGTCCGACAGAAGGGGCCATTATTGTCCCATTGGGGATATCTTGTTGGTATAGTCATTGTGGATGATAGGCTTTGCACTGGGTAGTACTACTGACTGCTCCTCTCCCTTGGCAGCTTGCATAGCACCTTTGACTACTGAGAGCTGCTTTTCAGGAAGGCTGCTTCCAGATCAGTTCCAGCCAAATTCCTGCAAGTCCCATGTATGGTATCATCAGCAATAGGTCCTTACCTTCAAGTTTCCAAAGGCAACAAAGAGCAATGGCAGTAGCTCACAGTGTTATGGAAACTTGTATTCTCCTGCCCAACAAGTTGAAGTGGAGGTTTCCTAAGCCTGGCACTGTGCTTTTTGCTAAATGGGACATGTCTCTTGGGGATAGGACCATCACCTCATGTGGTGTACCCATTAAAAATATATACACTCACATACACATGTGTATGTATACACATATATTTTAAGTACACTTACGAAATGTTCTATTTGGCTATTTTTAAACCCTTTAGTGTTATCACTCCTCCCTCCCTCCCCCAGTTAAAGTCCATCCTCCACTTCCCTATCACCCCCTCCTAACACCTGTTTCATACTATCCTCCTCTCCAGAGCTATCAAAAAAAGAATTCCCCTCCCATGATCAACACCCATGTTCTCTGCATGCAGGCAATCGTGACTTGGGAAAATCAGCTTTGGAATACTCGGTGTAAAATGGGTAGGTGTGAGGAGACTGTACCAGGGCTGACGCTGAGCCATGGCTGCTGTTGCTATGCCTGGACACCTGATCAACTTTCTATATCCTGAAGCATGATGGAAGGACTGAGGTGCACTGTGAGCCGAGTCCCGAAGCCCAGGCAGAGCTAGCCTGTGGGTGGCATGGTCTCTGTTGTTTTTGTTTCTGCAACCTCACTCTTAATGGATGAAAGAGAGTGCGTGTGTGATGGGGTAGGGGTATGCACACGCTTGAGAAACAAAGTTTGCTTTTCTGTATTTCTGCATTGTGCTTGCTCTCTAAACACTGATGCTTTGTAAGAGAGAACAGGGATATCTTACAGGTAGTAGGGTAGCAGTAAAGACGTAGATCAAAATGAATTCCACAGTCCTGACCTTGACGTTCTCTTGAATTCTCCTGACCACAATTCCAAGAATTTTGAATTCACAATAATGTCTTAAGTAAAAGACTAATTCAGTGCAAGCAACACTGACCTTTAGTCTCGGGAATGGTGACACACAGCTGCAACTCTGCACTGTCACCTCTTTATACTTCATTGTCTTCACGGTAATGAGACACAAGGACAGCAGTTGTCACTTCAGGTTCTCGCTGGTGGGGTACTCCTAACCCAAGGCGTTTTATGCACCTGCATCATCCATAAAACACACCACGGGGCAGATGGTAGGCATCTGGTGTACAATTGGGCAGATGGGGGAGAGAGTGGCACTAAGTGTCCCCTGAATCCTACCCTGGGTAGAGGAAGTGTGGAGCGCAGGTCACGAAACTATCTCTAAGCCACTGAAGACTGACCATGCTGAGAGTTATGAGGAAGAGAAGTGTGCCTACTGAGAGACTCGAGGGCGAGAAGAATTGGCAAATGTATAGGTGAGGCACCGTCTGAACCCAAATCTCAGTAATTAGCAAGACCAACCAACCGCGTGAAGATCTGATGGGACATGCTCCATGAAGAAGAAATTCTGATGCTGGAATTACACCTCTGCATTTTGGGGGGGGGCGTTTCAAGACAGGGTTTCTCTATGGCTTTGGAGGCTGTCCTGGAACTAGTTCTTGTAGACCAGGCTGGTCTTGAACTCACAGAGATCCTCCTGCCTCTGCCTACCAAGTCCTGGGATCAAAGGTGTTCACCACCAACGCCCGGCTATCTCTGCATATTTTAAGATGTGAAGTCTGTCAGTTTCTGATAGGCCAGTGATTCTCAACCTGTGGGTCTACATTACAATTCATAAGTCACAAAATTATAGTTATGACGCAGCCATGGAATTGGCTAGGGGTCAGCATAACATGAGGGTGGAGCATTAGGAAGGCTGGGAACCACTATGATAGGCCAATGTAAATAAATCTCCGGTTTGGTTATTTTTAAAACTTACTCTTGAGGGGGTGAGTTACAACGAAAGGCAGAGCCAGGAGGGCTGGAAGGGCTGGCCTCACATGCTATTCTCTTCTTTTGCTGTGCAGCTTTGTTCCGGGACCACAGAAAGCTATCCTCAAAGACTACGCACCAGTGGTGGCAAAGCTCTTTCAAGATAAAAGACGCCTTTCAAGTGCACTGAGAGGTGGCCGAGATGCTACTTCAAGTCTTTCCAGAAGCACATTCTATGCCTTTAAACATGGGAAAGGAGTGGCAAAAGTCGCTTCTGCACATGACTAATGAAGTGATCCGACAGTTTAGCCTTAGGAATTTCGCCACGGTCTGACTCTGATCTTGGAGCCAAATCCACTCCTGAACTCCTTCACCGGGGTGCACACTAGCATCTGGATGGTTGCTCTAAAGGCAAGAACAAGCCCATGGCTGTAGACGATCAGGTACCTCGACGCCTCCACTCACAGCACTAGGGTCTATCTTGTACGTTTACTTGCCGACTTCTGACAGACAATTCCAGCACTCTGAGAAAGACAGCTAGGAAATATTACCACGAGGAGATGGAAGAATGAAAGGTATGTTTTGAAAAGTTAACTGGAGACCTAATTTTGAAGGTTTTTTTTTTACAGTGGATGAACATGGCCATGGGCCAACGTTAACACTTTTTATTGCAACCCTCTGCTATTTTCCAAGTCGCCTTTTAATTTCCATCTGTTTAATCAAGCATCTTTAATGTTGTGAGTTCTCAAACATTTACCCTAGAAATTGATGCTGTTCATACGTCCTGGTTTTGGAAATCTGACCTTCCTGACTTCCATCTCAGCACTGTCTTGCTGGACTGGTTGGCCTGGGGCAGGCTTGTGCCTGAAGGTTGCCTCTGACCTTCCAAAGTTGTCTGCTAAGAAGCAGAGTGATTCTCCAGCTCTTCTTAAACTCGCTGAGCAACTCACCAATTCTCCAGGAACCTGAGTCATGCTCCTGGCCTCAATGCTCTATACAGAACTTTCTACCAAACCGTCTCAGTGGATCTCTGCTCTTTTCTACCTTGCTCTGGTCATTTAGTTTTACCAATCCATTTGTTCCTTAAACAAGAAAAGGGACAACACATGGTGTCACGATTTGGGCTCTGAGTTCCTTTACCCCACTAAGCTCAGAATGAAGCTTAAATGGCACTGAGCTTGAGGGTATAAGAAAACCCCTGAAATTTAGGTTGATCAAGTGTCAGGGACTAACATCAGGAGGGAGAATTTGAGTCCAGCCTCTCAAGCATTCCATCATGGCTTTGCCACCTCAATCCCATCCATTCCTTTATTCTTAGGATGAGGGTATTTTCAACAAGTAAACATCAACGTGGCACTGTGTTGAGGCCTACTATTTAAACCTTACCTCGGTTCACAGCCAGCTCTCCAGTTAGTAGCGATGGTGTTGCCAGGCAGAATGTCAGTCTTCAGAAAGAGCTGTGTCGTTGTGTGGGAAATAGTCACTGACACCGAAGGCCAGCAGAGTGTGTTCAGATTTTCTTTTCTATATCTCTGCTCAAGAAATCTGGAAGGATGAGCCATATGCACTATTTTTTCCTTTAAAACCCTTTGTACACCATTCCTCGGCAACTGCATGGAGACAGCTCTCAGAACCTTGTGAGGAGCAAGAAGCCCAGGAGTGACTGTCACTCTGCATTCAGGTGCACAACAGCTATGTGTATCCTAAAGGTGCTTAGAGGCTCAGGAAAACTTTTATCACAGGAAGTTGCTGAGCAATACTCAAGAGGTATTTTAAAAGCAGGACTTTTCCTATTAACTTTGGTTGAACAGACACTGTTGGAGATACTTTGAAAATATATTTCTATGTTGGTAAGTACATTTTAAAAAATTGCTGGTGATTAAATTTATTTTAGCATCTTGGGTCATATTTTTAAGCCTTAACAGGTCTGAAGAATGCGGTAAATTATTTTTTGAAAAGTAAGTCCCTGGCATTAGAGATGGGTCAGCAGTGAAGACACTGCTCCTTCAGAGAGCAGGAGTTTAGCTCCAAACATCTAACCAGGTGCCTGGAACTTCAGCTCCAGGGGATCAGGCACCCTCTCCCAGACTCCTAGGATACCACACATGTGCAGACACATATATAAATTAAATCCTAGATTTATGACTTCTGTCTCCAAAAAGTAGAAATTGGAAACAAAACAAAAACCAAAAAACTAAGCTGGCTGTATTTAAGAAATACAATAAGCATTTTTAGTGCATCTTGGCTTAAAAATAACAGGCTGCAATGAATCTGCCTCTCATTATCTCTAAACTAAGCCATCAGATGATAATAGCACCAATTCAGGGAAATAAATTTCCTTCAAAGAGGGTCATTTGTGGGGTAGGTGAATGGAGAATGAGACCAGGTCTCTGTCAAACATTCCGCTATCCAACAGCTCCATGCGACACTTCCATACCAAACAACTTCCTGAGCCCCTATGACTCTTTGGTCTTAGCACACAAGATGTATAACTTCCAAAGTCTACAACTCAGTCAACACTGCCAACTTTGACCTTCTGAAACTCTGTTGAATCCAGGATTGTTAGGTAACAAGAGGGCGATGAAAAACGTGCAGTATATTTACCTACTCAGCTACTAGTTTCAAACTGGACTATTCTGAACACCATAAACCGTTTCTAAGAGAAAAGAATAAAATGTAAAGAGAATTGGGTCTGCACAGGTCAGCTTCCAAAGCTTTACCGTACTGGAAAAGCAATTATTGACCTTATAAAGTTTGATATGTTTTTAACTGGAGCATTCTCTTGTTCTGCCCTAAACAAAGAAAAACTCAAGATGCTTGAATAGATTTATTTGCAGTTTGAATAGCAGTTATAATAACAAAAGTATGTTTACATAATAGCTTACATTTTCCATATAAAATTAACTGACATAATTCATCTTCACTTTTTACACTTCTCACCTGTTCCATGTACAGTGAGAACTCCCAGATGGTGCTTTCCAGCCAACTGCAGAAATGCACATGAATAAACTTGCCACATCATCCTTAACCACTGTGGTTGGTATTTGTTCTCTAGAATTATGGTACATTTGTAATTTTTACATTTTATACAAATTAGCATGATTTATTTCCACACCTTCACAATCCCGTCTCTAGAAGCAGTCACGATGAAGCCCTGAGTTGTCTGGAAGGTGGCAATATCTGTGATGATGTCATGATGTCCCACAGGAAGAGACTCTGGGCCCCTTCGAGGAGTGTCATCACTTGGTCCTACCTTCTGCTTATTCTGAATTTCCTGTTTAGTGGGCAGAAGTAAAAAAAAAGGCCTGAAGTTAAACCTGTGCTATGTTCTACCTCTTGACAGTATTCCCGTGGCTAGGATGTTAAGACCTTGTTTAAAGTCGTCATACAACAGAAAGAGTCCAAAGTGACCGAGTTTCTGTCATCAGACTGCATGAGTCAGTATAGTCTGAGTGCATACTAACACAAAGAATAGAGATATATACTTGATATTCTGGCATTTTAAAACACTCTTATGGAACGCCTACTCTGGCCAGCACATGCTGGGGTTTCAATTTCCTGTTTGTTAGCTCTGGGCTCTGGGACAAAGACTTCCCTTGAAGGGGAAACAGGACTCTGCCTTTAGCCATGTGGCGCTCTAAAGACGCATATGGATGTGGTAACAAAAGGGCGGAACCGTGCCGCTAACCACACCCACTTTAGGCATGACTAGAGACAGGGCAGCGGAACTATGCCACTTTTGGGCCCGGCTAGGGGCGTGTACAGAGGAAGGAATAAAAGAATGAAGAGCAGAGCAGTCGCCCCTTTTCGGCTTCCAGTTCGGTGGCAGGAAACTACTCGACTCATCTGGGTTGCTTGTTTTTCTCTTGTGAGTAATTTCTACAATAAACAGTGAGTAATTTCTACAATAAACAGTTACTATACTCTCAATAAGTGTGCCGTTCATTGTGGTAGTATCATTCCGTTACTAACTTTCTCGCTTGTAAAAGGAAAGCAGTATTTCCTAGTTCTCTTTTATACTGTGATAAAAATTCATAAAGCAAGTGAGGTACAATGGTGCACACCTAACTCCCATCTCTCAGGAGGGAAAAAGCAAGGAGAGTAAACTGAGCTATGTGGCCAGACTCTTTCTACCCACAGAAAGGAAAAAAGGATACTTCTTAAAGAAGTCTTCAAATATCTCAGTCAAAGTCATCTTTGGCCCTACAAGAGTTAGAAGAAACCAAGTCCCATACCTGGACGACCTCGGTGCCTTCTATTATCTTCTTGTAGTAGGACACGGCTGGAGAACTAGTGCTTCCCGCTACAACATAGGACCTCTCTGGGGAAACCAAGTCCCAGAACCTAGGGAGAGGGAATGAATGGTGGTAAGATCTGCAGCTAATATTATTGGCTTGTACAAAAAGACTGATTAATGTATCACGAAAAGATTTTTCTAGAATCAAAGCATGACACTAATAACTGTCTGGCAAGGTACTGATGAGTTTAACATTACACGGCCAATGCCTAGAAGCATCCTTTCGTGTTGTAAACCTGAAGCACTCTTTGAGACACTGCACCTTATTTTCATGTCTGAGCCAGCTGTTAACAGGATAGGATTTCCATCTGCAGGACTGCAGTAGATGCCATGGACACTGTGAGGAGAAGGCTTCAAGGAAACAAACATGCAGTCAAATAAAAGACATCAGCACATTCCATAAGTGACAACATCACTTTTAGTGCAAGTGAATTAACTGTCCAAAGCTGTATAGGCAGCTCATATCTCAAGGCAGATGACCTGTGTAAGTGGTCTCCCATCCTTTTTTCAGGATCTAACTAACTGCTTTGAAGGGCCGCAAGTGTAGCTCAGGGTAAAGTGCTACTTACACAGCACGTGCAAAGCCCTGAGTTCAATCCCCAGTGTGCCTCCTCCAAAACAGACCCTCCGGCTGAGCAAGGTGGGTTATGCAGCAGTAGGCCAGTGATCTGGGAAGAAGAGGCCAGGGAGTCCCCAGCTCAAGGCCAGCTTAGGCCACACACTCAGACCCTGTCAGACAGTAACTTCTGGATTACTCTGCATAAGACCCAATTAAGCGCAGAGCAAACTTTCCTACATTTAGCTTACTTGTCAAGATGCTCCTGGCAACAGAACCAATAGACAAATGTATCCCAAATACCACTCATACCAGGTACAGATGCTCAATTTGCATTGGGGATCTGGCCTAGCACTGTCTCTAATCTAGAAAACCGGCTGTTCACTCTTATGGCCTGACCAGGAGCTACAGCTCACTGCCACACCCAGTATCACAAGAGGACCAGAGTACAGGTCACCAGCCTGGGAAAAGATCAAAATTCCAAGCCCATTTTCTAGTGAATGAATATTGCTTTACACCACCATGGAGGCGAAAACCCTAAGCCGGGGGACCCTGCAGATATAAGAGGACTGCATTCCTCGTTAACAGGCCCTGCTCCGATGTGGGATCGCAAACATCTGCTGGAGCAGACCCCAGCAAGCTAAACTAATTAGAAAAGAGGCAGCAATGGTCACGTGATAACTCGTGTTATCAAAACCACAAATTTGACATAACTACGAAATCCAGGAGGGACCATGCTTAGGATGAAGGTGACAACATTGTCCTTTGCAGTAAACACGGGTGACAAACCTGCAACTCGGAAAGTGGTGGTGCACTGCTGGCCCAGAGAGTCAATCTTCTGTCACCAGTCTCCATGTCCCACATAGAGACTTCATTGTTGCCCTGAACAGCTGGAGACAAAGACAAGAGCTGTCAGCTCTCCTTTCACATCTCGGCAGCAAATGCAAGGCAGCCTGCATCTATTTCCATCCTGCGAGAACACTACAATTCTTAAAATACCAGCACAACTTGTCACCAGACTGGGTGAGTGAAAAACATTGTTCTTGATGCTAACAGTATATATACTGCATTACAACCAGGTCTTGAAGAGAATGTGGAGTAGAAAGGCAAGGAATCCCTAATGCAGGGAGCTTCCACTCTAGTGAGGACCCTAAACAGAAAATGCAAAAGGAGCAGGAGGGGCGGAACCAATCAGCGAGGCCAGGGCAAACCAGGGGATGCCAGGGGAAAAGCCCAGGTGAATGCTACATTACCCTTCCTCTCTGAAGTCTGAGCCGCATGAATCACACACCTGCCTCTTGTACCATCTGGCTTCTAGATGCGTTTGACCTGTACCATCTAAATTAAAAGATAATGGCCCCTAAACAGTTTAAGGTCCTACTCCTGAGAACCTGTAAATGTTGCCTTAGATGACAGTGTGATTTCAAAGATGTAACTAAGGACCTTGAAAGGGGTGCGTCATTCAGGATTATCCAGTGGGCCCTGAATACAATCAGAAGTGTGCCTGTTAAGAGGGAGGCAGACTCACGACCAACAGCAATGGGCCTCAGCACCATGCTTCTGCTCTGAGGAGGGGACATCAGGAAGAAAACAGGGAAAGCCAGCAGTGGAGTCTCCCATGGCCTCCAATGTGGGCCTGACCACACTGCTCCGCCCACCCGCCAACAGAATGCAGCTCAGACTTCTAACTGCAGAACCTTTAAAGTCTGTGTTAAGTCATCATGTATGAACAGCCCTGACAGGAGACCAAAGGCAGAGGTGAAGGAGTGCCCAGCCTGACTATCCCTCACCTCAAAAATCACTGTTTGGAATGAGGAGATGGCTCAGAGGGTAAAGCGGTTGCTACACAGCCTGATGGCCCAAGTTTGGTCCCCAAATCCAAGTAAAAAGTCAGATGCAGTGTTGCACATCTGTAATCCCAGCATTCTTACAGACAGATGGTAGGTGGAGACAGACTGCTTAGAAGCTTGTAAGGCAGCTAGACTAGGGTACATAACAGGAATGACCCTGCCTTGAAAACAAGGAAGACAGAAGTGACTGGAAAATCGTCCTCTGATCTTCACATGCACTCAGGTGTGTGGTAGCCTGTCCATGCTTACACGCACGCACGCACGCATGCGCGCGCACACACACACGCCACTGTTCCCCTCAAGGTGGCTTTTCTAGTCAACATCTTTGTAAACTCCAGTAACTAGACCCTCACGATACCTCCTGCCACATCATCTGTGATGCCTCTCTCCCCACACCTGTGTACAGGCGTCTTTAGAAAGAAACCTGTCTAGTTGGGATCCTGACTGGGTAGAAAAGGCCACATAAAGCCACTGGACCATGGTACAGTTTGGCCGTTTCTCGCTGTGTTAGTCTGTTTATCCATTGTTATGACCGAGCAAAATGAATCCAGGGTTTATTTTGGCTCATCATCTCAGCTCGTCATGGCAAGGAGGGGAGAGTGGCAGAACAGAACAGCTCACACCACAGCGGCCGGGGCACAGCTGTGCTGGCTGGAGGGGAGAGCGGCAGAACAGAACAGCTCACACCACAGCGGCCGGGGCACAGCTGTGCTGGCTGGAGGGGAGAGCGGCAGAACAGAACAGCTCACACCACAGCGGCCGGGGCACAGCTGTGCTGGCTGGAGGGGAGAGCGGCAGAACAGAACAGCTCACACCACAGCGGCCGGGGCACAGCTGTGCTGGCTTTCTCCTTTGCCCACCCTTACTCCTTCTAGGTTCCAGAGTGCGGACTGATTATATGAGAAACACGAGGAGAGATGAAAAACCTAAAATTATCAAGCTTAGTTCTATTGCTAGACTGTGTTTGCTGTTTCACCTCAAATTCTTATAAGGTGTTTTCTACCATACTTTACAGAAAGGAAAATTAATTCCAAAGATATGTCCAAGTGACACTGGAGAAATGGCTCTACAATTAAGAGCACTAGCTGCTTTCCAGAGACCCAAGTCTGATTCCTAGACTCACAAGGCAGCTTACAACGGTCCCTGACTCCAGACCCTGGTGATATGACACCTTCCTCTGGCCTCTAAGGGCACTGCACACACATGGTGCACAGACAGGCATGCAGGCAACATACCTATACACATGAAAAAGACAGCTCAAGTATTAAAGAGCATCGAGTGCCCAGCAATGAAAGGCAGGGGGCGTGTGACAAACACAGATGCAG